GACTGCATAGGAGTATAATGAAGAATAATAATAATAATAATAATCAATTATACCGGAGTCGTTGACTTGACTCCCGAGATCAATGCCATTCTCACTGGCAGGGAAGAGGCAGCAAGCACCCAGTTTGGGAATATATGTATGATCCATCCACCTCCCTGGGAAAAATAAATAAATGGCGGAAACTCGCTAACAGATCCCCCTTTCAAGTCACTACCCTTAAGTTCGAGGTTAGTTGATCCCCTTTCCCCGGCTGCAGCTCAGTCATAGGCACAATTGCTTACAGGTAAACCGTAACCTGTTCCAGAGCGGAGACGCCGATCATGCGGCCCTCGAGAACGGCATCTTCGTTGCCTCTGGTCGATTCATCTACGAGAAAGGTCAGAAGCCAATTGTAGACTATAAGGTCAGCCAGGTCTGTAAAGGTTGAGATTGATAGACAAGATAGTCCCCTCCCGAGTCTGTCGGAGGGCATGCATAAGACAACAACCATTCAACTGCCTTATTCATTAATCGGAAGAGCATACATGTCCAAAGCCAAACCCGTATATAGTTTTGTATTCAACCGAAACCTCCAGGTTGACCCAAATTTTTAGTCATAGCAAAGGCGAGCGCTCATTTTGCTCCTGCTCCTCGTCTTCCTCTGGTATAGTTTCTGGCGCTCTGTGCTCCTGTCCTTGTCCCATCCAGCTCGAAATACCGCCTACAAGGCCAGGAAGCGCTCCTCCTATGCCTTCTCCGCTTCCCTCTTCTCCAAACTGGGTACCCCCGTACCCTCCACCAGTCCCGTAGCTATCGCCTCCAGGCTGCTCGTCTCCTCCCTCCTGCTGTTGCTGTTCCTCGTCATCCTTCTTCGCCATCCACATCTGGTAAGCAAGGTATGCAACAACCACCAGAAGCAGTGTACCTATCACCGAGACAATGCATGTGAGGAACGTAGCGGAGCTAACCGCACATCCAAATGGACGGGTACGTATCTCCCACCTCTCTTTAGCGCCGAGTGGGCATATCGAGCTATTTGTCAAGGGAGCAAGGAGAGGGAAGGGAGAAGTATTCGGCACGCAGGTAGACGACTATGCAAGCAAAGTCAGCTATGCAGAAGCATCAGCCAGGAGAGGATACGTTAGACGTGAAACGCATCTCGAGCGCTGAATGAAGGGTATATATATATATATAATCTGAGCAAGGGCTATATATATATCAGAAGAAAATCCTCCAGTACATACAAATGCGCACCAACTGCAAAAATCCGCAGCACGAAGACAGCTGCCGCAGTCCTGGTTCCGCCAGCAGAACGGTAGGAGGTCGCCCTGTTTGCGCTCTTCGTAGAACTGCTCGACGGCCATAGCGATGCCATTGGCGGCAGTCATGTCGGTTTCCATCTGAGTACTGAGCGTTCTAAGGCTGCGACGCCTTCCTTGCTGCGCTAGTTAGCTCTTTAACAGTGGTGAAATAGGTGCAATCGTCTGGTCGACGAGGCAGAAGATGAGGAGTTTGCTCCATGGTCGTTTTTGTCCTGTTTCTTTTCTTTTCTCTTGCAGGCTGCATGTTTACACAAGCTGAACAGCAATTCCATACTTGCATGCATGCATGCCAAGGGCCCTTTTTTCAAGCAAGGGAGTCAAGTTGGTTGGCTGCCTGGAGAAAATTCGTGCATAAAGGGCTTGATACCGGCCAGTAAAGCGCCGAAAACGCTGGGCTGTCGGGCAGAAGAGGTTTTACCCTGGTGCTTCATGGTCGATCTGTAACTTTATATGACATGGACGGGTAGGGGGGATGCGCGATACTTAGATATATCAATATATTGAGACTTGACCTCGAGCAGACAGACATTCATTACTTGACCAGGATAGAGAGAAGAAAAGTGGTAGTGAAAAACGTAGATATCATCACGCAAGTAAACAATGCTAATAGGTTAAGGCTGGCTGGCTGTTTGATGAACAGAACAGCCCCTAGATGAAGGTATATTAGAATCCGTCAAATCGATCTCTTTTGGCAGCCGTCCAATCGGCCCGGCCGACGGGATCTATCAACTATCCTGGCGTTTGTTTTTTATTCCACGTAAAATAAACCCATTGCGTTGCTCATCTCATAGTACGCCGATAGAAAGACCGGGTAGGAATTAAACGACTCTCTTAACCTGTAGATATATGAATGAATTAGCTCCGGTATGTCTAGGTATATACGGGGAAAGGGACAAGGTACCTCGAAGAACCGCTTGAGCCACCATACTTGGAAGATGCCGTTTGCAATCAGGACAGCAAGCTGGAAGAGACTCCACCATTTCACTCGCGAGTTTGTGCTCTCCGCGGTGTTACGGTGGGTACGTTCACGGACAATGATGTACGATTGCTCATCCTTAACCTGGGCGAGCTCGTCGGAGAGTCTCATTACTGCACAGCAAAAGGTCAGCCAGCTATCCATATCTTCCGCGTGTAAGAAAAAGGTGAATGCGTACCCTCAGCCTCTAGAGGGTCAGACGGGTGTTCACTGGCAGGCACGTAGACAGTTCCATGCACGTTGAATGTCACCTCCTTGCTGTTCGACGACCAGGCCTCGTTGCCAAAGCAGTAGACATACTTTCCATCCCGTTTGGCGGTAAACGTGAACTCGTCGGAGGAAATCGAATTCTTGCTGTGAATCTTATGGCCGGCGGGATCCTCAACCTGTATTCCATCAACGAGTTAGCCTGCATGTCCACTGCTGCTGTATATCTAGATTTCTCCCATTTCCGCTCCTTCTGGCCAGTTTGTCTGTCCATTTGGCGACCAAGGTATCAACGCACCCAGAAATTAATGTCGAGGTTTCCGCTTCCGCCAAACTCGGTGTCTCCCGTCTGGAAAACCACGCTCATCTTATCATCGACATGGAGGTTCTCGAAGAAACACTCCCTCGAATGCGCCTTGAGTGGAATGTTATGTGCTGTCGCGGCCCCTATGCAGAGCAGGGCGGACACTGCGAGAGAGGAAAAGGCGAGCTTCATGGCGGCGCAGGGAGGTCGAACAACGGACAATTAAGAGGAAGACACGGTGAGATACAGCCTGTTGGACGCCGTAACCTGTGCTATGCGGCCGTCGAGTCGGGGGTTGAGGATGTTTTCTTGCTTGTCTTCGTCGTCGTCCGTCGTCCTTCTTTTTTGCGTGTCCAGAAGCGCACGGACCACATACGCAATCCTGGGCGTAGGAGAGAGATAGCAAGAGGCAGCAAAAGAGAGTAAAAGAGAATACTTCGTAGACGACGATGAAGATGACAGGTGAATAGCAGCTAGATGGACGGATATAGGATGGCTGAAGCTATTTTACGGCGTATACAGAGCTGCAGGTCTAGAATGTTTTTCGAGAGTGCTTCCGCTGGCCCAGAGTGACTGCCTGCTAGTTATTTAGATCGAGGGACCTCCCTTCACCCTCCTCTCTACATCAATAGCCGCTCAAACACCGTCGCTACATACAATTCTACAGCATTAGACTGACATGATACAAGACGAAGGAGAATAGCCTTGAACATGACACCCAAAGCGCGAAACGTACCGGGACAGGATATTAGGATGTCATTTGGCGATGTCTTCAAGAGCAGCAAGGCGCTCAAGGCAGAGAGAGAGCTGGTGGCCAGGAAGGCAAGTCGTTCAACCGCTGCATAGACGGGGAACATCAGCTAACAGGCAAGCAGAGAGCGCAGCTCAAGGCCGAGAGCAAGAGACTAGCCGACCTGAACGCAGCGATGGCACCATACACCAAGGTTCAGGAGGCAAAGAACAGCAGCGGTCAGGCAGCAGGGCCTCCAGGGCCTCCACCGACCGTAGTCCCTCCTCCGCCTGCTAATCTACCACCAGGGGCCGTTCAGCAAAAGCCTGAGGCCGCTGTAGTCCCAGCTATTGTGGTCCGGGACTGGACAGACGAGGACAACGCCCAGTTGAAGGGGCTGAAGGAGGACAACATCAGCTGGCGGAAGATCGCGGAGACGATGAACTGGCCGGTCCACGAGCTCAAAGAACGATGGCGAGCCATCAAGCCTGAGCCGCCGAAGAAGCCGCAGCCAGAGCCAGAAAAGGTCAAACAAGACAGCGTTCAGAAGAGAGTCGTGTTTACGGAGTCAGGCGATGAGAAAAAGGTATTTATGCCCCTCCCCTTTTTCTCCCCTTTGAATCCGTACACCCTTTAAATTATCCATATCCACACGCCTATGCAATGCCGTGTCCAGCTAGTTAACGACTTAGCAGGGCAAAGAAGCCCCAAAGGTGGTATATGCAGATGAGAGTCTGAGCACAGAGGAGGCTGTTCTGCTCAGCAAGCTTGCGGACAAGTACGACAAGGAGATGTGGTTACGCATCTGCTCCAAGTTCTTTGACAAGACCGGCAAGCGACTTGATCCAGACGAGGCCAGACGGCACATCCGTCCGTCGTAAGCCACTGTCACGGCCACGACTGCGGATACCAAGACGGCGCTATGCAGGTACCGTGTTTAGCGAGCCTTATTAGCTCCTCGATTCTACCCTGATCTCGTCGATATAAGTGTGTCCTGTCCAACGCTGCTGCCACCTCGACCTCTCTTATCTCAGACAGCGCCCTACCCCAGCATCCAATGGCCCCCCGTATAAACACATGTTCGCACCCTGGTCCACTCAGCCCACTCTCCCCCTAAAAGTCCAGCTTTCAGGGGGCAAAAAGAAACCAAAAAAAGTCTGGGCCTGCGGATGTTTCATGACTAAGCAGCGCTCTTTTCTCTGGTTCGACTCCGGGACTTTTTTTTTTGACGAAGACAAGGACGAGGAAGATCCATTAAGTTCTTTCGCTGCCGTCGTCATATAAAACTCTGGAGTTTGCCTCTCGACCTTGCTTTTCCCTCTCCTCCCTCCAATTCCTGTCGTTACACTCGACACCGTTAGCAACAACCCCTCTCCCAACTCGACACCTGGACACATCACCAACATAGGACGATAAAGGATGCGTTTCTCGACTGCCCTCTCGCTGGCTCTGGCGGTCAGCCCGGCTGCCGTCTTCGCTGCCGGCAACTTGGGGTTCTCTCTAGGCGTGAAGAGGCCCGATGGTCAATGCAAGGACCAGGCCGACTTTGAGAAGGACTTTGACACCCTCAAGGCTCACGGCACCACTGTCAGGACATACGCGGCTGCTGACTGCGGCAGCGCCTCTCTCATCCTCCCAGCGGCTAAGTCAAAGGGCTTCAAGGTGGTTCTCGGTATCTGGTAAGTCTCCACGAAAAGGATGGCCGTTCTGCTTTGATAATGATGACGCTAACGGCTTCAGGCCTGATGTTGAGGAGTCATACAAAGCCGATGTAGATGCCCTGAAGAAGGCTGTCCCAGGCAACGAAGATGTCGTTGCTGCCATCACCGTTGGCTCTGAGACGCTTTACCGCGGCAACTTCACTGGTCCAGAGCTACTCAAAAAGATCAAAGAGGTCCAGAAGGTGTTCCCCAAAATCACGATCGGCACTGCAGACAGCTGGAACAAGTATGCCGACGGTACTGCTGATGCCCTGATCGAGGGTGGCGTCAAGTACTTGTACGTGTCTTGCCATATTTCCGCCTGTGGTCTCTCATGCTTGAACGAAATGTTAACACCAATGTAGGTTGGTCAACGCCTTTGCATTCTGGCAGGGCAAGGCCATCGAGCAGGCCCCCAAAACCCTCTTCGACGACCTGGTCGGGGCTGCTAAGCGTATTGCCGACAAAGCCCCCCAGGGCTCGAGTCCCTACGTTGCCATCGGTGAAACTGGCTGGCCTACTGGTTCGTCCATCCGTACCCTCCTCGACTATCGCATAATTATACCTTACTAACACCTATATTATCTAGACGGCGGTACCGACTACGGCGCGGCAAAGGCTGGCACCAAGAACGCCGAGAAATTCTACAAGGAGGGTGTCTGCGCCATGCTCGCCTGGGGTGTAGACGCCTTCTACTTCGAGGCCTTCGACGAGCCATGGAAGCCCAAGAGCATCGGCGACAACGGCAATGCCGCTGACGAGACCCACTGGGGCATGTACACTGCTGACCGCAAGCCCAAGTTTAACGCCGACTGCAAGGTCAATAAGAAGAAGGACTAGGCTTGGTCTCTCAAGTAGTCTAATCGTTAATCCTTAATTGTTGTTGTATATCTGCATAGCTTGGCCATGGACATACACCGGTTCTCTTACCTCACCTTCTCTTCGTCTCATATACTTCGTCTGCTCTATCTGCTTTCTAATTACCAACACGAGTGCAAATATCAATATCAACATCGTCTTCCCGACCTCTTTTCCAAGTCTCTTTTCTCCCTTAACTATCGCCCTCCACGGCTTCAGCCCCTTTTCGCGTCTTAGTAAGAAATAATCAATGTTAGTTAGCGTCGCGAACACCAAAAAAAAAAAATAAGGAAAAAGAAAATAATAATAAGAATAATAATTTTGGCTTCTCGTTTTTGACATCGACAAAACCTCCAACTTCTTAACGCTCAGCTTTTCTTCTTCCTCTTCCTCCTCTTCTTCTTCTCTTGTTTTCTTCTTTGCGTCTTCGTTTCCCGTCGCTTTCCTCATCGCGTTCGACATCCCTCTCCGTCGGACGATCCGGCCTCGAGAAGACCCGAAGACCAAAAAGCGGCCCTCGTTCGTGAGCCATGGTTCGTTCCCTGGGCTAAACCACGGTTCCGACAAACTACACCAAGCACAAGGGGGAAAAAGGGGGGTGAAGAGACGACGTGTTTACTTGTCTGCGCGGTTCTCGTTCGGTTTATATATATATTATATATACATATATATTCTCGGGCGTCGGTTTCGACGGTTGCTGGCTGGCAGCGACAGCTCCTCTGTACTACTGCGGCCCTGCTACGCTTCTACAGCCAACGGCAGCACCAGGGCCGTTGAGTTCTATGCGTCAAGATTCCGGCGGACATCGAACGCGGCGAGCTTGTGCTTGCTGCATCAGACAAGACGGACAGTAAGATATCTTTTTGTTGTTATTTTCCTGCGGCGTTGAAGCGACAGTTACTGTTCTTTCTTCGACGCCGGCGTACAATGGCATTGGCTGCGTGTGACTGACGTGTGCATCACCTGTAGGCCCAACTCTCGCAGTCAATTCCCCCAATCCCGTTATCCTGCAGCCGTCCCTCCACCGCGAAGACGACGACGGTGAAGTCGAGCGGGAACATACGCTGACACTGCCACTGCGCCGGTCCGTCACTCCAGGTGCGGTCTCGAGCATCGCGGCAGGCACCTCGCTCGCTGTCCCCTCCGCAGGAGGATATCGCGGCCCAACCTCAGACGCGCAGTCGTCAACCTTTTCGCCAGACAACAAGCGGACAGACGCCAGTGCCTACTATACGGCCGCCTGGGGGTCCCCCTACGCCACGCCCAGCTCACGGAGCGTCTCCTGGCAGCTGAGGAGCAGACAGGGCGATTTCGAGTCTGAGCTTGACCTCGAGAATTCGCCCTTCTCCATCCGTACGACCGCTCGTGGTGAGGAGCAGCTGTTGCCGGACTCCGCTAGCCAGACCGGTATCGTACCCTTTCCCGAACTCACCTCGACCTTGTTCGAACGGGACCTGCAGCCTGAGAGCAGCGTCAGCCGGCACCGTGGGAAGTCCATCAAGGATTTCACGCAGGATTGGATCAATCAGTACCTGACGGGGAAGCCTCGCTCGGAACGGACGAATTGGTTGAGTGACGACTCAGGAGACAGCGACGTTGGTTCGTTTCTCACCGCATACCAGCAGCGTGTTGACGGTTCGGAAGGCTGGCTTGATCTCGACGACGACAACGACGACGACGACGACGCCAACAACAACAACAACAACTACTACAAGGAAGATCTTCTCAAGACGCCCACTGCGTCAAGCTTGCTCAAGGGGAAGAGACCAGAGTTTGGCTGGAAGTCCCGGCCTGCTCATCTCAGGGCAAAGCACGCTCCCAAGGCGAGCACGGCCACCCTGAAACAGTCCGACTTTTGGGATTTTGGCCAGGACCCTGAACCATCGTCCCGGTCCCAGTCTCGCTCTCAATCCCGGTCTCAATCACAATCGAGATCTCATTCACTTGCCAGATCCCAATCCCAGTCTGAAGCCTGCGACGAGGACTGCGCTTCCGTCACCATGTCAAACCTCGAGCCACTCAACATACCGGAAGTGCATCCGCCTCCACAACAACATACTTATGTCTCGCCCACAGATAAGCCCCTCCCACTTCCTCCAACACCGGTGGAAGATGCCCTAGATAAGCCTCTGCCTAGTGGACCAAAAGAGACCATTCGCACCGCTCCAGCCTTCCTACGACCCAAAAAGAAAGTCGCCTGGCGTGGAAAGCAATGCATCATCGCACTCCCTCTGGAGGATAGCCGTGGATCGGCCGAAGGGGGGAAAAGACTTCTAACACCCGCCGACGTGGAGCAGATCTTGGATAGCTGGGAAGAAAAAGGATACGATGTTCGAGGAACTGGCCGCGGAGAACCGGTCACAGTCGATCTGCAGAATCGCCAGACCCATCCTGATCCTGCAGACACCCGCCGGGAACTCGAAGAAAAGCAGTTCCATGTCAGTTTCCCAGATCAGTCCGTTTGGGAAGAGTATGTCGATTTCTTAAAGGAAGAGAAACTTCGTGCTCTCGGCGTCAGTCTGGGAGATCCAGAGCCCAACCCCATCATGTCTCCTACGCCGGGAGCCATGAGCCGCAACTCCTCTCAGATGCCAATGCTACCAGGACATACCATCTCTCCTCCCGTCCCTACCTCCTCTGCCGGCAGCAACCATCTGAACATGATGCAGAACCCTTTCTCTCCGGCTTTCAACCAATCCACAAAGGCAACTTCCAACATCAGTTCAATGAACTCGCCTGCATCACCCTTTGGATTCCATCCCGAATCTCCCTTTCAGCAATTCCAGCCGGTGTATGGGAATGAAACAAACTACCCATTCTTGCCATTCCAGCCTACTCCGCCGGCACACGGCACTCATACTCCACAGAATCTTTATGGTATAAGGCCAAATGGCATCACTCCTACAAACATAGGCAACATGCCCAACCTAGGTTCTCTGCTGCACTCTGTCTCACCTATACTCGATGAGTCGAAGCAGTACCCTGGCATGGCTAGTATGCTACCCCATTCACACTTTAACAACCCCTATGGTGTTAGTACGCCACAGGGTCGAATGAATGAATATGAAAACACCATGCATCACCAGCCCATGGATGAACCAAACGTTGAAATGGAAGGGGAAGCAGATCCCACCCTTCAACCAACCCATTCTGGCCCTGAAATCGCCCATCCAACCCCTCGAGGCCATCGACACAATGTGAGCGAGACTCTGCAAAAGGGGGTTGAAAGGGACTACCAGATGGAGAATCCTGTACTCGAGGATGAGCCGAGAGTGGAGGATAACTTGATGAATTCTCGATGGACGGCACCTGAACAACAGATAGGCCAACAGATGGGCCAACAGCATTCTTTCTTCCCGTCTGAATCGATCAACCAGTCCAGTCGACTCCAACAACATATTTTCAATGAGCAACAAGCTCACAAGTCTCATATCGAGGAAGAGGCATCTGATCTTGAAACAAATCCCAGTGTCAAGGATGTCCGCTCCCCCGTGGATGACTACCACACTCACCAGGCTAAACAAAGCACTGGCTCAACATTCATCCCGGGACATAAGTCCACATCCTCCATTTCAAAGCTCAACGTCGCTGCCAAGGCATTCGACCCTTCCATATCCTCTTTCTCCCCAACCAACTTCTCATTCATGCCCAATAATACCTTCCAGCCAACCTTCAGCAGCTTTCATCCACGGCCTGCTTTCAATCAGGATGTGCCGCAAAGCGTTTCCCACAGCGCACATTCCAGCGGTTTCAACGTTGAAGCGCCAGCATTCGCTCCAATCCAGAAACCTCAAGAACCAATATCCACTCCGAGTAACTTCAAGTTCTCTTCCGCCACCTTCAATGTTGCGGCGCCAGTGTTTAATCCCGGAACAAGCTTCACTCTTCCCTCATCTGAACAGAAACCTTCTCCATCAGGCCCACGAACTAAGATATTCGATAACTTTGATCCGGCAGCAATTGTCCCACCTACCAAGGCGTCCAAAGCCATTCCTATTGTGCGTCCGGGGGATAGAAAAGAGAGCAATGACCAACCTGATGGCGATGCATCTGGTAGATTTGGCGCTCAGGGCCGAGAAAAACGGGCTCGTCGCGTCGAAAGTCATGGCGGTGACCATAGTGACACTACTCGTGAACTTATGTTTACCATGTCACCTGCTGCTGCGGCCGATTCCAAACGCACTGCTACTCTGATTGAAGACAGTGATGAGGTACCTCCTGAAATAGCTGCGAACCGCAAGAGGACTGAAGAGGAGATCATCGAGACTATTCTGTCCGCGCATGACGATGATCTTGAAGAAGTGGAAGAAGGTGAAATTGTTGAAGAAAACGACGATATCAAGCAGTTTGAGTTCAAAAACAAAGAAGATGCTGCTGCATTCAATGCTGCTCATCCTTCTATTCTTGCAGATGAGAAGATTGTCGATGACCAGGAGACTTTAGAATCTCAGCCCGCGCAACCTGAAGTCGGAGCAGATAAAGATGCTGCTGTTGACCAAGAGGAACAAGATACCATTGTTGAAGGGGATGATCAAGAAGAGCACGAGTCACTGGGGGAAAATATCGCTGATCAACCCAAGACCTCAGTACTCAAACCTACTGCCAAGCCATTCGAGTTCATATCAAGCAAGCCTCCAGTGTTGAAGCCTATTTCCCCAGTTGCATCACCCCTACAGACCCCTATTTCCAAGCCAAAGAAACAAGGCCTCTACGCTTCACGATACGCTGTTTCCGAACCCGATTCCCCTGAGCCTGTCAAAAGCCAGAGTGCTCTTACAGCTAGTCTCAAGGCAGCTGAACAAGCTGAAGAGATTGAAGAGGATGAGAAACCCACTGTTGAGGGCGTCAATTCTTCAGATGAAGATGAAATTGATGCTGTCATGAAACAGCTCAACGACGGCGACTCAAGTGTTGGTGTTGAGAGACGGGAATCTCCTTCGAAACCTGTCTTCCAAACTTCTTCTGCTAATAACTCAGTGTCCAACCTCGCACAAAGACAAGTTTCTCGCAGTGACGCTCCTAGCCCCTGCCTGCTAGACGAGCCGCCATTTGAGCAGGAAAGCCCCGAGATACCAACATATGAACGTACTCAGCCTTCGCCCTCTCCTCTCGTGCAACGCAAGCCAGCAGTCGGCGGCCCGCCTTCTATCCGTCAACTAAACACTCAACCGCAAGATCACATCAGTGACTGGGATGATGCAATTCTATCTGGTGACGATCTAGAACTTCGACAGAGAGCACCATTCTTCGAAACCCATGTCAAAGACATAGTTCGGTCTTCGATGGGAGACCATCTTGCTCCCATCGAGCGAAGCTTGTCTGCCATCCAAGTAGCGATTTCACAGAATCCCTCATATAAACCTCGTTCAACAAGGGTGGAGCATAGCGACGCTGATGACGAGGATGAAGAAGATGATGGCGATCACCGGTCACGGTCTCCTCGGAATAAGCATGATAAGCTCGCTGTGAGAATCAAGGCCATTGTTTCTGAAGCACTGGCCACACACCGCCCAACACCTGTGCCAGAGCCAGCTCCAAAGGTTGATCTGTCCGAAGTAACCTCCACGCTTGCCGAAATGAAAGCTGCCATTGCCTTGGTATCGCAACAGCAAAGTCAGACAGATGGCATCCGAGATGTCATCTCACAGAGCATCTCAGACCATCCAGCTCTCAAGGCCAAGGAGGTGGTCATTGAGGAGAAGCCTGACTTGGCTCCAGAAATGGAGAAGCTTAAACTACAGGTTGAGGGGCTACAGAGCATGCTTCGACTAGCTGATGAGCGCGCTGAGAACGAGTACAATGCTCGACGAGCTGCCCAGGATGCTCTAGCTCTAGCTCAACAACGATCGGAGGCTGCTGAGCAGGGTATTATGGCTGAACGCGAAGCTAAGGCCGCCGCTGAGGAGGCTTTGGAATTGGTCAAGAGCCAACATCTGTCTCAAACCCAGAAGATTGAACAGCATTCTAGGGACCTTCAAGAACAACAGGAGATGATGCGTCTTACTCTTTCAGAACTATCGAACAAGAACATCGATCTTCAAGGCACCCTAGATGAATACAGAACAAGCGCGGACCAAGCTCGAGCAGAGAAGGAGAGGTTCGAAGAAGAAAACAATGATCTTCTTCGTACCATTGAGATTCTTAAGATTCAGACCGATGAAGGCACGGACGTCAAGCAGAAACTCCGCGAAAGATTTGAGAAACTACAAGGAGATATGACTTCGCTTATCAAGAATATTGCCAATGAACAAGCTGAATGGAGGAAGAAGGAAGTCGAGGCTAACATCAAATACAATACCTTAAAGGCCGACTTTGACCGTGAGCATAAACAGCGACAGAAATTGGAACTTCACATTAGCGATCTTGAGCAGAAGGAGATGGAAGCCACGAAACTGAGATTTATCTTAGATCAGTCTCAGAACGAAAATGATAAGCTTGAGGCACTGCTGATGAAAGTTCGACAGGAGAGTCACGACCACCAAGCCAGGGCTGCCCAATTTGAACGTGAAGCCAAGGCGGCGATTGAGAATAGCCACTTTGAAGCTGAACGTGTAAGAGCATTGCTAGAAACGGATCTCAGTGCCGCACATCATCAAGTCAACTTCGTTCGGACAGAGCTGGAGGCTCAAATCTCCAATGTACAGAGCCTTCTCGACAATGCTAAGATGGACTCCGAAACTGCCAAGGCAAGATACGAACTCTTGCTTGCAGAAGCTAGAGATTCCAAACTAGCCGCTCTTCATGATGCTGCTGAGTCCAAGGAAGTGGCCATTCAAGATCAACGTCGCTTGCACGAGCGTACCCTCAACGACCTCCGGGAACGACACGCTCGTGCTATGCACAACACTTCGGAGGATAGACAACGTGATGAAGCCCATTATATGGAAGTTGTTGCTCTGCGTGATGAGAAGATTGAGCACCTTCAGGAGAGGGTAGCAAGTCTTGAGGAGAAGCTCGAAATTGCCAAGTCTGCCGCCCGGGCTGCTGCAGAGGCTGCTCAGACTGCTAAGGCCACTCCAGCGCCTCAGCAGGCGGTTCAAACGACCTCTCCATCAATGACTTATGCTCAAGGATCTGAAGTTCCCGATAAGATCTCACCACAGGCTTTGCGGGAATCGATCATGGTATTGCAAGACCAGCTGCAACAACGTGAAGGACGAATTGAAGAACTCGAACAAGAGCTATCTACCGTTGACAGGGATGCTCCTGCGAAGATCAAGGAGAAGGAAACAGAAATTAACTGGCTCCGTGAATTACTAAGTGTCCGCCTTGATGATCTCCGAGATCTCATCCGAGCCGTCTCACAGCCATCATTCGACCAGCACACGGTCCGTGATGCTGCAATTCGCCTTCGAGCAAACCTACAGATGCAACAGCAGGAAAAGGAGAGGGCTATGTCCGGAGGCAATAGCCAGTTTCCTAGCATAGCATCGCTTACCAGCCTTGCGTCCTCCCCTCGCGCATTGCCGCTAGCTGCAGCTGCAGCGTGGGGGAACTGGCGTAAGGGGAATGGCGGCAGCGGCAACAACAACAATAATTCGGCACCCACGGCATCTTCAAGCAACAGTAGCCACAACGATGACCAGCTCACTCCGTCCAAGCCGCCCAAGCCGGCGCTGACAGCATCTCAAGGCTTTCTCTCTGGACTTATGACGCCCCCTAGCTCAAATACACGTGACCCGCCTGTCGTGCCGCCCGCCCCGATAGGACGACGAACGTATGCCGAAACCCGGCCGCTACGAGGGCAGAATCCGGGCATCCGAAGATTATCCAGCCGCCAACTAGAAAACATTATGCCTCCCACGACGCCACCATTGCTACGCAATTCAAGCTACGACCATGATGCCGAAACAATGCATTATGGCGCCAGCAGCTCGACAGATGACAATGACAATGACAGTGTCATTGGCGGCCTAATTGGGCGAGAACCTGGCACCCGATCTATCGAAGGACCATTTGGCCCTGAGATATAAACTTTCAATGACTTTTTATTTTCATTTCTCTATTTTTTTTTTTTTTTTTTCACTTTCATATTGATCTATTTTTTTGGCCCCGTTCCTTACTCATATACTGTTCCATGTTTTTAAAATCTTATACCAGCACATTTTTTACAATTTCACTTCCCTCTCCTCGCCCCTTCCTCCCACTCTAATACACTTCTTTGGATTTGGACCCTTTTTGCATAGCGATTACGATCTTTCCACCCTTCTCAACACCCTGTTTACCTTATATATTTAATTTCCCAATGGTTATTTATTTATTTCCTTTGTTCTTTTACGGCTCTCCTTTTTAGAATTTGTGATACCGACTCTGCTTTCCCCTTACTATTATTCTTCTCTCTGTATAACTAATCATTCACGTCCATCGTTTATCTCTCCTCCATTTCACCCATCTCTTCTTTTTACCTCCTTCGTCGTCCATCACTTGACGGCAGCCTAATGCTGGAAATGCTTGGATCCTCAGTAGTTCATTGCCTTCCAAAGTTAACTAGCCCATAGCAGACAAAAGAAGTAGTATTTGACATGATTCTCCAGATGGCGGGATACTCCTACCTTAGCTCCATATACTTAGGACTTCCAAGCTGCACACACTGCCCAACTGTGCGCTGTACCTCGAACACCCTCCCCATCTACTCTGTATAATTATTGACGACCCGAGGTTGTTGGGTTGGATTGAGCGGCTCCTCGCGCTAAACCTTGACAAGCGGGCAACAAGGTTAAGTTTACGATCAAGTGGGTCTTTGACTTCAATGACGTTTAACATTTTATTATTTCCTTACTGTTGACAGTGACATAACTATGACGTTCCTGAGCATGGGGCTTAAGAATCTGGTATTCCGCCTTAGATTCTAACTAAATAGCAGCTGTAGCTATCATGGCTGGAATGGAAATCAGTTAAACATATTTGAGATCTAAAGGAAACTAGTTAACTGAACATAAAAAATTCAAGTGCTTGAAGAAAAATGTCAAAAATAACATGAAAGTAGAGGTGATATTAGGTACAACCCTCTCTATGAAACTGTTTGAAATTCACGAAAAGATAAATTCCCAGTATTGCCTTTAGCTAGCCAGTGGCCAAAAAGGAATCGCTTCTATGACGACGCCAGAAATCCGCACGCTCATGCCATATCGAAGGGAGGAACCAGCCGCCCCATTGTTCCAATACCGACACTGAGAACTCCCATGAAATTTCATTAAGAAAATCCTCTCCCCAGATAGTTAATTGTCCACGGTCATTATGTGGAACTTGGAGTTGCAGAGTCGTGGGTTGCAATGATGGAGGAAGGGAAGGACCCAGTCTTGCGAGGGTGAGAAAATGTATTCGGCTATCGAGTTGTGTTCCATCCACAACGAGGTTCAATACTGGGTGAAAGAGTAAGTGTAGATAGCTGCGGATCCGGTTGATATCGTACGGAGCAAAGATGCATAGTCGGTTAGGTAACCTGCTAAGCTCATGTATGGAGCTGCTAGTGGGGAGTGCAGGATTGGGAGGCGCTTCAGGGGCCCCGGGAAAGTACGTATTGGAGATGGAGTCGTTCATAGTTATAAGGGAGTCCGTTTCTCCTGAGCTGGAGTGTGAAGGGACCCTAACTGAGAGCATTGAAGGGGAACTGCAGTTCGACCCTAGCCTTGACAACGACTCATTCTCCCTCCGAAGTTCCAAATTTTCCTGTCGCAGCTGCTCTATCATATCCGTCTGGCTTGAGATCCGTTCATTTTGTGCTCGCTCAAGGTTCCTGATATGTTCCTTTCGCCGCTGCCCTAGAGAACTGTTAATAGTTGCTATTTTCGGAGCCCTTGGAAACTCACTAAATATCCGCTGAGCATTTCGGTTGTATTCTCTCCTTCTAGCATCTTTATCCCCAGCGCTCGCTTGAGACATGTTCCCTTCTTTTTTGTTTGTAAACGTTTTGTGCAGGTGTTCTAGCCACGCAATTTCATTCCCTGGGCGTCCAAGAGCAATAGGTGGATGCCGTGATGGTTCTATATATAACCAAATCCATGGCCCAGGGGGCTAAATGACATATTCGTCCGAGCCTCGGAGTACAGCAAAGAGGGCCAGGTTGAGCCTCGAACAGAAGAGCATAGAAAGCAATACGATTGACAATCAACTGTAAATCATCAGCTCCCTTCTTCAGCCCGACTCTTGAGCCACAGCCGTTGAAAATCTCCACTGCCCTGAATAGATCGATCATCCACTCCGCTGAACCCCTTCGGCTCCTGCGGCATATATCTGTCTTGACAAGATGTGTCGTGGAGGTGCAGATGCAGGGAGAACCGCACATGAATCAATGAGCCGTTTAGCCGTCGGAAGTTTGTCAACTAATGGTAAAAGCCTTAAACCCGTCTACCAGTGGGTTCGCTACCCTGGCATGGTCAACTAACTCTCCGTTGGACACATAGTTACGGACGAACTAAGTAGGCTGGAGATTGCATGACCCACTGCACAGCAAGCCATCAACGGACATGGGCTCCTGGATGCATGTATATGCATGCCCAGGAGTACATAATAACTTCTTGCTCTCCGATAATATTGGATAACAGGGAAAAGTCACGCGTAATCCTCTATCTTGTTCGTTATTTCAGCCACAGTCAGGGTATATCTATACTCTGGTGATGCGTTGGAAGCCCCATCCCAAACATAGAACATACATAACTAGTACATCGGTATGACCCTATAAAATTGAGCACCAGAGCTGTCAAGAACGAACATTTGATTGTTTCGACTGTGTCAGTACTGGAGTCACAAGCGGCTGACGTGGCTGGGGGCAGCGTACATTCGAGTTTGATGTATCCCTTGGCCTGCAGGAAACCATGTAACTCTCGCTCAAGGCTGCATTGCGGCTCCAGTCTGAGATTACTACTACGTATCTGTGAAGCCACAACCTTTTTATAACTATTTGTATCTGTACTAGGATGATATTTATTCCTTCATTTATACGTCAGTATTATATTGTTGCATCTCCTGAAAGCCTGACAATTATTAATCGCCGCCTTCTTCGTTGCCGTTCCCCTGAATGTCCTCGCCGCTGTCCCTACTGCTGCCCCTGCCGGTGGGTCGAGAAGCCTCTACTACCACTAACCGTACTCTGGTAGACACTGCAATACCTGCCACTTTGGAGGGTACTGGCGCGTCGAACGTCTTCCCGGTACGCAGGGCATCAGGAGCGCAAAGCCGGAGATTCTTCTACCAAGAGGTATCAAAGCCAGTTTTGAAAGAAAAGGACCTATCAATGCCTATAAATATTGGTTGTTCTCAGCTTTATCCACCCGTTTGAGATTTTTCCTGTTCGTATTGCATACCAATATGTGTACATGGAACGAAAGTAGAGATATCTCTTTGTAGGGTTGTTACGGCTGAGGAATGTAAGCTCTTTGCCATTTAGTTCGAAATCAAACCATTAGAATAATGACGAGTAAATTCCCAGGGTTCAATATATTGAACATACCTTCCACTTGTGAGTTACTTGCAAACACAGCCCACAACTGTTCTCGTAACTCCTGATTGATCAAAATGCATTTCCTTTTAGTTTCTTGGAATTCGCCCGTCAGTTGTAGGACAATAGCAATGGTTCCATTATCCGGCCCTTGCTGTATTTTTTTGTATAATTTGGGACCTGGAATTGCATTAGTCAACCAATATCATCTGTTGAGTCGAATTTGTGCTTTGCATACTATTCTTTGGGTTTTCTTAAAGCTACTTCAGTCACTTTGAAAAAATTGTTCAACATACACCCCTCAAAGTCTTGGTACCAGGTATGTTTCCTTCACGGTATCTACGTCGTTCCACTCAGTAAGATGGCGCCAAACTTTCCTCTGCCCATGGAAATCTATTGATACCCAGAGGTACTGAATAACATTAATTCTGAATCTTTCCTAGGTCAATATTTTGTAGTCTTGGAGGGAAGAAGCTACCACAACTCGCGTTATTGTAGTAGTTGAATACGCCCTCTCGAGGATCTCAAGGTCCGTTTAATTGTTTTCGACCCGCGTCAATTTAAACAGATATTTATTATTGACCTCAGATTTAATATATCGATACTGCCTTTTGATGATCTGTAGCTCTTGCTGCTCTTCAACCAGAGGTGTACTTTTGGTCAACAGCCTCGCGCTCAGCATGGTACGCTTTGGTCCGAAACCCATCCTGTAAGCCCATTTGAAATCTGTCATAATACTCAACGCACTTATACCGGAATTCGCCATGCTTAGCTCTCACTCCAAAATGACAGGCATCGCATAAAGATTTATTGTCTTCAGTCAATACCGTCAATGTCGATAATAGTAATTCATATTTTCTTTTCATTTTTTTTCTTATAAAAAAAATATAATAATAATAATAATAATAATAATAATAATAATAATAATAATAATAATAATAATAATAATAATAATAATAAAAAGAGACTATTTTTTGTACATAGTTTTATCAAACTCTTTAGATGTGTATATTCTCGACAAGCATGTTGTACTTCCCCATCAACATGTGGATCCATAGCAATGAGGCTCAAACCTTCGACGTTTTAGCTTTCTCTGTCCCCACTTGATCGAGCTTAACACTATCTGGCATAGCTAGAATTGACCTCATCGACTTTCATCGAGTATACCGCAAGGACGGTAAATGTGATACATGATCCTGGATGGACGATATATACATAGAGATAAATATTAGCGAAGCTACATGAATATCATATTTATCCCTCTCTCGCAGACGGGGATATTTGTCTAAAGAGAGCAGAGTTCTCAGTAACCGTAGGCTGGATTATACTAATGCCATGAATAAAAGTTTTGGAAAAAAAGGTACAACATAAACTGGATACTCTATTAAAGCAAATAAAAGAATATCAAGGTGCAGTAAATTCACCCAATATTTATATTTCCCCCTTGGTCAGAAAATTCATATCCAGTGGCCAACGCCCTGCGGGTCTAGTTCACCGTACTCCTCCGAGGAAAAATACCAACAAGAGAATCGAAAAGAAAACAACTATAATGAAACCCAGACTCTAATACTCCGTAATGTACATGTACACCAAGGTAATGAATGGACTAGCGCAAGAAAATTGGCCACGCAAAGCGTAAAGTTATTCAGGCTAAACGGTTTGAGCTCGATGCCTGATAAGTCGAATGTTCGCGGGCGACGTATGCGCCTGTGGCGATGCGATGAGGCGCTGGTGGTTTGTCGCGAGATACCCGGAGGAATGATATGGCTACACACAGTAGATGCGTATGTATGTGGATTGTATATCGTGGCTGAGTGGACGGCCAGTCCGACGTAGCGTTAAATTCAAGCCATGTAATTAAAAATGCGTAGCAAAATCGCTTGCTAATATGATGTAAAAAAAGTGACCGTTCACAAATAAAACATCGAGGTAATAATGTCGAGTGGCTAAATGATTATGCGTTTCTCCCTGGCAAGTATATCTCGGAGGTCCTCAACCATGGCTCTTTGCGTTGACTTGCGAGGAAGCTTTGCAGGGAACAAAACGATAGCCTGCCTTAGCGCCAAAACACCCATGTCACCCCAGAAATTAACGATGCGGGGTGCAGAATAGCGCAGCATGGCCGTTAGCACGACAAGATGCGTATCTTGTACTTCTGTGGGGGGCACGTTGACGATATACGAAAGTGACTTCCAGAAATTGCTGTTGGGATAAGGGTTTTGACGCGGACTTTTAGCAAAGTTTCGTAATGCTATGGCTGCGTATCCGGCTCCTAGGCCTGTCATGCGCTCCTCGTGGAGCTGGGCACTTATGAATGGACCGTTCTTCTCTTCTCGGATCCAACCAATCGCTGCTTTTCCTTGATCGGTCGATTGGTCTCCGTAGAAGCCCCAGAGCACAGGGCAGAGGAATCTGTATTTTGCCAGGAGAATGTCGATCATGGATTGGCCTTGGTAGCAAAAGGCATCCATGGAGAATATCTGCGCTGTAAGCACGCCTAGTGGTTCGGCGCATTTTGTAGTCACGCCTGCTTCAGCCATAAGCTGCGCAAGGACAGATTTCGCGAGGATGTTCAGCAGGTATACCCAGAGAGCCGGGACCTGTGGGTTTTCGGCATTTGCAATGTTCGGGGGAGGAAACGCGATGAATTGCCGTATATCTACGCTGGGTTCTGCTAGTTCCTGCGCCTTCTTCAGAATCGCCGCGATTTCCCTTGTCTGCATAAAATTGAAAAAGAAAAGAAAAAGAATTAGTCAGTAATCTCATTCAGTGATAACCTATTAGGGAAAAGGAGGTACTTACGGGTTTCTGGTTTGCTGTCTTATCGTCTGCTACCAATTGGCCGACACACTTTCGGATAGTTCTGCGCATGTCACCCATATGCTGCTTCAGGATGGCGTTTGACTTTGTCTGGGCTCTCATGTAGGACCGGAAGTCCTTCAGATGAGTATGTAACTTCAGGTAGCGTTCATGCTCTTGGATTTCCTGCTGGGTCCGATGATTGATACCAAGGGCTGCCTGTTTCGTTACCGCTTGTTGCTCCTTTGCCTCGGCTGCTTTCCGTTTTGCCTCCTCTTCTGCTTTGATTCTCGAGTCATCGTCCGCCTTCTTCTTCTCTTGCTCGGCCTTTTCCCGCTGGAGTCGCGCCTTCTCTTCCTCGGCGGCCTTCTTTGCTTTCTCGGCTTCTTCGGCCTGTCTAGCTTTCTCTGCTTCCTTTGCTTTGCGCTCTGCTTCGAGCCTGGCAGCCTCTTCTCTCTCCTTCCGCTCTTTTTCCTCCTTTTCTTGCCTGATCTTCTCCTGTCGCCGTCTCTCAGCTTCTTCTTTCCGTCTGCGTTCTTCCTCTACCGCCTGCAGATGGAGTCGGAGCGTCTCCTCTGCCTGTAGCCTTCTCTGGTCACGCTTTGCCGCCGCGGCATTGAGCGCGGTGGTGTGAACCTCTTCTCTCTCCCGATCTATCCGATCAAGCTTCTCGTAGAAAGTCCGGCTCTCATAAGCTTTGACAAGTTTTAATTCTTCGCCATGTATGCGAACCTGTTCTAGATCCCTGGTCAAGTCCTGCAGGAGCTGTCTACTAGGGCTGTCAGGCGCACGATGAGCAAGAGTGTTCACTCGAACCATGATTTGGCTGGTTGCACTTTAATATCCAAACTCGATGACGCGTCTAGGGAGTGGGCGGCGGCGTGTCCAATTTGCCTTTTCCGAGGGACCGAGACGAACAATTCAGACACACAGAAGAGCAAAGCGACCCAGGGAACGCCAGCAGTTAGCTGCTATGGGCGTAGTCTAGATCAGACAGCCAACCGACGGAGGAGCAGCAACGGCGTAGTGTTAATGGACACAATTGGAACTACCCAGCACCGATGGCGGGACTGAATTAAAGAGCAGCAGTAGAGAGCTATTTCCCAGCAGAAGAGGCCAACCCCAGGCTCGAAGGGGATTCTCCCCCGAAAGGAGGAGGGAGGTGTTCTTCTTGCGGGGCAGGGCCAGACAACGGGGGGGTTTGCCGGCCTTTTATCGAGAACGGAGGAGGAGGGAGAGTAGGGTTATGACGAAACGATCCACGCAACAGGCGACCTCTGCTAAAAACGAGAGTTAGTAAAACACACACATCCCGCAGTTCCAATGGGGGTGAGCTTACCGCCAACCACTGTTGCAGCGTTTTCCTGGGGCTGCTGTTGGTTGTGTTGTCGCCGCCGTCTCGTCGAGGTTGAAGAGTTGAAGTTGGTTGAAGTCCCGACGCTTTGGCTGCGCAGGGGAAAAAAAAAAGATAACCAAGCGCGATGATCAGATAACTAAGCAGGCCCCATAGCAATCAACACTTGATATCAACACAACAACAAGAACACCGACAGCGACAGCGACAGCGACATTATTGACAGCGATGCTGACAGCCACGATGACATCGACAGTGACTGCGAGAGGAGGCCAGCTACATTCAGACGAAAAGGGATAACCTGTGATTAAACGCATAGCCGTTCCAGTGGCTCGTCTTGAGGCGATCGAGCAGCCCAAGCCGACACGCCAGCGCCATTGCATCACCGACTCGGCCTGTCTCAACGGCCGTCAGCTGTCCCAATGCCGGCCTGCCAGAGTAGATATAAAACGGCGTAGATTCCAGCGTAGACGCTCTTCCTGCTCTCTTCTCTCTGCCACCCGCACTTCACCGTTTCCTCCTTGTCCCTTCGTTCCAGCCGTTGAACCTCACCATCACCATCACCATCACCATCACCATCACCATCACCATCACCATCACCATCACCATCACCATCACCATCACCATCACCATCACCATCACCATCACCATCACCATCACCATCACCATCACCATCACCATCACCGACCCCTTAGCTACCTATCCCTATCTAATAACCTCCTCTCCCTCCGTCAAATCACCTCCCAACACCCGCCTAGTAATCCGCATTAATCAGCCTTTAATCAGCCCGCAGCCAGCTTCGCTGCCGGCCGGCTCTGACGTCTGTCTCTCTGTAAGCCTGTAAGTCTGCGCTGCCCGCCAAGCCCTGGCCCTTTGCCCCCCCAAGCCTAAACGGGAACAACAAAAACCTCCTAAAAACCGTCGCCGCCGTCAACCTCGCTCCCGTCACCTCCTCCATCAACCACCCTCTCTTCCTCTCTTCCTCTTCCTCTCTCTTCTTCTTCTTCATTCCTGTTCTTGTTCATACGTCGTTGCTGTCGTTGGCCGCATCCGCATCCTGGCCGTCTCTCCTTTGCCTGTGTCTGCCGGCTTGTTAGCCTCTCCTTTTGTTGGTGTCTCGGACGGCCGTCCTCGTTCGCCTCCTGTCGCCTCCCCCACGCCCAACAATCCACCCTCATTCAACTGGTGCTGCTATACAGCCTACGCACTCTCGTCTGCCCGAGATCAAGCGCCGGAGACGAGCTCAGTCCCTTGTCCGAGCTCCCGTCGACCTCCTGGGGGTGCAGCTTGCTACGCTGTGGTGTGGCCTCGTCGGAGCTCTCTCCACCAGCACCACCAGCACCACCACCACCCGTCCAGCGTCAAGCCGGGGCAGAGATCATCAGCCAAGCAGCAAGATAAATCCGCAGAAGAAGAGGAAGAAGAAGACGAACGAAGAGACGCTGAAAAAGCTGCCTTTTTGCTTCTTCTACTTCTACTTCTTCTCCTCCTCTGCCAGCTGCTTCCTTCCCTGCATCCTCAGCTTCTACGGCCCTTCGTCCTGTCCATTCCTTCCCAGAAGCTTTGCATAATTTGGCTCCGAGTCAACATAAACAAACGAGAGACACAGCATACTAAAAACAAACTGCACACATTGACACACTCACATACCACTTGCACACACATCTTGGATCACATTCACAGAATACGGCATACTTGATACTTGTTTTTATCTGCTCGATCACGGAGATACCCCTTCTCTCAGTCCTCCGCCTCTTTTTTTTTTTTTTTAATTTACCCCTTAGCACTTTGAATCCCATCGTTTGTGATTAAAGAAAAACTGTTGGCAGTACTCATTGCTCTTCAGTGGCATGGTCAGCTTAATTCTAACTCGCCTCACTTGACAGACAAACGCCAGGATCAGCTCACTTCTGTGGTGCTTTTGGTTGTCGAGTAGACTACCTTCTCTAGCCTCCTTACCGCGTTACCGGACATAACTCAATTGGGACATTTGTTCCCTTTTTTTTTTTTGGACTTTGTCAGTAGCACCGGAAAAAAAAAGTTTCTGTCGTTATGGATTCCCAGGGTTCCCAGGGCAATTCTGGCCCTCCCAGGGCGAATGGCCGTCCCATTCACATTGGACATCGACGCAGCCCCTCGGAAATGACCCCGTTAATTAGTACGTAGGCTATAACATGCACCTCATAGGAGAGATATTGTGGACTAACCCGTTTTGAATAGTGGAACAACTTGCTCTACAACAGCAAATTGAAGTTCTCCAGCAACACCAGCAGCAAATTGCCGCCCAGCAACAGCAAAATCAGCAGTTCTTGAATATCGGCATGATACCCCAGCAACAGATGCAGCAGATGCAGCCCCTTGCCTATCCCCAAATGCAAGGCCAAGGTGTCATGCCCGTAGGTTTTCAATTCCCTCAAATGCAAGGCCAACAGCAGCTTGGAGTCCCCGGCCAGTCCTCTCATCGCCGTAATCAATCGGCCCTGCCAAATGTTGGCATGGGACCACCCCCCGCCCCATCTTCCGGGGCGTCTGGTTCTCAGTATGGCGAAAACGCACAGAGCCGTGGAGGCCAAGGCCGCGAAAACAACAACAATAGCAATAATAGCAATAATAACAATAACAACCAATCTCGCAGGGGGGCTGTTCCTGCCGGAGGAAGCCACCATCGTCGGCACTCGCTCGCTTTACCCGAAGCCAGAAGGGCCGCGGAATTGGCTCAGCAAAGGCAGACCGCCGGCGCCTTCAAGTTCCCCATCCCAGGAGGTGCTGGAGCTTCACCTTCTTCTGCAGGTCAAGGCCAGGGCCAGGGCCAGGGTCAGGGTCAGGGTGACGCCAACGATGATAAGCCATCAGAAGTCGCTGGCCCCGCAGTCCCGGCACCTTCCCCTCTGGCAGCAGGACTTGGTGTCCAACGCTCTGGAAATATCCGTAATGCTCATCTACGCAGCCAGTCCATGGCTGTAGGTGGTGCTCGCCAGTACTCCGGGAGAAATAACCCCTCGTTCCAGTTCCCCCAAGGCGGTGAATCTTCCGGCTCACCTGGACCTGATGCTGGACGAAGAACCAGTCACGCCAGCCATGGACGCAGCGGCTCAAGAAACTTTGACAGCAATTGGCGCCAGCAGGGAGGTGCACCAAACACCGCCAGCAGTGGCAGTGGCAACCAGGACCCCCGAGCCAGCCTTGGTGGCCTCTCTCCCCAGCCGCAGCAAAGTGGTAACGGTTTCCAGCCAGGTCACCGTTCCAGGGGATCTGTTAGCTCCATGTCCGCTTTCCAATTCCCCAACACCCAGCAGCTTTTCCAGCTTCCTCAGGGCCAAGTCGTCTTGCCTCAGATGTACCAGGGCCAACAACAGCAGTTACTTCACAATAATGCCCTTCAACTGGCACAACTCCAAGCCTTGCAGAGCGGACAGCTCGGTTCCTTGCCACAGAACCTGCAATTGGTTGGTCAGCAGCAAACCTCTCAGCCACAGCAGCAATCGCAAACGCAGGCACAGCAGAATCGCAAAACTCTGTTTACTCCATACCTTGCTCAAACAATGCTTCCTGATCTCTTCGAGGAGGGCAAACTGGTCACTGGCATCCTTCGCGTAAACAAGAAAAACCGTTCAGACGCATATGTTACCTGTTCTGATCTTGACGCCGATATCTTCATCTGCGGTAGCAAGGACAGAAATCGAGCTCTTGAGGGTGATCTTGTTGCCGTCGAGCTCCTTGATGTTGATGAAGTCTGGAGCCAGAAGCGCGAAAAGGAAGAAAAGAAGAAGCGCAAGGATATTGATACCAGAAGCGGAAGCACAGCTGGTCTTGACCGAGGTGGCCGCTCCGACTCCAATGCCACTGCTGACATCCAGCAAATTGGCCCTGACGGTAGCATTCGCCGCAGAGGTAGTCTTCGCCAGCGTCCCACCCAGAAGAAGAACGATGACGTCGAAGTCGAAGGTCAGAGCTTGCTTCTTGTCGAAGAAGATGAGATCAGCGATGAGCACAAACCCCTGTACGCAGGTCATATCATCGCTGTCGTTGACCGTGCGGCCCACCAGATCTTCGCTGGCTCCCTGGGACTCCTCCGACCCAGCAGCCAGGCAACCAAGGAAAAGCAGGAAGCAGAAAGACAGGCCAGAGATGGCTACTCTGGACGTCCTCAGCATGAGCGCCACCAGGAGCGACCAAAGATTGTTTGGTTCAAGCCCACCGACAAGCGTGTACCTTTGATCGCTATTCCAACTGAACAGGCACCTCGTGACTTCGTTGACCGTCACGCAGATTACGCAAACACTATTTTCGTTGCTACTGTCAAGCGATGGCCCATCACCTCGCTCCATCCATTTGGAACCCTTTGCGAGCAGCTTGGTCCAATGGGCAACCTGAAGGTTGAGATTGATGCCTTGCTTAGAGACAACAACTTTGCTGCCGATGATTTCCCGGCCTCTGTTCTTGACAAGGTTGGATTCGAAGATTGGTCCATTGGACAAGAGGACCCCCAGTCCCTTGCTTCCCGCACGGATTTCCGTGAATATAACGTTTTCACTGTTGATCCCAACGGAGGCAAGGCAATGGACAATGCCTTCCATATCAGACGACTTGACGACAAGACAGTAGAGATTGGTATCCATGTTGCTGATGTCGCTCGCTTTGTTGATCCTAGCGGTGCGGTCGAACGCGAAGCTAAGAAGCGTGTGTCCAGTGCCTTTTTGATGAATCGCATTGTGGACATGCTCCCGCCACACTTGGCCCAGAAAGTCATGGCTCTCTTGCCTGGAAACGATCGCCTCGCTGTGAGCGTCCTGCTCCAAGTTGTTGTTGAGTCTGGCAAGATTGTCGATCAGCCCTGGATTGGCAAGAGTATTGTCAATAGCAAAGGAAAGCTAAGTTATGCCGAGCTCGATAAGATCATCAAGGGGACTGGGCAAGTTGAAGTCAATGGTGTCTCCGTCAAGGACATCAAATTGTTGGTTGTAAGTATCCACTGTCTATCATACTATTCATGTAAACCAAGATGGTCTTACTAAGTCCCTACTTTCATAGGATGTCTCTAACAAACTTCGCGATGCTCGTCTTGGACACCGTGCGGAGAAATTGCGCCCTCTCCGCCTCTTATACCAGCTTGATGACGAGAATGTTCCTGTCCAGCAGAACATATTTAATGCCTCCCCAGGTCGTGAAGCTATTGACGAGCTCACTTACATGGCTAATCATTATGTTGCGAGGAAGATCTTTGAGGCATTCCCTGAGCATGCGCTTCTCCGTCGACAGGCTTCGCCCAACTTTAGACGCCTAGGCACATTTGTCGAGCGCATGTCCAAACTTGGGTACAACATTGATCCTACCAGCAGTGGCACACTGCAGAACAGTCTTTTCAAGGTGGAAAATGATGACGTGCGAAAGGTATGGTCTCCCCATCATCACTATTCACAACAGCCACTGGATTAACATGATTTTTCTAGAGTATGGAAACGCTCTTGCTCAAGACTTTGAGCCGTGGAAAATATTACACCCCTCCAACTGTCCGGGAAGAGCACCGTTCTCACTACATGCTCAACTTATCACTTTACACTCACTTCACTAACCCATCCCGTCGCTATGCCGACATTGTTGTCCACAGACAGCTAGAGGCAGCATTGGCAGGAACAACAGAGTGGCAAGATGAATTAGACTACAAGGCACTTAACTACCTTAACAGCAGGAAAGACTCTGCTCAAAATGCACAGGAGCAGAGTGTGCACTTTGAAGCGTGCCACGCCATGGAGAGGAAGAGAAAAGAAATTGATGGCGACCTCATTGCCGAGGGAATCGTTCTCTGCGTATACGAGTCTGCCTTTGACGTTTTGATTCCTGAGTATGGCTGTGAGAAGCGTGTTCACTGTGACCAACTCCCTCTTAAGAAGGCAGAGTTCCGCAAGGATGACCGCGTCCTAGAGTTGTACTGGGAGAAGGGCGTTCCGTCCTCTACCTACATCCCCGAAGATGAGCGTCCCAAGTCAACTCTCAGCGGACGTGCCGCTAGCCAGGCTGCTGCTGCCCGTGAAGCGGAGGAAGCTCGAAAGAGAGAACAGGAGAGGGAAGAAGCCCAGCGAATCAGCACCGAGACCAACACTGTCTCTCCAAATGATGTTGATGCTTTGTTTGACGATGATGAGGATGCCCTCACTGATTCCTTCGCTGGGGTGTCTCTCAACTCTCCTGACCGTTCCACACAGAGCATGCCACCATCTCCACGAAATGGTCCTGCGCACCCACCTCACCGTACTCAATCTGACCCCAGAATTGCAACTACTGCGGGCGAGACTACCAATGACGAAGATGCCGAGGGTGGCGAAAATGCCAAGAATACTCAGAATGGTGAGGACGGCGAGGATGGTGAAATTGTCGAGTTGAGTCCAAAAGAGAAATATGGCGATCTTTTCGAATTGCGCGAAGAGGATGGCGAGTATATCCAGGATGTCAGGGAACTGACCCGCGTTCCAATCATTCTCAAGATCGATCTCAGCAAGAGCCCACCGTAAGTTTTACTCTCTACTCCACTACTTTTAATGATCCCATTACTAATAATCCTTCACAGTTGCTTGACTATCCGATCTATGAATCCTTACGCTTTGTAAGAAAAAAAAAAAGAATACGATCATTGGGCCGACCTCAAGTAATGGATCGGATTTCAATCCCACCATTGCTGTTGGTCGAAAACACTCTTATCAAAATATGACGTTGGCAGTGGCTTCCACTGTCAATCAAATCGTTGCCGGGACGTTCAATACTACCTTTATTTATCCAAGATGAATTCCGCTCATTAACAGCAATCGATCTGTGTTTCCTCAGTGTGATCCGAATCACACATGTCGCTCTTTTACTTCATCATCATCGGTATCGGATACTCATTGCGGGCGTTATCTGCTTTTGTCCTTTTTATTCTTTGTTATGGTATCTGGTCATGATACATCATCCCCTTATCGTGCCTGGAAAGGTGTTCCCGAATCTGGAGCAGAACGCACCTCGACTTGAACTATATAATGAAAGGGAGGAATAGGAGAAGTCCCTTTGCGCCAGTACCCCTCGATTTCCAGGACGATTACCCACCCCATCTACAAGTCCTCTCGCCAAAAAAAATATAAGTTATACGCATTTGCTCTTGCATTTTTACCAGTTTGGCCACAAGGGAGTGTGTGTTGTGTTGGCAACAAGCTGTTTATCTAATATGGTGTCTTTTTGTCCTTATCGATCTGTTACATTGTGACATTGTTATTACCATTATTATCGTTAAACCCCCGGCTTGTTATCAATGCTGCGACTTAATGTTTCTATAGTCAGTCAGTCAGTCCTAATACAAAAATAGTCACTCGTTAACTCAGCTCTTTTGTAAAACACGTCGATTAAAGGACCGCCTAGGTACTAGTTTAGTTGATTGATTATCGTCGTATTTTATTGCCTTAGTTACGGCAAGCACAACATAGCCAAGTAGCCATATACAATTCATCCCAAATAACGCAATTGTATCCACCAACCCGTAATTATGCCAGACCAGTACATCCCAACCCATCATTATCATAATCGTAAGTAAAAACCAATTGCTCTCGTTAAATATGTATGCATGTCTCAATGCAGGGAAGGGAGAAAAACGATGGATGAAACAAAAGTCGCTGCAGAAACACCATCCATTACAACCTCCTAAGACCCGTCCGGGGCTTCGGTCTGACCGTTAGGTTACTCAAGGTATGTTGGTGTTGCGGTTTCCTAGCCAGGGGAAGGGGCGCAAGGCTGCTTCGAACAGACAGTTTATCATCCATTGAAAACGAGGCTTCGACTTTACTTGTCAGGAATGGTGCTGGACCACCGGCCTGCTTCATGTTTGTCTCCTTTGTGGTCATGGTGGCCGTAGCGGCACTTATGATTGGGCTGAGCGGTTTCGCATTCGCGTAATTGCCACCGTCTGACCCGGCGGAGCTTCGCTTCCTCTCAGCCGTTGTCTTCGCTGGAGCCAAGACGCTGACTGGGGCCATATTAATGCACGACCGCTTCGCTGTCGAATCGGAGAGTTTAGGAGCTTTTCGCCGCGGTTGGAGAAGGAGTGATTGATCATTTAAAGACGGAATGTGGTGTTGGTGTTGGTGTGGGTGTTGATGTTTTGAATTTGACCTGTTTCTGCGTATGGTAGTTGCGAAGTCGGGGCTGTTGGCTGCTACGTTCTTTTCCGAGGCTGTCATACCACTGAACTCTGGCGGCTGATCTGCGCCCTCTTCGTCGTCAGATGAATCATTTACCAGAACGAGCTCTGGTTCCTCTGCCACAGAAAGGACGGATAGGGGGCGTTTCCCAAGGACGCTACGTGGGCTGCGGACAGGCATTATAACAGGAGAACTTGAAAGTGTTGGATCATTCTCCTTCGATGCTGAGTTTTCTGAATCCGAGTCCGCATCTGCATCTGAATCTGAGTCCTCGGCTGGCTGATTCACTTGCTGGTGTTCCGAAGCAGGCCGTTGCTCTTCCGGTAATGGTGTAGTTGATTGCTGTTTTCGTTTCATGATGACTGTCTGTACTGGCACGTCTCTATCCGAGACGTTCTGCTCTTCACCAGTTGAACTGACAGTAACGTTGTCATCTCTTTTGGCTTCGTTCACTTGGTCTTTCATATCTGCGGGGATAGGAGCATGGATAGAGGTCATCAGCTTGGCCTGCCGAGCGAATGACTCGTAGTTTTCCTGTAGCAAAGCACCGGCAGTGGCGTTTAGTGCCGAATCAGGGTTTGGATGTATCAAAAGACACGATATTGTCTAGAGCCGGTGATTAGCACATTCTCAGTCCGTCAAGAGCAAAGGACACTTACGATCAAGATATCACTCAGTGTAAGCTTTGGATCCCAGTCTCTCTTTAGCGTGTCCACACAGACGGCGCCGGTCGATTCCTCGACATTAGGGTGCCATATCCGTGTCTTGAAAAACGCCTTTGGCGGGCTTGTGGGGTAGTCTTCCGGCAGACGAAGCTGCAGACGCCAAAGTCCCTGCGAGTAAGGGGTCCCTGATGGCCCCGTAAGCAGCACAGTGAGCTGCGTCAAGCTATCTGGGCCGGCGGGGTTGGAGCTGGGAAAGCAGTAGTATGGCGGGAGGCCCTTGTGATGGAGCGAGGCATGCTCCCTGGCCAAACGCTTCAAGCTGGAAGCCTAGAGAGGCTGTTAGCCATGCCGCGAGCTTGACATCATCATCAGGAGGTCATACCATCTTCCCGTCTCGGCTGTGACAAGCGTGGCGGGTAGAGTCAGTGTGCGTCTGGCTGCTTCTTCTTCCACGAACACAGCAGCGGAAGGGAGCAAAATTACCCTGCAGCGTCTTCGTACCACGCAGCAGTCGCTACTCTTCGTGCCGGTATCCTCTCCTCTTGCTTGTCTTAGGTTTCTGGGCGTCGCTGATGTTTGCTGTTTGTTGGCGGCAGTGTTGTTGTCGTTGTTGTCGTTGTTGTTGTTGTTGTTTTGGCTGATCTTCGTCGAACTTCGTCATGTTTGTTTTGATGCGAGGTTGGGGGGCGACGGGCGCTAGGCCCAAAAGGGTTAAATAGACACGAAAACGGCGCCGCGACTTGTTGATTTCGCGTTTCTTGCAGCGACAGAACAACAACATCACGCCTGGCGCTGAGGAACGGCCGCGCATGGCGGGCGGACGGGTTGCCGGGGGCAGCGAGGGACGAGGGGCCCCCTGGCGCGCTGTGAGAGTGCCCCTCCTGTCAACAGCTGGCGGCAGGGCAACGAGAGAGTCTATCCCCAAGGCAAGTTGCCCCATGAACGCTGGTTGTTTGTCAAGCTAAGCCAAGCATCGAAGTATAAAAGCTATCTTTATATTCTAGCTACTACGGAGTATATCACCAACATAAAAGATACAGTCAAAATGGGACAGAAAGGGATCAAAATTAAAGAGCCCATGACCGAATGAATGGCAACGTCACAAAGATCTTTTGTTCCAGAAAAAAAAAAAACATTCCATTTCTGAGGCCACCCAACCGCGGGAAAGGGCCTAACGCCGAGTGAAGTAAACATGCGTGGTATATTAGATTAAAGGGAAATAGTACAGGAAAAAGGGTCTACATTGATGGATGCAAGAAGTAACGACAAGAATAATGGAAGGGTCAATTTTGTCCAGATTATCTCCGTTCCTTAGGACCGATTAAGGAGTAATGTGGCCCAGATAGAGGAACGGGGAACTCCCCCATTGCAGAAGAATGAATGCATTTAAAGGAAAGCAGCAACGACGGCAGCACCACCGATAACACCGGCGATGGCTGGGCCGGCGGTGGCAGCAAGACCAGTGGAGGTGGAGGTGCTGGTCATGGAAGAGGATGGGCCAGAGCCGGTTCGGGTGCTGGTCTCAGCGGTGCTGGTTGTGTTGTGTGGCATAGTGGAAGAGCCAGTGCCAGTGCCGGGGATGCCAGTTGGGCTGCCACCAGTTGGGTATGGGGCAGGGGCAGTGGTCATGACCATGCTGCTGGTGACTGGGAGGATGGACATCGTCTCTTCGAGCTGAAGGAAAACATGTTAGCAGCTGGAAAACCGCAAAAGACACACCCATGGACATACCTCAGAGTTGGCCATGGCAAGGGTAGCCAAGGCAAGGACGGAAACAGCAGAGAAACGCATTTTGATGTGTGGTTTTTCTTGTTGAGTTGAACTCGGGCGACGAATAAATGGATGTCTTAAGAAGTTCGAGATTTGGTATGTGCTCGAGTGCGGCTGTTGTTGGCGAGTCGTGGATAGGAGATGTATATGGGAAAAGGAGAGAGGAAGAAAGGAGAAGCAAGACAGAGAAGGGATGGGGAATATTTATAAGGTGGACACGGCAACAGAAAAAAAAACCCGATGGCTAGACAACGAAGCACAAAGGTTCCCTGTGATTCGTAATTTTGCCTTGCCTTAGTGGCGCATTTCAAAGTCGATCTTCCTCTGGTTTCACCTGCGGCTCGCTGGGTAATATTGCGAAGTGGACCAGGGGCAGGCTCCACGGACAGCCAATACGGACCCATCAGCACTGTTTCTTTTTCCTGAATCCGCTGGTTGACCGGCCATCCGGCCCATTTCCCGTTGGGTGGTTGACAGTTTGAACGCTTAAACCGCCCGTTCTGCCACGAAAGCAAGTTGGTCGCCTTGGTCTTGGATACACAAGGTATGGAGAAGAGAAAGGGGAAGTGCCGCAACTTGTCCAGCCACCAAGCAAACACGACAACTCCCCCTCCCACGGCTGGGTGCGGACTTGTCTGCCGCAGCATATCAAGACGAAGAGGTTGGATGTTGTTGTTGTGCCCCCTTGTCTTTGTCACGGCATCAACTGCGCCTTGTCATGCATCTAGCCAGCCCAACCACCCTGTCGTGTTATCTATACTCCATACGGAAGAGCAAGCGATCCCACCAGCCAAAGCATAAGCTTAGGGGGGGAACGCATTCGTCAGCTCCAGCCATAAAAATAGAAACAGGCCAATAATGCATCCCTTTCCAACCAGAATCCCACAACAGCGCAAAAAGGTCTCACCTTGCAACAGGGAAGAAGAGAGAAAAGGAGGAGAGACCGAGAAAAAGAAAACGGAAAATTTCGTCCTTAGACGCAGACTGGTTAATTTACAGAAATGGAGCTTTTTTGCAGTCCGAATTCTTGCCCAGCCGGCGCGGGTCTGGAGCGAACAATCATTGACCGGGAAAATATGGAACCAGTCTGCCTTCTCGCCTGTGGTCTGAGACGTTCCATCGCACCAACACTCACCGGTCCTTTTACACTAACTCAAGCCTTTCGCCTCGAAAACGATGAAGAGGAAAGAATTTGAGGGAAAGAAGCTTCATTGTTCGCTAACGGAGTACGGAGTACATACAGGCTATCCTGGATCCTGGAAAAAGAAGCCAATCGAAGACGGACGTTTCTTCTGGAGCTTTCGTGTTAGCTCAGGTCGATGTTCCTGCGTCTTCCTGGCCCTTCAGCTGCTTCGTACTCCATACGGGTATCTCTTCGATATGATCTCTTATTACGGAGTATGGAGCCTGATAAATGCGTTACATCGTAATCTATTGATTGGGCTTCTTTAACGGGCAGACTCCAGCTCGGTCTTGACTATGGAGAAGTTGCCCAAGTGCCAAATTGCTTAATAGGAACTCCGTACTCCGTACGCTTCTCTCCCGTTTTAGTGCGCATGAGAAACATATGGCCGACAGGGCTCTTGCACATCCCCGTCGTTAATTAATTCTCCCAGCCTTATAATATTCAGGGCATCCAGGTCCCCCATTATTGGCTACGGTCGGGTTGGCAGCAGAGCAGCATCAGTTTCATCATCGCCACGCATAAAACTCCTCGGGGAGATGGATGTGTGAGGAAGTACTCCGTATGTGCCTATCATATTATCTGACTCCGGCTCATTCCCTATATATAGTAATACTGGCCATGCCTCACTGCGCAAAACAGCGTCAATTCTCTGGATTATCCGTAGTTCCGCCGTTTAAGTACCGTTTCGGAGGAGACACTACTCCGTACTACTGAGTCAAGACTACTGCTATCTTACAGAGAGGGGACGATATTTCGAGCAAGTTCCAGCTGCCAAGATCGCATATCCATCCATCTCCCCCGTTTGAGGTTGGGGCAGCAGCTTGCCTGCATATGCGGAGATACTTCCATATCAACACATACTTGCAACCAGCCACTCCAATCTCGCACTTCAATTACGCATGGCCGCGGTATTACGTCAAATGACCACTTATCATAGTTTTGGAGTGCACGGAGTCTACTCCGGATGGAGCACTCCGTACGCCATGTCTGATTCTGTCGATATGTGACGATAAACACACTCTATATTCGTCCAGCCACAGATATACACATGCACATCTACTGCTTCAAGTCAGCAGATACACCTTTCTCACGAATCCAGTCTGCAAACTCCCTTCGCTTGGCCTAGATTAAGAGAACCCAGACAAGTTAGCAAAACGTAGCCCGCAGAATGACGTATACAACTCATCCCATCCACAGCTGAGTGTCAGCTCCAGGCAGAACAAACCCTGATATCAAGAAATCCCATCCGTTCTTCTAGTCCTCTAAACGGATTCTCTGCACCGCCTCGCTTCTCTATCTCGCCCGCCCAAGAACTCCAGCTAATCGGCCGTAGCTTCTCAGATCCCATAACCAACCCCGCCGTCACCATTATCACTGACACAAGCGTCTCGAGCGTGATATCCGCCGGAAGAGAATGGAGGCTGCCGTATAATGTCGAATGTTCATGTGTAGAGTACCCCCTAGTAGGTAAGCTATAGTTAGCTATCTGCATGTCGCTCAAGTACAGGATTTTATCTTGCGGTTTAATATTAGGGGATTGTCGGTTCTCTCACTTACGCATGGGCGAGAAGAAGCAGGCCGAAGCCTACTATTAGGCGAGATAAGCTCATTATCTGCAGCGGAGCTATATGCTGCGCTCTGGTATCTTGTTGACGTTTGATGGTGGTGGTTACGATATTAACACTGCCGAGTTGTTATTGCTGGAGCTTCGAAAGATGAGCTTGGTGGATGTTTGTCTTGTTTGCATCGCACTTTTTTTTTTTAGCTTTGGATAAGTTGCTGCCCGATAAGCGTCGGCAAGTTTGATACCAACGTTTTACAAGACGAACTCAAGCTACTCTACAGCGTGAGAGGAAGAAAAAACTACTGGTCGAGTCATTTGAATTTTCATTAACGTCAATAAACATAAGCAGGAATGTCTAGCATTTTCTGTACTACGCGTGTTTTCGACAAAGGGAATATTCGGCGTCCTAGAGCCAGAAGTTCATAATCCCCGCCTGCTCTTCATCATATGTTTCATAACATGTTAAAACGCGAGGTTACTCGACGTGGTATCTTTTTCTTTTACCATTTGTTTTGATTTTTTTGTTGTTTGTTGTTTTGATTTAAAGCTTTTGCATGGCAGCCTGCAGTTCGAGTGGGTTAGCTTCTGCCAGAGTCATTTTATATATAAAAAAAAGGGCAAATAAGAACTTACAACATCGGTGGACTGGACATGGTCCTCGAAGCCCTCAATCTCCTCCTGCAAGTCGGAGAGGGAGATCTTCTCGTCCTCAATGACAAGGTTGATCTGCAGCTTCTTGATACCGAAGCCAACGGGGACAAGCTTGGAGCCAGACCATACGAGACCATCCTTCTCAATGGATCGTACGTGAGCCTCAAGCTCGGTCAAGTTGGTCTCATCATCTAAGAAGAAGAAGTGGGGTCAGTATATGGGAAACATGTAGAGTAGAGGACCATATCAGACATACCCCATGGCTTAACGTCAAGGGTGACGATGGACTTGGCAACTGGCTTGGGCTTGCTGGCCTTCTTAGCTCTGTAGGCAGCAAGGTTACGCTCTCGCTCAGCAACAACCTCTGGGTCCTCGTCTTCACTGTCGAAGAGGTCGATATCATCTTCATCTTCAGCAGCTGGGGCCTCTTCCTTGGTGTTTATTGGGAGCTCGCTGTTCTCCGGGCCATAGGCAGTGTAGTCCTTGGAAGCATCTCCTGGAAGAGTAGCGAACTCTGACTCAAAGGAGGCAATGTGCTTGTACCAACGGGCAACGTGTTGGTATTTGCTAGCCTCTGGCTCGCTCTTGAAGGCCTTGAAAGTGACAACATCAGCCTGAGTTGGCTCGTATCTGTACCTTACGTTAGCATTGGCCATTCATCCCGAACATAGATGGACAATTGCGTGGATGAATATCAAAAAAAAAAAAAAAGGAACAGCGCAACGCAACAGAGAAGGTGTTCTTTTTTTTATAACTTTTTTTCAGAAACGTCACAAGGACAATTGTGTTTTAATCACTCGGCGGTGTCTTAAGCCGCCTCATCAACACGGACCAACTTGCTTTCATCATAAAAAGAGGTGTTTTGGGGGAATTTGGTACTTGATGCTAGGGGAATAAAAGGGGCGGTTGGGCTGTAATGGCTTACCCCTCAACATAGGTCCTTCGCGAGAAGAACGAGTCGGCGACTGTACAAGATGATTAGCCTCCGGCAGACAGAGCTAGGTGGCGAAGAGGCACTCACTGGCAAGGCCAGAGTCGGTAGAGAAGTCGGCGAAACCCATGGTGCAGCGAATTGAGGGAGCGGCGAAGAGCTTTGCGAGTGTGTCTTTCTTGCGTGGATGTTTTTTGATGGAGGGGAAGAAACGAAAAGAAGAAGAAAAAGATTTTTTCCTTAGTGAGAGGTCAGGTGACTGCGGCGGAAGGTTACCTTGGGCAACCAAAAGAGAACTCGGCGGCGAGCTTCACGACTGGGACAGGACCGCCGCATTCTGGAGCCTTCGAGAAGGGCCGTCGACTCGTGGACGGCCATCGCAGAGGTTGGGTATATATAAAGGGCAGGGCATGGTATGTTGGTCTCCAGCAAGTGAAGACGCACACCATGTCTTGTCGTCTTGTTATGCGAGGGAGCCGGCAGCTGCTTCAAGCTCCCAGAGCTGCAGCTCACATTAATACGACCGCGCGAAGAGCCCTATACAGCCTGCCACCCCGGCAACTGTCCAAGCAGTATGTTCCTGCATCCGGTTTTGTGCGTCACTATGCGAATGGCAGGCCTCATCCTCCTGGCGGCACGCACCGAATGAATCTTGGTGGTGAGCCGGAGAAGCCAGCGTTGGAGCAGTTTGGAGTCGACCTTACGGCGAGAGCGAAGGACGGAAAACTCGATCCGGTCATCGGTAGAGACGCTGAGATTCACCGAACGATCCAGATCTTGTCGAGAAGAACGAAGAACAACCCTGTTCTTATTGGAGCGGCCGGCACGGGCAAAACTGCTGTACTCGAAGGATTAGCCCAGCGGATAGTCAGAGGTGATGTTCCTGAGAGTGTCAAGAACAAGCGAGTTGTCTCTCTTGACCTCGGACAGCTGATTGCTGGTGCCAAGTTCAGGGGTGACTTCGAAGAGCGGCTGAAGCGCGTCCTGAAAGAGGTGGAAGACGCCCAGGGCGGTGTCATTCTCTTCGTCGACGAGCTGCATACCTTACTCGGCCTCGGCAAGGCAGAAGGCAGTATAGATGCAAGCAACCTCATCAAGCCTGCTCTAGCGAGAGGAGACCTTCAATGCTGTGGTGCTACCACCCTCAATGAGTACAGGCAGATCGAAAAGGATGTGGCGCTGGCACGAAGATTTCAGCCCATTCTAGTGGAGGAACCGACTGTTCCAGACACCATTTCGATCCTCCGAGGAATCAAGGACAAATATGAAGTTCATCATGGAGTCCGAATCACTGATGGTGCTCTAGTTGCTGCTGCCACCTACAGTAACAGATACATCACCGACCGTTTCCTTCCAGACAAAGCTATCGATCTAGTGGACGAAGCTGCTTCGGCTCTACGGCTTCAGCAAGAGTCAAAACCGGACGCTATCCAGGAACTTGATAGGCAGATCATGACCATCCAAATCGAGCTAGAGTCTCTTCGGAAGGAAAAGGATATAGCTAGCGTGGAACGCCGGGAGAAGCTTGAAGAACTCCTCAAAACCAAGCAAGAGGACGTTGGAAAACTCACCGAGGCATGGGATAAAGAGAAGGCGGAACTTGAAGCTATCAAACAAGCTAAAGAGGATCTGGAACGGGCCAGGGGCGAGCTAGAACAAGCCCAGCTGGAAGGTAACTTTGCAAAAGCTGGTGAGCTGAGATATTCGACGATCCCGAATCTGGAAAAGAAGCTGCCTCAAGAAGACGACACTGGTTCGACGGGAACGCAAGGACAAAGCCTGCTACATGACTCCGTTACCGCCGATGACATTGCCGGTGTGGTCTCTCGCACGACAGGTATCCCTGTCAACAAACTGATGTCCGGGGAGGTCGAGAAGTTAATCCACATGGAGGATACTCTCCGCAAATCCGTTCGTGGTCAAGACGAAGCCCTTGAAGCGGTAGCAAACGCCGTAAGGATGCAGAGAGCCGGTCTCAGCGGTGAAAACCGACCCTTAGCATCCTTCATGTTTCTTGGGCCCACCGGTGTTGGCAAAACTGAATTATGCAAAAAGATGGCTGGTTTTCTTTTCTCAACCGAAACCGCCGTTGTCCGTTTCGACATGAGTGAATTCCAGGAGAAACATACTGTCAGCCGGCTCATCGGATCTCCAGCTGGATACGTGGGTTATGACGACGCTGGCCAACTTACTGAAGCCGTTCGCAGAAAACCATACGCTGTGCTCCTCTTCGATGAGTTTGAAAAGGCTCATCGTGACATCTCTGCTCTTCTACTTCAGGTGCTGGACGAAGGCTTCCTCACTGACGCCCAGGGTCACAAAATCGACTTCCGAAATACCCTCATTGTCCTTACATCCAATTTAGGCGCTGAAGTGCTTGTTTCAGCAGATGCTTCTGAGGGTGAGGATATCTCTCCCGAAATGAAGTCAGCAGTAATGGGAATTGTCCAGTCATCATACCCACCTGAGTTCCTGAACAGAATAGATGAATTCATCTTATTCAAGCGATTGTCGCGATCCGCTCTGCGGGATATCGTCGACATTCGCGTAAAGGAACTTCAGGATAGACTAGATGATCGGCGAATAACTCTTAGTGTGAGTGACGAAATCAAAGATTGGCTCTGTGAAAAAGGCTATGATCCCAAGTACGGTGCCAGACCGTTGAACAGGCTCATTTCCAAGGAAATCGGCAATCATCTTGCGGATAAAATTATTCGGGGTCAAGTTGTTTCTGGTCAAACAGCTACCGCTATCTTCAATGAAGACAAAACGGGATTGGATATCGCAACTGAAAAGTCAGCCTGAGCCTCTGGGCTATCATGTATGATTATGATATTGGTTTGTATTATATAGCATTATACCATGAATCTCTTTTCTTTATGTTCTCATATCAATGGAAGAACCCCTACTCTATTTAGTATATTGTTCTAAATTATCATGCTCGTTTACAAGGAACAGTTACCTTGGGCCGATGCCACTTTTGTTCCTGTCTTAATCGGGTAATGCCCGATTAAGCTTAAATCAACATCAAGTCATGGACGACAATTCCAACATCCATTCTCTTTTCTCTTGATAAAATATTATCAAGAATACACAACCGCACCGCAACATGGCACGGTCATTCCCAGCCAGGCAGAGGAGGTATCCATTCGCGAAAGGCCGTGGAAGAGGGTACTTTGCCCGAAGGTCTCGTGGAAACAGGACCTCTAGCCAAGATACCCACTATATTTCGTCCCGGCCATCTTACTCCAGAGCCACTTCTGTCGCAACCAGTAGAAGTCTCCAGAATGAAAATGAAAATCTTCCCTCCAATGCATTGCCACATAGTCAAGTTACTACCCAGGAGGAGCGATTGGACGATGATGATGAGGAGCTTTGCAGGGTCATCATGGCCGTAGATATGAAGGACCGAGGAACAGTCGGCTGCAGTTATTATTCCGCTCAGGAAGAAAAACTATATGTCATGGAGGATATAGTCTATGGTGGGCATGATGTTATTGACATCTGTACGTGGAGACTCCGCACTTGTCTCTCTTATGGTCTACTAAATTCCCTTTTGACTAGTAAAACTAGAAATTGAACCCACAGTGCTGCTGCTGTCTCTGCGGGCTGATCAGGGGTTAGAAGATCCTACAAACGCAGGAAGCACAAGTCATGCTCCCTCTGACACCGGTTAGCCTTCCATCACTCGATAGAAGCAAGTACAAATATTTAACTACGATGCCATAGACTCGCATCTCCAGCTACCATACCTGCTAGACGTGCGTCCAACCCAAGAGTTTGGATTTGAAAATGCAAAGATCAAACTCGCATCTTTCAAATTCAACTCCAAGTCTAATGAAACGTTTAAGTTTCTTATACCGGGAACAGGCTTCTCTCATGATGGTAATGTTACAGGGGAAAATATTGACTTCACAGAACAGCAAGGCGATTTCTTGAACATCGGTGGGGTTATTGATATGGAAAACCGTCTATCCGTCGGCTGTGCAGGAGCGATCCTCACGTATTTGCAAAGGAAGCGCGCTACTTTATCCCTGCAACATGGCTCGTTAGTCGCTCCCGCAATCGGTATTAGTGCTGTTGGGATGATTAGCCTACAAAAAACAATGTCAGTATTCTCTTGGGCTTTCGTATCATAACAAATTGAGCTAACATATAAGCACAGGCTCATCAATAGAGATACCCTGGCTTCCCTTCAAATACTACAGTCCGAGTCCCATCCAAACGCCTTCAATCAAGGCCCAGGCAAAACGTCATCAGGGTCCAAGGAAGGGTTATCTATATACGGTCTTTTCCACCATTTTGCAAGAACACCCCAAGGAAAACGCTTGCTAAAGCAGCTTTTTCTTCGCCCAAGTACTGATCCCACCGTAATTGGCCAGAGACATGAATTTCTCAGTGTCTTTTTACGGTCGGAAAACGACCCCTCCCTTGGACAACTTGTCAAAAGCTTGAAGAATATTAAGAATATGAGACCGGTTATGGTTCATCTGCGAAAAGGAATTAGTACTGGAAGTGCGAAGTTCAGAGGGTTTAAAGGTGTAGTGTGGTCCAGCCTACTTGACGTACGTCTATTATCTCAAATCCATATATCTAGTGGCTGGCTCTGAATAGGAACTAACATGAGTTATAGTTTGCGTTTCATGCCATTGATATTAATCAAGCTTTAAAGGAGGTTACTGGAGTTCAAGCACTAGACGTTTGCATGAAGGTGGGCTCATGAGAATCAAACATTGTTGACTTGACAGTTCTGACTGCTTGTTGTTTTGTAGGCACTACTAAAGCTTGATCTGTTGCAGTTACATCGGGTTGGGGCTAAAATCCATGAGATAGTATGAAAAACCTTGATATCTTTCTATTCCAGCTAACCGGCCAGTAGGTTGACCTTTCTCTTTCTGTCGAGGAGCATCGTACAGTGGTTCGACCTGGAATTGATCAGGAACTGGACAATTTGAAGGAAACCTATAGCGGTATGGATAGCTTGCTCAACCAGGTTGCTGTCAACATTGCCACATCCCTCCCAGAGGGAATAACGAAGGAGATCAATGTCGTTTATTTCCCACAGCTTGGCTTCAATATTGCCATGCCATTTGACGATAGGGGTATGCCTATGTATGGTTCAAACGATGAGGACTGGACTCAGGTATTCAACACGGAAAATAGAGCTTATTTTAAAGACTCAAGAATGCGTGAAATGGATGAGAAACTAGGTGATATATACGGATTGATCTGTGGTAAGTTTTGACTACAGAATTCCAGATCTCTGTTTATATCACTTACAATATTCAGAAAAGGAAATAGAAATCGTTTATAAACTTGCACAAGATATCTTGATATACGAGAAGATGCTTGTTGAAGCGTCTGATATATGTGGGGAGATTGATAGGTATACCATCCCTAGACCCTAGTCTTCAGCTTTTTCTCACAACTAGAATAGTCTTCTGGCTCTAGTCCAGGGTGCTAGTTTGCATAAACTTGTAAGGCCTCGCATGACCGAGGAGAATATAATATCCATCAAAAGTGGCCGGTAGGTTTCCATTATTACCCCCGTCTCCTAACGAGGCTTCTAACTCTCCATAGTCATATGCTCCATGAAGCAACAGTGTCATCATTTGTACCCAATGATACCTTCATTGTCGGCGGGAAAGGGTCCATGGAGGACACCTCAAATGATGTGTCCTCTAATACTAGCCCACGTCCCGCAGGAGATACAGCTCAGGGGCCAAGCATGCTCCTGTTGACCGGTCCAAATTTCTCAGGGAAGAGCGTCTACCTCAGCCAGGTAAGCCACGTTCTATCCAGATAGCCTAGCTAGAATTTAACCCTGTATAGGTTGCTATCATCGTTTATATGGCTCATATTGGAAGGTTAATACCAATTCTCAGTTTCTATCCTTCAAAGTCTAACTACTTCCCAGCTTTGTCCCTGCTGATAGCGCCATAATTGGCTATACTGATAGGATATTGACTAGAATATCAACTCGAGAGACGGTTTCAAAGGTATGTGATACTTGCTGCGCAATGTATATGATTCTTACAACATCAGGTTCAAAGTACATTTGCGAACGACCTTCAACAAGTATCATTTGCCCTAAATCAAGCTACCAATAGAAGTTTGATAATTATTGATGAATTCGGAAAAGGCACTGAATCATCTGGTAAAGTTTCTTCCCCAGATAACACCAGGCTAATGCTAACTCAGGATCGTAGATGGTGCAGGTCTGGCCTGCGGGTTGTTTGAATACGTCTTAAGTATGGGAGATCAGCGCCCAAAGGTGATTGCAGCTACCCATTTCCATGAGATATTCGAAAATGGATTCCTCAAACCACGTCCAGAGTTAGAATTTGGTCACATGGAAGTCCAAATCAATCGTTCCGCTCAGAATGTTGAGGATCAAGTCACATACCTCTATAAGTGAGATATCATTGTTTAGACCATTAAGAAACGCAAACGCTGACCTTCTAGTAGTTTCCGGCTGGGAAAAAGTAGTTCAAGCTTTGGAACCAAGTATGTGTACGTACTGTATCATGATAGTGACATAATTAACGGTCCTCCTAGCTGTGCTGCAATGGCAGGGATAGATCCTGAAATAGTCTCTCGCGCACGGGAAATAGAAGCATTGATACATCGCAAGGAAGATCTGGTAGCTAGTTGCGCAAGCATGACCGCAAGAGAGGTGGAAGAGCTTGAAAAGGCGGTATGTACTGCTTCAACCTTACTCCTCATACCTATAAGTGAAGTCACTGCATTATCCCGCAGAACCTAACCGGCACTCAACTGAATTAGGAGCATCTGGCAAGGAAATTTCTGGAAGCCGACTTTTCAAAGATTGGTTCAGGAGAAAAAACGTCAACAAGGTACGCCAGATCACTCCTCGAGGAGATAATAGGGAGTAGGGGGGATGAAATCTCCTATGTTATGGAGTCAGATGAGAACATAGAGAATAGCCCATCCCTTGCAGTAAATTCCCCATCTCTCCTGTCACCTTAATCTCTCTCTACTGCATGCAATTTGCCATGGTTATGTTATCATCAATCGTTTCTCTTTTATTTTTATACCAAACGACGACACCCTCTATAATTTTACACTCTTCACCAAATTCTTCTTGATACCCGTTAATTCTCCGCCATATCCACCACGGCCTTCACCACCCTTGTAGATCTGCTTCATGCTTCCAAGCTTCTTCTTCTTGGCCTCGAACTTCTTTCTCTTCTTCACCCTAGGATTCCGCACATCTTTGCTTCGTTTTGGTGCCAATCCTTTGTTCTTTTCAATAGCATAGGTGATAGCACGTTTGCCATCAGGGCCAATCTCCTCTTGGATCTCCACGCGGCCACCCTCCTTAGCAGCAAGGGCACGCGCTTCCGATAATGCCTTCTTGTCAGCTTTCTTTTGCTTCTGACGAGAGGCAACCATGTCATAGTAATCGTCGCTGTTAGATCCATCCATCTCACCCCGGACTTCTCTGGCCACCTGATAGTCATCTTCATCACTATCACCGCCAAGGCGCTCGTTCTCATTTGCTTCCATGCGACCTCTCCTCTGTGCCTCCTCGTTAAGACGAGCCTGGCGGTCCTTGTTTCGTTCCTTGTATGGTAGATCTGTATCTCCACCAGCATGTCTACCGGCAGCATCGCGCTTGTTTGCTTTTTGGGCGATCTGGGAGGTATAAAAGCGTAGTGATTTCTTCTTCTTAGCTTTCTCGGCAGCTTCATGAGCAGTAAGTCTAGTCTCGTCTCCAAAATCGGAGTCGTCGTCATGAAGTCGTGGCTCACGCTGCGAAGCTAGCCTTGACGAATTTCCCTGCTCCAGCAGCTTAGATAATTCCTGTAGGCCAAGCTCAGTCTGGTTGAGTTTTTCAGCGCGCTGCGACTCGAGAACTGCCTGGGCCTCTTCCACCAATCTCTGAGCCTTTGATTTTTTGGGTATTTTCGCAGCTTTGGCTACTTTTGATGGCTTGTCTAATGACGATTTTTTGGCTGGAATTGCGATGGAAATTTCTTCCTCCTTTTCAGTATCAGATGGTGCTTCTTCAATCTCTTGCAAGTCTTTTACTTGTTCCCAAGTTTTTCGACAGGCAACCAGTGCCTCCATGACAGGGTGCTCTCTGAGTTCCGCTGGTGGTAAGGCTAGACAGCTTTCAGTGCCATTTCGGGCAGGGGAAGTCAAAAGCACAAAATACATGCTAATGACTCCAAGATAGGCAGCTAATGCACGGAATTGCAAGACGGACAGTGGTGTCTTCTCATCCGGGGTTTCCTTGCGAGACTTCCGGGACCCATCAACTGCCACAGATAGTTCCTGGTATCGAGGCTGAAGGTCTGCATAATCCTGTGACAAAGGTATAAACTCAGGGTACCGCTTCGATAAAATATCCAACCTCTCCTCGACACTCATGTCATCAGGTATCTGTATTTCTGGGAGTACTTCTGTGATAGTTTTTCCATGCCCTATGGAATCTCTCGATGCTTCCCTATCCCCTTTTAGACCGTCAAGCCATTCAGATTCGTCAAATCCGAAATCAGCATCCGTCATGGATTGTAGTTTTTTCAGCTGGATCTTCTTGGCTTCCTCCTCTTCTTCCAGCGCATCTCCCTCTGTCTCAATTGTGTCCGCATTGTAGTAGTCCGATTTCGATGCTCCCCATGCGGTGATCCCTTCTTCCTCGTCTTCCTCTGGTTTCTTACCGTCGTCAAGGAGGTCGGGACTCAGTTCTTCTCTTCGTCGTAGCTTCGGAAGTTTTTTCTTTGATTGTGCGCTTTTGTCTTCCTTTTCTACCTCTTCTTCCCCTTCTTCATCCCCATAATCATAATCATCTTCCGATGCTGACTCGGACAGGTACCCGTGAACCTCTTCGTCTGATAGTTGTAGTAACCGCTCTAGATATTCAAAGTTAGTACTCGGGCGAAGTATTATGAAGGAAAGTGAACGCGCAAATACCATCTTCCTCTAGCTTCCGCCTGCGCTTCACTTCCGGGCGTTCCTCGAGCAAAACACGATCCCGTCCAGCTTCGAATTCATCCTCAGAGTTCTCAAATCGTGCATCTGCCGCGAACCTTGAGTTTTCGTCTTCGATAGGATTCTTGCTGCGGTGAGCCAGGGCAGTTCCACCAGCCTTTCTCTTCTTTGCCATGTTATTTTATGGAGAGAGGAGTGTATCCTGATCTTCCCAACGCCTGTCGCAAGATCAAAATTGATTATCAAAATGTCATTCTCGAGCTAAAAAAAAAAAAAAAAATACAAAAATTACCACAAAGTCTAGTGGAGCAGCCGAGGCTTAACTCAATTAGGTATAGTGTAATTATGGTATTAATCACGGTTATCGATAAAAAAATAGTATGTGGTGATCGTATGTAACAGTAAGGTAGTTATTTCATTACAAAGTCTTTTCGAACATTTTGAATAATTTGCGTCAACTTCTTATAACTACTTGATAAAATGAATTAACGGGTAGAAGCAGTATACGCCATATGTTTCCTGGGGCAATTATTTAGTCTAGATAATTTGCGTTGAGGGTTACGTAAATTTAGTGTTTCTCGTAACTTGAAGAAGGAATTATTGAGATGCACGGTACTTCTCGCTAGTCAGCTAGTTAATTGTGAGCCCCTGAAGACGTTTCTACAAATCAACACCCAACCTCTACATTCATTTCTAAGATCACATAGACCCCGAAGATTGTGTAGGATCCAGATACTTCTAAGTAGGTAACTCTGGCGTGAAGCCGTCTGTATGGAAGGGATAACATATCCGAGTGTTCAGTCGGTTGCGGCAGTCTTGCTCTTTGGCGTCTTTATATACCTGGCAGCACCGATGTTTGGTTTTGGTGGGAAGAACCAATTCCAGGTCGATGGACAGGTACGTGGGTGCTGGTGACATAGATGACATGTTTGACATATGACTGATATAGGCTTAGACGGTTCTCATCACTGGAGGCTCAGAGGGAATGGGCCGAAGTGTTGCCATCGAGCTATCGAAAAAAGGCGCCAACATTGTCATCGTATCTCGAACTGTATCCAAGCTTCAGGCTGCATTGAATGACATCAAAGTGCGTATGCATATTGACGAGCAGCACATCTGAATGACCGTTTTCTCATGTTTTACACAGGCTGCAGCTTTATACCCGGAGAGGCAGAAGTTTCATTATGTCAGTGCAGACCTCAAAGACTACGAAGGAACCGAGCATGCGCTGGAAGAAGTCAGCAAATGGAACGGCGGCCAGCCTCCTGATATTGTCTGGTGCTGTGCCGGGATGTCGCTGCCTGGATTCTTCGTCACCACTCCACCAGAGACTCTAAAGTCCCAGATGGACACAATCTACTGGACTGCTGCCTTTACCGCGCACTCGACTCTTAGCAGATGGCTGTCCCCGGTTGACCCAAGTTCAAGAAATACAAAATATTCTCCCCGCCACATCATCTTCACCTCTTCAGCTGCCGTGTTTGTACCCTTGGCTGGCTATGGTCCTTACAGTCCTGCAAAGGCCGCTATGAGAGCTCTGGCAGACACCCTGGCACAAGAGATTGAAGTATACAATGGATCGAGGAAGAACCTGCAACAACCAGCTCCAGCTGCTGATGTCAAGATCCATATCGTTTACCCTATGGGAATCCTCTCGCCTGGATTTGCCCACGAACAAACAATTAAGCCGGACCTGACCAAACTGTTAGAGGAAGCCGACAAGCCTCAGACGCCGGAAGAGGTTGCTAAGATATCCATAAAGGGCCTTGAGAAGGGGGAATATATGATCACTACTATGTTCATTGGAGCTTTGATGAAGGGAGCTGCGATGGGAAGTAGCCCTCGAAACAACATCATCATCGACACCCTTATTAGCATGGTCAGCGCCATTGCATTCATCTTCGTTATCCCGGATTTGGCAGGCAAAGCATGGAACTGGGGTCGCACTCATGGAGTTCCCAAACCTCGTTGATAGCCTCCATTGCCTGGTGATGTGAAATTACTGGTTACTCCCGAAGGTGTACCTGGAGTTGCACCTTACCTCAACCACATATTTCCTAAGATTCATAAAAATATCATTATTGTTTCCTTGAATATTTGCTTCACACAGACTAGTCAGTGCTATCTGTGATGGTAGAACTATGTAGTCACACGGCTCTTCTCCGCGTTGCACAGTACGTGGCAGGATAGTAGATAATGACTTCCACCGGCTCTATCATGACGAAAGACGGGCCGCCACTCGGCCTGTAGCTATAGCACGATATTCAGGCATCAAATGAAGAGCATGGAATAGTTAGCAGGTCTGTGTGGATAAGACGAATGACGTAAGAAGCCGTCTAGCTCGTTGACCAACTGGAAGATCCTTGTCGCAAAAAATATATATATATATATCTAAACAGAAACATCGCATAGCCAGGCTCACCGGCTTCCTATCGCAAAAGTCCGGCCAGCGATGGGTGCACTCCTCTCGATTCCAGTGCTATCATATCTGCTGATACCGTCCATGTCTTCGTATGGAACGAGCCTGAACCTGATCTTCTTCTACCTCACATGGACGACACTCGTTCTCTCCCACGGCCCGTTGAAAGTTGAGCTTGTCGGTACTACGGCCGTCCGATTGATATTTTACCTCATACCGTCCGTCCTGTTCTTCTTATTCGATATCCTAATTCCCTCTGCCTCGGTGGTGTTGAAGGTATACGGCAAAGACGGCCTGCCACAAGGGAAGAAGAAGAAATATGGCAGTTCGGAGCTTAAGGTGGCTGGCTGGGCTATATTCAATTTGATTCTGGGCATAGCAGTACAGGGACTTATTGAATTTGTTCTGACGAGAGTACTGGGGGTGAAGAGTCGGCTGAAAGTGACGACGAAGCTGCCTCTGCCGTGGGATATTATCAAGGGAGTGGGGAGGGCGCTGATAATTCGGGAGGTATGTTTACAAGCTGCTCTTCATAGACGGCCAAAGACTGACGTCTTATCCAGATACTGCAATACCTTGTTCATCGCTATGCTCTGCATTCATGGACACCCTTCCAGCAATATCATAACGACTGGTACCATTCGATACACACTCCGTACCCGCTAACAGCTTACTACGACCACCCGGTCGCATACTTACTTCGGCACTTCCTTCCTACATTCCTGCCAGCAGCAGCATTCAGATGTCACCTGCTGACATACATGCTCTATCTCAGTATTGTATCATTAGAGGAAACGTTCGCGCATTCGGGGTATAAGCCAATGCCAACGAGTTTCTTTATTGGCGGTATAGCTAGACGAGTGGACCTGCATCTCTTGCATGGGGGGCATGGCAACTATGCGCCTTTGGGGATAATGGATTGGTTATTTGGAACATCTATAGGGGACGAGTTGGAAGATGATATTCCAGAGCAGTCTAACGGCGAAAGCATTGCCGAGAAGTTTGTTGAAAAGAAGCCAAGGCGAAGCCACCGCCGGAAGACCAGAGAAAATGTACACTAACTAATGAAGTTATTATTATTCTTGGATAAAACATTTAATGTTTCTTGATACCAAATGATAAGTGGAGGTGAAAGAACCAAAATGCCATCCAGTCATTGCGATTTTATTGGTAATAGTGACATGTTTATGAGCGGTTTGTAAAGTAAAAGGTAAATAGGGGAGTGTATTTGACAACGGGTAGAGATATAGGTATGTGGTATGGGATATTCGATCAGGAAGACAGATCTCGCTCATGTCAGAAGGTGGAGAAGAAACAGAGAAAGAGGTTGCTTGTTTGGTCGTCATCGGTTTTGTTTGTATTATATTGCAGGGTGTCTGGAATATTGCAACCAAGGCCCTTGATTTCTTTGGAAATTTTGATATTTCGGTGGGAAACACGCCATATCGGTGTGACGGAGGAGCATAGCTTTAAAGAACGCAAGAACATACACACGTCAAGTTGAGGGCGTTGTGTTGCATATTCCCTCCCTGGCAACATACAAGGAATCTCCGCTTAGTGAAAAGAAGAGAGAACAGAAGACATTATTTTAACGGCCATGAAACCACCACACTCCCGAATCTACCACTTCATCTCATGGGGTCTGTCACCCTTCCGTAGGCTGAAGCTGGAGGCAAGGTAGCTGTCGAGGAACTCCTCCTTCTTGATGATGGCCAAAAGGGCCGAATCGACGGCCTTTTGGTCGCTGGCACGTTCGCTTGTGATCTTCTTCGTCTTCTATATGGGGAAGCAATACATATCAGCAATTGTCCTCTATTCCGCTTTGTCCGCCACAAAGATTCCCGTTGTACATACCTCAGGTGCTTCTCCTTGCTTGAAGAAAGCCTCCTCTCCCTTCTTCTCAGTGCTCTTGCCGGCGGTGAAATATCCGGGCTGAGAGACCTTCTCCAAAGTCTTCTCGTCAAGGCCGGTCAGCTTGACGGATGCGCTGGTGGCAATGACATATCGGGCATTGACTCGTCGGAGTGGGACACCGTTGAGCTTGTAGGGACCGGTAACGAGGAGGACACCCTGTGGGAGGTGCTTGAGGAGGACAACACGCTTGCCACGGAAACGGCCAGCGAGGAGGATGAGGATAGTGCCCGGCTGGAGACTGGCGCGTGGCTTAGCGGGGTTGACGGACTTGCGAACCTGTAGTTAAACGTCCATGTCAGTAACCACAGTCTTCCACAATTCGTGATATTTATATATCAAAAATATATATCGAAATATATATTTATATTTTGCCGTTCCAATTGTATATCGCAATTCTCTTGGAAATTGGGAGATATTATCGCCAAAAACAGCAGATTCTCCTCTCGGCTGCTCCTCGAGCATTTGCAAAACGACTGCAACAGGGCGTCGACGCTGGTATACTGACTTTCTTTGGCTGAGGCTCGTCATCAACAGGATACCACTTCTGTGCCTTTTGGGCCGGGACGTTCCTCTCGCCCTTTCCGAACTTCTTCGTCTGGCCAGACGCCGACATGTTGGCTTTATGTGACGAAGATTTGGGAAACGAGAATTGCAAGACTGCGGGATTCCCGGGGGTGGTCGACGGCGACGGTGGGTGGTGGTGGTTTTTGTCGTTGTTGAAGATCTGGAAGTTCGAAGTTCGACTTCTCGCTTTGCGCTTGTTCGATATTTTGTGGGAAGCGCACAAAGTGCCCTAGTTCTAGCCGAGGGCGCTAGGCCGCTTTGGGACGGTTTCGGCATTTAATTTCTCCGAATGAGTAAGACAGAGTCTGTTATTAATTAATTAGTCAGTTTAATCCTTAGTCAGCAGCGCTTGGACCAGCCAGCAGCCAGAAGAAGCAACAACAAGCAGAAAGTCAAGCGAACCAACGACAAGGACGAGACTGGCGGGAAGCAGAAGACGAAGACGAAGAAGAAGAAGAAGCAGACGAGAAGACGAAACGACGAAGCGGACATGTCGATAGCACCGATTATCACCTTCAAGGGTGGCATCTGCGAACTAGATGTGCGTTTTCTGTGCATGGCTGAGCTGTAAAGGTGCTAACAGGCAGACAGACCTCCGTTACCCCCAACGCCGTCAAGGCTCGGCCTACGCCCGGATACATCTACCTCTACTCAGAAGATGACCTTGTCCATTTCTGCTGGCGGCCGCGTTCGGCGCCCATAGATCAGCCGGAGCTCGACCTGGTCATGGTGCCTTCCGACGGAACCTTCACGCCATACAAACCCACCAGCGCCCAGAGACCGTCCAACCCCGAACGGCCCACGAACGGCAGAATATACGTTTTGAAGTTTGCTTCCAGCTCGCAGAGACACCTTTTTTGGCTGCAATCTCGGAGTCAGCATGAGCAGGGTAATCCAGCGTGGTTCAGCGCGCGAGATCTAAAGCTGGGCCAGATCGTCAACACCCTGTTGCAGGGCGAAGATATCGATGTGCAAGACGCCATTGACAGCCTGCCCAGGGGAGACGGTGGTAATGATGGTGGTGATGATGACGAGACCATGGAAGACGTAGAGGGAACAGACCATAGCCCCGAGAGACGACGACATGGTGGCAGCGGAGGTGCCGGGCCTGGTGCTACGGGCGGTGACATACGAGAAGAAGGTCAAGAATCAAGAGAGGGGGGAGCAGATGGCGGACGAGCGTAGGTATTACTCTCGGCACAGCATTTTCTCTTTTGTTGCATCTCTTGCTATCCTCCCTGCTGCTCTGTTTATGATCTAGAAAACTCAGAGCATTACCAGAGCCTGCGTATAGTTTTGATGTTATGCCAGTTACGTTATTTGACTTTTGGCTGTATACGCCCAACATTTAAATCTGTGTTTTCTTTTTGTTTTGTTTTGCTGCGTGCCGAATATATGTATTTTGCTTATTTCTTCAGCTGCGTGCACAATACTAACTTGAGAGCTCATAGTGCCGCCGGTTCGGATCCCTCCTCCGTTGTACAAAACTTCCTTCAGTCCTTGCAAGGCAATAATAGCCAGCAAGAGACGACAGAATCGCGGTACACGACTCTTGCCGATCTGCTATCGACCCCATCGACCCTACCTTTCCTTGAATCGGCAGACGAGAGCGCTCTCAACCAGCTGCTCAGTTCTCTTCCCGAGTCGTTGCAGCTCCTCTCCAAGCAAAATAACAACGCACCAGTCGAGCGTATTAGCGTCGACAAGAAACGTAACGCCCTCCGTAAGGTCCTTCGCTCTCCACAGTTTGCACAGAGCCTGGGTAGCCTCACCATGGCCATCAGAGACGGAGGACTTCCCAGCATTAGTGACGCACTCAAGATCCCGGTCCAGAACGGCGGTTTCATGCGTCGCGGTGGTGTCCCGCTGGGAGGAGGAGAGGCAGTCAAAGCGTTTGTCGAAGGCGTCCGGCAGCAAGTAGAGGACAACCAAAAGGGTGATAGCATGGAGACAGACTGAGATAGCGGCTTTCAACGGTCCCTATCTTTCAGATCTTCACGAATAGCTCTATCTCTCCCCTGGACCAGCCGTCTTAGCTTAGCCCCAAGCCCCCAACCCCTGATGCGAACAACCAGTGCCATCGAAGAGATGCTCTGATTAGCTGGCTACAAGGCCGCTAGTTATTCTTAGAAACAACTCCATGTCCAATTCGTGAAGGACAAATGATTCTCCAAGCCACTCTCATCGTCGTATCTGTATTATGTATCTGTATTACCCATATATAATCTGCACTTTCGCGTGTAATTTATGTGTATGTAATTCAATTACGCAACTCGTCACTCTTCTCAGCCACGATCTCGCCAAAACTGACAGGCGAATTTAGATCCTGGGGAAGACGCAAAGCACGCTCGTTGTCAACTTCGTCTGCTGCAGAGCTGAAGGGGTTCGTCTCTGGAAAACACCCAGCTAACAACTTCTTTGTCCTCCCGCTGCTTTACGCCCATCTCGCACCAGTGTTGCAGCACTTGCCAACGCTGCGTGTGCAGGACCTGCTCTCGACCTAGTTCCTTCGTCTCGCCTACGACCTGGACAACGCGCGGTCCATTCACCCGCCAGATTTTTGACCGCGTCCTGTTGCTGGCCAGGGGAGCCCGCTCATAGGACGTTCACTCGATACTTGCCTGGGACCGATAGCTGCAATGTCTACGAATCGATGAGCAGAAGCGCCAATAACAAATGGCTCCGTCCGAGAACCCCAGCTACGATGCGAATAACCAGTCCGGCAGCCATTCGATACCCCTCCAAGACCTTTCAAGACCCCCGGGTACGGTGATCGCAGATGGCGCTGGACGCCGGGCGAGGAGTGCTACGATTGAAGATGAGCTGCCGGGGAGGCAGACCTCTGTTCAGGGAATACGCGCTATAGGCAGGCCCCTTTCGCGACGGTACGAGCGGATTGCAGAGAACTCGCCTACAGGAGACGGGAGAGCTGATGGCCCTGACAACTTCGAATCTGTCAGTCTGTCTAATGATGCTGGGCCGTCAGGCTTTGATCATGCTTCGTTTCACCAGAGTACTATTGGATTGAGCTTCGGGCCCCAGCAAGTTCGACATTCGGGATCTTCTACGGCGTTCAGTGGACAGGTCGGAAGGAGTGATGATAACAGCTATTTCGGTGCTTCTGAGGATACGGTGGGCCAGAATGGATCGGGATCGTTCGCCGGGGAGAATGATTCGTTACCCCTTACGGATTCTCGATATTTACAGCCAATTAGCGGCGCTTCTGTCCCGGATGCACAGGCCCAGGTCAAACGGAATTCCAATGAAGGCCGAAGTGTTCATTTTGCTGGAAGTGCTACAGGAGGCGGTTCTCACCTGGGAGATGACTTAGAGGGCGGTCTTCGGTCGGGGCGAAGCAGCGTACGGAACTCACATCGATCTGCTACAGGGCGGCTTTCACCCTCTCCTTCTCCTTCATCAGCTTTGTCTAGGGCAAGCTCCATGATGAGAATGGTCTCTCAGCGTGTTGTCAACCTAAGTAATGAACCGGAGGTTATCGAAAGTGTTATGAGACAGAAATCAGTACTTAAGCATGCCCGCATGGATGAACCCCCCTCTTTACCCGCCATGTTAGAATATGCGCATGATGTTGCTTCCTCAGAGACCTTAAATGAGGGGGGGCCAGAAAAAAGGCCTCCAAAGCCAAAACGGAAACATGGACATCCGGCCATAAGTCCATTAAGGGGTAAAGCATTGGGCATATTCTCGGCAGACAACCCGGTCAGGAAATGGCTGTGTGAACTCCTGGTGCATCCCGCAACGGAGCCAATAATTCTGATTCTTATCATTATCCAGACAATTCTACTAGCCATCGAATCCTCCGTTCACACTGGCCGGAAAGGAAGCTGGTCTTCTCCCGTTATCGACATCCTCTTCCTAGCAATTTTCATCATATATACCCTTGAATTGATAGCCAGGACCATCGTTTCGGGATTCATTCTCAACCCTGAAGAATACAGTACCCTTGACCGTTCAGCAGGGTTTCGGAATGCTGTAATGATAAAAACAAGAGAGCTGTTTTCGTTGCAGCGGCAGCCATCAACAAAGAAACCTGCAGATCCTCAGCAAATGTCTATTATCAGATCATTTACCACGATGCAACAACAAGCAGATGAAGTTGGAGATGGTCGACAACAGCAGCGTATCCGGCTTGCCCGCCGAGCTTTTCTACGACATTCATTCAATAGGCTGGATTTTCTAGCCGTTGTGTCATACTGGATTGCATTTGCTTTGTCCGTCTTGTCCATCGACACAAACCACCACATTTACATATTTAAAATGCTAAGCAGTCTCCGGATCCTTCGTCTTCTTGCTTTGACAAGTGGAACAACTGTATGAATTCTAGTTATCCCTTTCCAGATTATCCATTCCGTATTGCTGCTAACGCTTTTCTAGGTGATTCTTCGAAGTTTAAAAAAAGCAGCACCTCTTCTAGTCAATGTTGCCTTCTTTATATGCTTTTTCTGGCTTCTCTTTGCCATCATCGGAGTCCAAAGCTTTAAGTCTAGTCTTCGTCGAACTTGTGTCTGGGTGGATCCATTGGGTGTAAGCAATTTCACCTTCAACCAAGCTCCGGATACAGTTCAGTTCTGTGGAGGCCACCTAGACAATGTCACTGGCCTAGCTAAACCCTGGATCCATGCCAACGGGAGAAACGGAACGACCACTCCAAAAGGGCATCTCTGCCCCCAGGGGTCTCTATGCATCGAGGGCAGTAATCCATATGCAGGCACCATAAGTTTCGACGATGTGTTGCACTCTCTCGAACTTGTGTTCGTTTTAATGAGCTCAAATACCTTTTCCGACCTCCTTTATTTTACCACAGACAGCGATTACCTTGCTGCCTCCCTCTTCTTCATTGCCGGCTTCATCTTCCTGAGTTTATGGCTCGTCAACTTGCTAGTGGCTGTTATCACTTCGTCCTTTCAAGTTATCCGAGAAGAAAGCAAGCGAAGCGCTTTTACTGCTGATAGAATCGACGATGTTGGACCAGAGGACACGTCTTTTCGCAGAGTCAGCAAACTAAAACGGCTCTTTAACCGGACAAACTACCTTTGGATCGGCATAATAGCATTCGGCCTAATAGTTCAATGCCTAAGGAGCTCCTCGATGAGCTCTAACCGAAAAGAGCTTATTGATAGCACGGAATCTGCCGTCACCGTCATCCTGTTTATCGAAATTTGTTTCCGCATTGGGGTAGATTGGCGAAATTTCTTTAAATCCCGGCAGAACTGGGCTGATCTCATCCTTGCCATCATCACAATGGTGATGCAAATCCCCCCCATCCGCTCGTCGGGCAGTGTCTACGCAGCATTATCCATCTTCCAGGTACTCCGTGTGTATCGGATAGTACTGGCCTTTTCGTTGACGAGAACCCTTATCATGACTGTGTTTAGCAACATCGTTGGTCTATTTAACCTCATTATCTTCGTGTTTTTGATCACTTTTCTCACCTCCATATTTGCTGTCCAATTGTTCCGTGACCAGATACCTGCCATGGACTCAGATGGTGAAGTTACTCGAACTACATTCTCCAATATATATAACTCGTTCCTGGGGATGTATCAGATCCTCTCCAGCGAGAATTGGACCTCGATTCTATATTCGGCTACCGAAGCTAATAGCCCTAGAGGCACAGCCTGGATTTCAGCAGCCTTTTTCATCATGTGGTTTGTGCTCGCTAACTTCGTCGTGCTGAACATGTTTATTGCTGTCATCCAGGAAAGTTTTGATATTTCTGAAGATGAGAAACGGCTCTATCAAGTCAGAGCATTCTTGCAACAGAAGCAAGTGAGCGAATCATCCCATGGGAATCTTGCCTTGTCCAGCATATTTAAGTTTGGCCGTGGCCGTGAACGATATCGAGACCCACTTGATCATGGTCCTGCTGCACTTGAGATGCTTCTAAAAGAAGCTGTGGTTCAAGACTTCTTAGACGAGACATCACCCCTACGGCCCATGGAAACCCAGCCTACTGAACACCCGCCGGAACAACAGGCAGTGCAGCCAGGATTCTTTTCCCGTATCTTCAACAAGTTAACAGAGCGTGTGTTGAACAGGGAGCCGAACCCCTTTTATTCGAAACTCAAGTTTTCAAGGGACCATGACGAACTGGACCCGGCAGCAATGGCAAAAGAAGTCCTCTCAGCTGCTGAACAAAGAAAACGAGCCCAACGACAATACCTCCAAAGATACCCAAAGTACAATGTTTCTCTCTATATTTTTACGCCCTCTAATCCTATCCGCCGAATTTGTCAACGAATGGTAGGACCGGGCCGTGGAAAATCCCGTATTGAAGGGGTGGATCCATACAAGCCAGTGTGGTACCTTTTTTCAGCATTCATATACGCTGCCATTGTTTCAATGGTGTTAATCGCTTGTATCTGCACTCCATTGTACCAACGCACGTACTTTGAGACCCATGGCCCCGGCATCCACAATTGGTTCGTATGGACGGATCTATGGTTTGCCATTCTTTTCAGTGTTGAGGCTGTTATCAAGGTGATAGCAGACGGCTTTTTCTGGACACCAAATGCCTACTTCCGTGGATCCTGGGGCTTCATTGATGGCATTGTCCTTATCACTTTATGGGTGAACGTTGTGGCTGCTTTGTACAAGACGGGCGACGTATCGCGAGTCGTTGGTGCGTTTAGGGCACTCAGAGCATTAAGGCTGTTGAATGTCAGTGAGAGCGCAAGAGAAACGTTCCATTCCGTAATAGTAATGGGTGGATGGAAAGTCATTTCGGTACGTGGCACGTAGCACCCAATTACAGTATAGTGACTAACAGAGTGTCTATTAGGCTGCTTTTGTTTCCATGAGTTTCCTCATTCCATTCGCCATTTATGGCTTGAATCTTTTCAATGGACAAATGAAACAATGCAACGACGGGGATTTCGGCTATGTTTCCCTGGCACATTGTGTTGGCGAATATAAAAGCTCTCAATTCCAATGGCAGGTACTTGCTCCTCGAGCCGTACACAACCCATTTTACAGCTTCGACAACTTCGGAAGTTCTCTTTTCATCCTTTTCCAGATTGTGTCTCAGGAAGGGTGGACTGATGTGTTATGGAATGCCATGAGTATCACTGGCGTGGATAAACAGCCTCAGCCGTTTTCATCCCAAGCGAACGGCTTATTCTTTGTGGTGTTCAACCTGCTCGGTGCAGTTTTCGTCCTTACTCTGTTCGTCTCTGTCTTCATGCGAAACTATACGGAACAAACCGGCGTGGCCTTCTTGACGGCAGAACAGCGGTCGTGGCTGGAATTGCGCAAGCTTCTGAAGCAGATATCCCCTTCTAAGCGGTCTCTTAACAAAGACAATAACAAATTCAAAGCGTGGTGCTATCGCGTTGCGGTGAAAAAACATGGGAGATGGGCTAGGTTTATCACGGGGTTACTCCTGGTCCACCTCGTTCTCCTGGTTCTCGAATTTTACCCGGAAGTTGATTGGTGGGAGAAGACAAGAGATGCCCTGTTCCTCTTCCTCACCCTATTCTATATCGCAAACGTTGTCATCCGTCTTGTCGGCCTAACTTGGTCTCGGTTCCGCCGCAGCTCATGGGATCTCTACTCCATTCTATCAGTAGTAGGGACCTTTATCACGACACTACTTGCCCTGATCAATGATAAAAGCATAGTCTTCGCCCAGCTTCATAAACTATTCCTGGTATCCATTGCACTTCTCATTATACCACGCAACAATCAACTTGACCAGCTCTTCAAGACTGCTGCGGCTAGTTTGACATCAATCGGTAACCTGTTGGCCACCTGGTTTATCCTTTTCCTCGTTTACGCCATAGCATTGACTCAGATTTTCGGCTTGACCAAATTCGGGGGCTCTGAAACGGGAAATCTCAATTTCAGAAGCGTACCAAAAGCGCTAATCCTTCTATTCCGCATGAGTTGTGGTGAAGGGTGGAATCAAATTATGGAAGACTTCGCAACGATGGAGCCTCCTTACTGCACACTAGGCGAGAATTTCTACAGGAGCGACTGTGGCAGTGCCGCGTGGGCTCGAACGCTGCTTATTTCATGGAACATTCTGAGCATGTACATCTTTGTCTCTCTATTTGTTTCGCTCATCTTCGAAAGCTTTTCCTACGTCTATCAACGAAGTAGTGGCCTGTATGCGATCAGCAGAGATGAAATCCGCCGTTTCAAACAGGCGTGGTCTACCTTTGATCCTGACGGAACGGGGTATATTTCAAAGGAGGCCTTCCCAAGGCTTTTAGGGGTAAGTCTCATCCCGTTTGTTCAATTGAATTTCAATTCAATGGTTTGTTAACGCTTTATACGTAGGAACTTTCCGGTGTGTTCGAGATGCGTATATACGAAGGGGATTTTACAGTCGGCCGCATTCTGGAAGACTGTCGTGTTAACGTTCGAGAATCAGAAATATCGCATGCTCGATCTGTGGGTGAACTAGATCTTAAGAAGCTTATGCTCCGTCTTTCCCATCTCCCTGTTGCCGAAATACGCAAAAGACGTGCACGCTTGAACGCCTTTTATGAGGAAGTGCTAGTCTCATCTGATCCAGAACGAGGAATATCTTTTACTTCATGTCTTATGATCCTTGCCCATTACAATGTTATCACTGACAGCAAGAGTTTGAGGTAAGCTTTGTGTTTTTTTGGTGATCCACTCTGCTTGTGGGAACTTAACAAGCTAACAACGGAATCCAGGCTGGAAGAGTTCCTACGGCGACGTGCCCGTCTACAGCGAGTCGAAGAAGCCGTCCGCCGAAACGTGGTCGTTGGATTCTTCAACACGCTCTATTGGTCAAGGCGATTCCGACAACGTATCCAAGCACGTCATGACTCTCGCCTGGTCTCGGTACCACAGTTCTCTGTTCCGGAGATATATGTCGAGGACGAGGACGGCCACATGGACGAGGATCAATCGAGACGAGCATCAGAAGACCGTGCAAGATCCCCAGAAGGGTCCCCAAGCCGGAAAGCCCCACGCATCGCTCTTCCAAAGATCGAGACCAACATGTTTGGCGACGAGGCTCATAGGCTCCCGTCACCCACACATTCCGACTGGGGTAACTTCAATCCTTCTCTGACGCCTCAAAGTCCTACTGCCCCGTATGATAGCAGCGTGCCTCGCGATGAGTCGGGTGAAGGGCATGGCCACCAACGCGGTGACAGTTCTGTGAGCGTACAAGGCGTGCTGGACTCCTTCGATCACTCCGTATGGGGCGAGAGTATCAGACGAAGCTTCACCCGTCGTCGGTCCCACGGCTCAGCGGGCGAGTAGGCGCAGTCACCCAGCCTTTACTTTCACCTTTCTTCTTCGACTTCTTTTACCCTCGAGTTACCTCTACTACCAACGTGAAAACACCTATCAACCCCCTTGTGGATACTCCCCTTAGTATGGGGAAATGCAGAAACGACAGACATGACCAACTCATCCGGGGAAACCAAAAAAAACAAACAAACCATGAACCAGTCCCAAAATGCAAAAACTAAAAAAAAAAAAAAAAGACTTGGTCTCTGTTCCGCCTATACAGTAATGCATATGAGACCTCCCCTGATAGCAGCGAAAACGGGATCTCATGGGAGTTCTTGTTCGAGTTTTTCTTCTCCTTTCTTCCCCCCCTTTTCTTCATTTCTTGTTAACGGACGAGACGCTTTGATTTTTCCCTCCCGCCCCCTTTTTATTACCATGTTCTTTTCTTGTATATGTGCTGATAACTCCAACTTGTTCCCATCCTTTGATTCACCTTTTTTCTTTTTTTTTTTTTTTTCCCCAGCGTGGAAGTATTCTTGACGGTTTGACAAGTTGTTTACTAGAGCTTTGGGAGTTTTCTTTGCTATTAGCTATCATATTCCTGTTTCCCCCGTTGCAGATTCGCCGCATAGACACACATCCTTCCATCCAAGTGCAGCGCGTGTGTTCGGCCTCGCCTTAGACAGCTGTTTGTTTGTTTTTTCACTTTTTGGTGTATATACCATATAGTTAGCCTTCACTTCCACCCTGCCAATAATTCCTAATAATAGTTTCCTGGCATCATGACTGTCTGACTGCCTGGCTCGTACTCCGTACAAGCAACCGGCCTAGCAGCGAGTTATTGCTATCTCCTTCGTGAGCCCGAAGATCAAACACGCAGAGATTCGTAACCAGCTCCATCCAAAACCGCGGACCGGTCAGCCCTCAGACAGGCCCAGCCAGCGGACCGCCCTGGCGCTGGGGAAGGTGGCTGAGCCGGAGACGAGTCTATTAGCTACTTGCTATTAACTCATCTAACTCTCTTCCCTAGACGCAGCGAGGCGGGAGAGAAAGGGGCTTGCCTGGCCCTCTCTGGCCTCTCCCCCCGATATATGTATAACGAAGGCCCGCCAACCAAGCTGATATCACTCTCATCCCAGGCAAATAGTCGCACAGCCGCGGCCAATAAACGACCCGGGAAATCACGAAACCGCCCAATGGCAGGCTGCGTCTCCTGCCGGGCCCTGGATCCCACATGGACCGGGGGGTGGAATTGAAACTAAACTGGTCCGTCCATGGCAGGGTTGCTTGCTTGTGCCAGGGCGAGGCCGGTTTCTCTGCAGAAGAGTGTCTTAGGTGCCTGGGAGCAGCTCGAGACGGGGCGGGGGGGAACCAGACGAGCAGCAGAAACGAGACGGCGAGAGAGAGAAGCAGAAGAAACAAGGCCCGTTGGTGGTGCCGTGGACGGCGGTTATCCATCTGCTCCGTCGCCAACGGCTGTTAAGCTGGCCTGGCGGGCGATAACCATTTGATACATGGCCGTGTGTGGCCCGCGAGGGCGAGGAAGATGAGAGATCCACTGCAGGTATCATGATCTACGCGGGCTCGTTTCATCCTCGACTCCCGCTTTTCCTCATGTCTCTCGCCCCTGCATGCATGATGGCATCTTCGTCTGCTTCCTCTGACCTGTTTCGTCTCCGGTGCTGCTGCTGAAGTCGCGCGTCTTCCTGTCTGCCCGTTCTCTGGTTGCGATTCAGCTAGTCGGCCGTTGCTTTTTCACCCAACCAGGCAGCGATCGATTCTGCGATATACTACTTAATTACGGCTCAGCGTTGCCGAAATATACACTTATTATACATATATACTCGTATATATACAAAGCTGCTCCCTGCGCGACCCTCTGAGAGGGCCCTTCTCCGTCCCTCTTCTCTCCTTCTCCTGGCTGGGAACCGCTGAGAAGACGCAAAGGACGCTGCTGCCGGTCGAGCTGCCTACGGTCGATCCGTTGATTATAATATTATAGATTACAGAGAGAGAGCCAGCAGAAGATACACACACACACACAAGGAGAGAGAGAGAGAGAAAGCAGCGTTTTCCCCTTGCGACGACGGGGCGTTATTATTCGACCAGCTTGATATCAGACAGTATAATCTCCGTGTGCACCAGCTGCTTTGAAGCCGAAGAAGGCCTTGGGCAGGCCCGAAACAGACCAGGCAGCGCCTCTACTTCCTCGCTTCATACCGTGAACCCAAGGGCAAACGGACATTGAATAATACTCCGCCAGGGGGGCCAGCTAGTTACCTATAAGACCCTATATTATACACCGCAAAGACTCAAGAGAGAAAGAGAGCACAAGCTCGAGCTTGAGACAACGAGCCCAAAAAAAAAAAAAAAAAAAGACCAGCCACTGTCTGGACCCCCCGGCTGGACGGAAGATACATATAAATGGCATCTAAACCAGCTGTCCACGACCTGATCAGCCTGTTCGAGGCCATCGAGACCAGCGAGTCCAAGATGGACGAACACACTCGCTATCTCAGCCAGCTGCTGCCCTCGCCATGGACGGAGATGGCTCCCTCCCTGACCATCCCGTACTCGCCCAGGTCGACCGTCGGCAGCGAGGTCGACTCGGACCGTCCATCCCCTCTGACCTCAGCAACCTCCAGCCCGGCCTCCTCGCCTACTTCTAGCCCCATCAGCGCCTCTCCGCGCATGAACAGATTCACCTCTTCGCTCCGTCGGATCGGCAGCCGGAGCAAGAAGTGCTATTCGTCCTCCTCGCTCGGCATGGGGACCATCCTGCTGCGCCGCCGTCCGTCTAACGTCGACCTGGCGCTCACAGAGGAGCGCTACAGGTGCACCGAAGATTCGATCGAACGACATGGGCTGGGTCTGCTGGAACCGCGTCCCGTTGACCCCATGCCGCTCATGACCGATGGCCATGCTCACATTGACTCCTCGAACAACCTGTCGAGCGTCACTTCAGACCTCAAAGAGCCTTCTGCGCTCCTCTCACCCCTATCAGCCCGCCAGTCCCCGCGATTCGTCATGGGGGGAATTGCCGAAGTCATGGAGGGTTCCGCTTAAGGCGCGCGCTCTCTATATATATATTCGAAACTTTACGACCTCACGCCCACCCACCCCATTATACAATGTCCCCGTTTTGTTCAGAGACGACGGATACGGATACACTCTGCTGTTACCATATTTATATGAAAAACGCTGTTTTTGCGTTAAGAGCCTAACCATCGAGCCACAAAACAGTCCTATTACCACCAAATAAAGGCTCGGTTTGGTAAATAGGGCCGGTTTCCTCTGTTCCTTTCCTTTCTTTGTTCCTCCATTCCTCGACTTTTTCTTTCTTTCTTTTTTAATTTATCCTTTTGAAACGTTGTATGATACCAGGATATTCATAGGTATAACATTTCCTATATCAGTGTATGTGATGCCCTATCCTCGCCTTTTCTCCTTCTCTCCCCTTTTTATTTACCGTTACCCCTTTTTCTTCCCTTGGTCTACGATTGTTTCCTAGAACGCGGATAAGACAGAAGATAGGCAACCCTTTAATGCAGAAATATTCATTGAAATTAAGACAAAATCTCATTCGATGTCCTTTCAACTCCACATAATGCAATGAATGAGGTAAATCCGAAAACCGAGGGTATCATGCTAGGTGTACAGTAGCAGTAGTAGTTTCAAGACAGTGAAAGAAAGTGACAAAAGCGCTCGGGCAAAGCTAATCAGACAGCGCTAAAAGAAGAAGGACAGGAGAGAATCAGCAACCCAAGATACATCCAAGTATGAAGGTGACTGACTATGCAAGGCGAAAGCGGTAGATCAGGTACTGTAGAGTGTGCATCCTCATTCATCATCCTCAGACTCCTCGGAAGACTCGCCAGAAGAAGAACTATCTTCACCAGGTCGTGTAGTTTTCCGTTTTGCCGGCCAGAGCTGGCCACGGCAGTTTTTCTCACCACAGAGACACTTCGTCGCGTCTGGGTCAACGTCACCCCCTTCCCAGCCAGGATGATAGTCAAACGTCAACTCAGTGCCGGCAGGTATGTCGCGGACCGCGAAGAATGCAAGCTGGTAGACCCCGTGGTCGTCTGTCTGAGTGGCAGGAAACATCTTGCAGTTTGGGTTGCAGGAGTGGTTCATGAACCTGGTAATTGAACCAAACTTGCGTCCATCAACGACATAGATATCCTTCTCCTTCTCATACTCCTCACCAGGGAAGTAGTCGAGTGAGAACAAGTAGCTAGAGTATTTTTCCACATCAATTGCTTCTTCTCTGGCATCGCTAGTGGATGGCTCAATAACCTCGCCGACATAAGTGTCAATGAACTGCCCTCGCTCTATAGAATGAGGCGAGCGGACTCCAAACCCCCGGTTCTTGGTCTGGAAAACTTCCAATTCAACTTGTCGCCCACGGAAGACAACATGATTCCAGCAGTTGACTCCAGAGCATTTGCAGCGCGACGAGCATTCTCGGATCAATGCCGTACGCTTATTCAGGATCTCCGACTTTAAGACGGCCCGTACACGTCGACCCTTCTCATAATGAACTAGGTCTTTAGAGAGGCAGTCGCATTCAGCATCACATTTTGTACAATCGCAGCCCCATAGGAACTCCGGATCAATCTGGTTAACCCCGCTGTGAATTTTATAGGAGTCGATAAAATCAAAATTAAAATCGATCTCTTTTGCGATCTTGCCAGCCTTAAACCGGATTGGGGGGCCCTTGATCCGTTGAAGCTTCTTATTATATAGCTCTTCTAAGCGAGAGCACGCTGACTCTTTATCACTGCGTCTCTTGGGCGGAATATACCGCTTGCTTGACCGGGGTATCTCAGTCTTCTTTGGGTCGAATGTTTTTAACTTAAGGTACGGTCTTTTTACCTCTCCACTCTCCACGGCGTAGAAATCACTTAGACCATGGTGGTCCGGGATTTTAGTTGCTGTAAGCTTCCGAGACAAGGCTTTGTTGATATCTCCATCAGACGATAGAGATCTCTTACGGCTGGTAGTCACTGGCGAAGGACTTGGCCGCCGAGGTGGCACAGGGATGACTACCGAAACATTTGAGGCCTTGGACTGTGGGCGGGAACTGGAAGATGTTGAGCCCTTGTCAACAACAGCACGTCTTGGCTTGCTCGGCGGTTTAGACGGCGACTGCCTCTGCCTGTCGTCTTCGGGGCTGATGAATGCCTTGAGCAGCCGGCTTGATATCACTTCAGGTTGCTATAGAACAGGGTTTGTCCCAAAGCGGTTAGCGTGATCTGAACTTTGAGCGCGAGCAAAACAACGACTCGCGGACGGCGGGTCTATAAAACAAAAAAAAAAAAAAAAAAAAACACGACCCAAAAATACTCGGAGTAGATCACAGTATCAAGTTGGCGGGTCACGGCCTGTCCTGGGGTCTGGGTTGGCATACGATAAAAGTCTCCTCGTCTGAGTCTGAGTCCAGGACGGTAACCATCTGGAGTAATAGAGTACCACGGTTCAGTCAGCCTCGCAAACGGGTAAAAATATGGGTCTGCTCAGCCAGCTTGTTTCGTACCTTTTGTGTGCTGGTTTCCGCTGTCTCCAGAGCGCCCTTTACCAGCGTATCCAGGCGATTCTAAACAGCCTGTACACCCTGAGAGCAAACAGACGCGCTTAAAAGTCAAAACTCTAGGAGAATAAACCACTTCTTAGATATAGTAATATTTAGTAAGAAAGTTAGAAGAGGACGCTTCTCCATACCTTTTTACTCTAATAAAGAAGTGTATTATTAGAGGAATAATTATGTTCTCAGAATCTAAGAAATTCTGTCGGGGTGAACCGGTGAAGAAGAAGAAGAGATTTCTTTAAGCGAAGTGAAAGAATAAATACACACTACCTTTATTAAACCTTATTAGTAAGCGAAAAAAAATAGTACTATAATCTCTATTTATTAATTTTATATATAATAATAGCGATAAAATCGATTATTTTATACTATTAGAACAATTATTATAGCGAAATTTTGTAAATAATTGAAATATATATCGATTTTTCGATTTTATATTTTAATCGGCTCATTATTAGAGCTAAAAGAAAAGAAGCCGCGGGGTTTCGAAACCAACTTCTTAACGAATATAATCGCTCGATATACCTTTCTATAAAGTACTTTAGTTATTGGGACTTCGATTCGTTATATAGTATATTCTTATATTAAGAGGATTTCGAGCAAAATTATAACTATTAACTAAATTTTAGATTTGCCTCCGTTCTATTTCGCCCTTTTATATCGTTTTCGGCGCCTTAGACTCTCTACGACCCGTCGACCCCACCTATATATAACGGCTGGAGCTGATACCTATAATTACCCTACGGGCCTACCAGTTGACTTCAGCTCTGATTCCCCCGAGCCATCCATCCTTCCGCCTCTGAGAAGCGGCGACTCCGGCGAGGAACAAATATATCATATCCCCTACGGTATCAATGAACAGGTAGTACGGAGTATCATTGTATCGGCAAATTATCTCAACTCTTATGTTTTTGTAATAACCGGATAGGTTATCAATATCAGTTGATTCAATTGAAATCGGGTTCAGTTTTAACCAGGGTTCAACAGTTGACTTGGTAGCTCAAGAGATACCAGGACGAATCAATGATACCGTTGGTATAGTACTATATTGATTGGAGGGTTAATCACTGATATTGAATTGGATAACCACACGGGTATTACGTGGCTCTAGAAGAGGATACAACGGGATCTCACTTATTCGGACTACGCGCTTCCGCCCGACCTATATCTAGCAAAGCCCGGAGCTTTCTTTTGATGACGATGGGACCGTCGAGGATAGGCCGCGACACTCTTAAATAAGTAAATCTCCAAATTGATTCAAGGGATGTATACTATAACGAATACAAACATTGCCAAATGAGCTTCGAGGCGTGCGAATCAATGATCAATATTATTACGATTATAGGGCAGAGACCTCCGACGGCGGACTGTCGGCGATTGTAACTACCATGGTCCCATCCATCACCACGTCACAAGAGGTCATGTTATGGAAAGTACTTCCGACACTCCAAACCTCGTCACTTAGGATCGATAATAATCAAACAGTTCAAACTTCACGCGAGTATATCCCGTTGGTGATTCTTACGCGTTACAATCAAGCACCGGTTTCGGCAGCCAGAACGCCTCCGTCCAGGGACTCGTAGTCGACTACACGACCTCGGGGCGCGCTCTCAACCGCAGTCGCATTGAGGTAAGACGCAAAAAGAAGCTATAGGGTATCTATATCGATTTCAGCTGATTGCAATACTGTTGTCAGTCCTTGACTCCCCGGCGTATTGGGGCCTAGTGGAGGTTGTAGAGTGGTACTCTGTACTACCAAACAGGGCGGCCCCGTTTGAGTGGGAGAGCAAGGGGCGCCGGGTTCATAGAGCGCGGCCGCAGAGAGTTGTTGGGTCGAGTTTGATGGATAGAGCAGTTTGATAGATACCCAGGCACTCCATAGTGAGTACTCAGCGGAAGGGGGCAGCGAGCGTCCTTTTATATGGACGTCTGCGAACCTCAAGTAGCACGTGACGGTTGGCCCGCTGCGCAAGCGACGTGGCCGGCGCGACCGCTGGAAGCCCCTGAGAAGGCCACCGGGGACCAGGAGCAGCTTGAGAGTGCAGCGTAAAGGTAGTTTTAAAAGACTGATCCTTCGGGAGAGATAAGGCGATACGAGTGTCTGTTGCACTTTATCGGGGTTGTTCGAGTCATTCACATGCCATCTATCTCGTCAAATATAGGCCACGTGATATCGACCGGGTATTTAAAGTTTGATACATCGCTATATAAACTTTCACACGTTATTTTATCCAGGTCACGTGATTATATAGCGCTCGATTCGATATAATTAATTCTTTATAAATTATAGTATATATTATATAAATAGTTTAAAATAATTTAATAACTTACTATAAAAAGATTTCTATAAATTTAAAAGTGATAGTAGTATTAGTGATTACTAATTAGTAGAGGACTTCGAAAAGTATCAGCGGATCTGTATATATTTTCATTTCTCGTATTAGTAATCAAGGAATACGAGGATCGAGCCGGTTTTATCGTGCCCAACAGCCTATCCTCAAATCCTAATCAAAAGAGGCCTTCATTTTATTATAATCATAGACCACGATTAATCCTCTATACCGCCCCATTCTTCTTCCTCGTCCGAGCCCTCGTCAGCCTTCTCCGGCTCCCTCACGCCCCACGAGATCAGCCTTTCGTCAGCCAACGTCTCCTTAGCCCGGCTTCGAACCGTCTTATTCGGGCTCTCAGACTGCAGCCTCTCAATTGGTCGAAGTAATAACTCCATCGGAACACCCTCCTTTAGCTTTGTAGCCGGAGATTCCCCATCGTCTCCAGCACTAGACTCGTCGGGCTCGGTAGCGCATTTCTCCAGCTCGTCCAGCCAAATATCCATGAGATGATAGCGTATCCCATCCGGGCCCTTGGGCACTTTAATCAATGCGCCGTTCTCATCTTCCTGGTTTGACAGCTGTTTGGATGGATTCGGGTCAAAAATCAGCGGACTTAGTGGGCCATCTTCTAGCATGTCGAGATACGCCTCTAGCTCGGCCCATTCGTCTCCCTCGCGTACTGGTACGGCAGACGTACTTGACGTTTTGCGCCGCGAGGTCGAACCGCCATTTACTTCACTATCTACCTCGTCTCTTTCTCTCTTTCTTTTATTCTTGGCTTTCTGGTTTTCGGTGCTATTGTTTCCGGCCTGGCGTTTGCTTTTCCCTCCGCGCTTCAAGTAGTATTCGAATGAAACACCCACATAGCATCTTATTAAGAACAGGTATTTGTCCAGACGTAGTCTGTCCAGAGAGTGGAAGTCGCGTGACATTGTTATCCAGAATGCTCTTAGAAAGGGTAATACCATCTGCTCTGGTAGGGAGGGGACTAGGGTATATGAGAGGGATCGGGCGAGGGCTTGCTGGACAAGAGGTTTATCGGAGTGGTAGAAGCCTGTAGTTTTCCCGCCTCTTGTTAACATGATGGAAAATGGCGTGTTAATTATGACAAAATGGATCCCTGCACGTACAATAAAATAGCCCTTTCCATATTTTCAAGAGGTCAAATAGCTTCAGGTCTCGTTTGCTCCGTAGAAACGCAGTTAGAGACTCAACTGCTTTATCGCGAGTTTTCCTTTCTTCAACACAGAGTCAGCAACAGCCAGGTAAGCAACACATGGCATGAGCAAATATGAATACCTACCACTTGATGCCAGCTCCCGTATGAAGGGGGACTGCTGTAGATCCATAATGGCGGAGGGGCTTGTCGGGCTCGATTGCGACCTCAATTTGGCATGTAAATCGGATATCTTTCTCCTAGGCCAATTATCCGAATATTATAAGCTCCTTAGGACCTCCCGAAGACCCTTGCCTGGTGTAGTTTGTGGTTTGCGAAAAAGTTCGTGGAATTGAATATTTTGTGAATACTTTTTTATTCTGCGACTTTTTTTACTTTTACAGCCGAAAGAGTCGGATTGTCTTTTAGCTGTGTTTGTCTTGTTTGCATCCGACTATCAATATACAAAATTTCCGTTCGAGAAAGCGGAAGATATAGATAGATAGAAAGACGAGTATTGATATTGGTTTGTATCGGTAGGATGATTAAATATTGGCAGTAAGGGAGATATATACAAATAGGTAAATAGACAAAAGAAACGGCCCTGCCATAGATCTCAAGAGAGAGTAATGATGAATTGCAAAGTATATGTGTACTCAAGTAAAGGCGACTCCTAGGACGCCGATGCTTGCCAAAAGATCGAAAACGAACATGTTGTAGAAAGTCTCCTAGTACGCCGGTAGAGAGACGCCGATGAACGCCGGAAAGCTGATAATATGTGATTAGATGTTTATAGGCGAAAAGGTTGGGTCATGGTTGGTTGAGAGCAGCCTTGGTGACATTTGATCGATCACGTTGAAGGCTCCGTAGAGTAGGACAGGGCGCGAGGCCGCAAGTCCGAGGACGTCGAGATGTTGAGAACGGGTCTGGGGATTGTGAGACCTTTTACAGTTGGACATGCAAGGTCCTACGCTCATTTCGAAACCCTAACGTACGCGTTTACGACGTTGCCTTCTTTCCAGCCCTGCTCGAGCAGTGTCTGGCTGTCTCTGAAGAACTTGCCCAGATATACAATCTGGATGCGGGTATTGGAAGGGAGCTGGGAAGAGCAGTTAGCAGTGATACTCAGTTTTTCCATTATTATTATCATAATCATCGTCAACAAAGAGATGCCAAAACGGCAACGTACTCTAGCTTCAGCCTGGATCTTCCGAACAAGAGCTGCAACGGTTTGCTCCTTGCCGATGCTCACGACCACATCTGGGCCGCCGCGATCGCTTAGTCGAGCAGTGACCTTGAGCAGGTCTCGTTCGTTTCGCTTTCCCTTCTCATCCCGCCTGCGTTCCTTTTCCTTGTCCAACAGGTCGTCAGACGAACCGGTGCCCAATACCAGCTTTGCAGTAGACGTCTCGTCGCCAGCTGTATCACCGTCTGCATCACCGTCCAGGTCAGCGCCAGTATCACACTTGAAGGCCTCCTCGGCAGTATCGTCGTCATCCGCCAGGTTTACGGGATCAGACACAATAACTTCTGTAAACTTGTACAGCGCCCCGCTCTCGTCGTAGCATCCCTCGCAGACGTCGCCTGTTGGAATGGTGATGCCAGCTGCGTCGATGATGCCCTGGGCGGTCTGGACGTCTCCTTCCCGCAGCAGGGAAAGGGCGGTGGACAGAGCAGCCCATATCTCTGGCCGGCCGGCGACTCTGGTATCGAAGAAGACTTCCCGCTCCCTGTCGATGGTTGCGCGGGTCCAGGTGCGGCGTTTGCTCTTCCAGACGTGCGGGCGGATGGGCTGGTTGAAGTGCTCGTTCAGCGGGACGCCGCGACGGGCAGCCGAGCGATGCGGCCGGGGCGTCGCAGAGGAGGCATCTGAGGCAGCGTGCGAGAGGCCGCCGTTTAGCGAAGGCCGCTCCGTCTGGTCATGGCGGTGGCCGGCGGTGTTGACGTTGATCTGGTGAGACGAGTCACCATGCTGGCCGGCTGTAGAGCCTGGATACGGCGAGCTGTCGGCGTCTCGAGAGAAGCAGCACCCCTAGAGACAGACACGGCGGTTAGATATATGTTCCAGTAGTAATAGTAGGTATATAAACGCCATCGCCGTCGCCGTCGCTGTCTTGCTGTCTTGCTGTAGATGTCCCAGCACAACAACTTCTACCCCACAGCCGGAGATCGCAACAAAGACAGCGAGCTCGGTTATCCTGTAGTTACATCTGCACAAGGCGAGCGCAAAGCAGCTGTGGAAATAACAGAAAAACCAGAACTCGACTTACCATGGCGCATCGTGTGATGGTTTGGCCGTTGAAAGGGGCTTCGGGGGAAGAAGATGCGAGAATGCGAAAGGCGAGGAAGAAAGACGAGGAAGAGAAAGTCGAGGTGACGGACAACTAACTAAAGAAAAAAAATTCCCTGGCCAGACAAAATATGATGCAGCTTATTATTCTTATTCTTCCATTATAATTATATTTATTTATTTAGCTGCTGGACTAGCAGGTTATCCCGCTTCTTCCCTAGTTTCTTTTGCTGCATGAAGACGTTTATTTATAGCTTGCGGTGCGGTGCTTGTTGCGGTGCTTGCTTGTCCCTGTCGGCTTTCTCGCTGGTTGGTTGGCCGGCGTCCATTTGGAAGAAGCAAAACCCAGGGCCACGCAGGTTGATATTGGATTCATACTGTGATATCCAGGGAGAGGAGAAGGTAGACTCTCGCCTGGGTGGTCTAGACGTGGTTTTTAGCTGGGCGTGTTGGGGGTTATGGCAGATATCAAATGTGCTGGTGGCGAGGTGGGTTTTGAGCAAAGTGGGCGCGCGGCCCGTTATTTTATTTATTATTTTACAGGGAGTTTCGTTATACAGCATATAGTTAACCATCTATCGTGGAGAAGATAGCTGAGTAGATGGATATAGGCTTCTGGCTAAATGTTTGAAGGTTGCCCCTGGTGCGGCGGTCTATCAATAAGACGGACAAACACACGCACACACACGCAAGTAGTCCAGGTCAAGTAATGACAAGATAAAAGAAGGACGCTTTTTACTCGTCTTCGTCCTCGTCATCGCTACCAAAGATCGCTTTGAATACCGCCTCGCCCGGTCGCTCGCCTTCGAGGGCTTCGTTGCGTTCAGGGTCAACTGCTGCCGGTTGCGCGGGTGGCTGCTCCGCCGGCATAGCCGGGCCAGGGCCAGAACCAGAGCCAGAACCAGCGCCAGATGCAGGAGATGGAATTATTTTCCGGCCAGACTCCATCATCAGCTGATGCATGGTTTCCTTTGACACGAGCGGCGGCGGCGGCTCAGCATGGGCCTCGAGGCCTGCAAAGTCGGATAGACCGGCTATTCCGCCGTCATGTTTGGTGCCGCTAGGGACGCGGACGTTGAAACGCTTGCAGAGCAGTCTGGCGGGCGCAAACGGTCGCAGAAGACGGGTCATTGGACCGTACATCCCTAGCTTCGCAGCTGATTCAGTTGGGTCTTCCGGTTTGGCCTCTCGTCTGGTAAGTAAAGGTGTGCTGCCGCTGCCGCTGCTGCCGGATTCCATACCGGGCTGCGTGGATGTAGAAGTCGACGAAGTGAAGCGGGAGGCCATGAGACCGGATATCGGCTTGAAGACCTCTGCAGCACGCGCGAATTCGCGCAGCTCTGTGATCCATTCGTCTGTCGAGGAGCCTGGGAGACGGTCTGGCAGGCGGTCGGTTACGATACCAGCTCGAACCTCGAGGAAGGACCTGTAGCGGTTCCGTTTGCTCTCGTCTTCGGCATAAGGCATCCAGCCGCTTGCGCCCCGGCTCAGAGCCTGTATGGCGGCGTCTTTGTCTAGAGTGGGAATGAGGTTCCATATATCTCTTCGTTTCTGGCTATCTGACGCCTCGAACCCCTGAGGCGCCTTCTCACCCAACGCGGGCGGTAAATCGGTTCGTCCAGTTGCTAGAGCAATCTTCTCGCGGGCCTCGGGAGTCATGTAGTCGAACACAGACTTGCCTGGCAGCTGTGCCTCTCCTAATAGTGCTGCCCGGGCCTTGGGGTCGAGGGTGGACGCCCTGGCAGCTTCGGCCAGCGAAACCTGCTGGGCTGGCGGTGCAGAAGTAGTAGTAGTATTAGCCGTAGTTGTTGCTGTCTTTGCAGGCACCCAGCCTTCGGGCACCTTGGGAGGATCATATCGTTTGTTCCGCGGGGTGAGATCGATCTGTACGCTGAGGATGAAGCCGTCCAGCGGCAGCCGTCCGTCATGGCACTTTCTGAAGCCAGACCTGTCTTTGTCCCTTGCGACACCACCGCCACCGGCCGCGGCCCTTTTCGAAATAAAGACGGGTTTGGTATCTAGCAGCGGGTTTGATGATCTGATAGCTGGCCGTGAAATCTCTGCGCTTCTTTTGGCCTTGGAGTTCTTCTTGGAGCTCTCGATGGTTCTGTTGTATGAGATATTAGGCCCGATCTCGTACGGGTCCTCGTCATCGGATCCAGTGTCGTTCAGCACTCCGACGCCAAATCCTCCTAGCCGCCGTGGCTTGGTCTTTTGCGTCTTTTTCTCAACTGTGGATGACTTCGCAGTGGGTATGGTACCAGCTGTGTTGTCACTACTGCGCGAGATGATAGTCTTATCCAGGCGCTGCTCTCCTTCGAAACCGATGCCCTTGCGGTCATATTTATCCACAAACGCTATCAACGGAGTATTCTCTGGCGCAAAGAGGTATGTCTGGCCATCGTCTTCATCTTGATGGTCGTCGTCGAGGTTTGCCCGTCTTCGCACCTTGGGTCCTATCCCCTGGCCTTCCTTCCATCCCATCCTTTTCAGCAGTCGAACTCCAACCGTATCCCCCGACGAGCTGAACAGGTCGACCAGCCCTGTGTCTCTGATGGCATCTGTAGCCGTTGACACGATACCGTCGAACTTGGTGGACGTCTGCAACTCCCTTGCTTCCTCTGCCTCTCGTAGATCCTCCTCGTCCATGAAATCTTCTGGCCTCTGCTGCTGGTCCTTGCTGTCCTTGGCCCGGTTCTTGCGAGACGAGACAAAGGTCGAGGGCGTCCATCCTTCCTTGGACCCTACCGTATTGAAGTATCTACTTTTCAATTAGTATTCCTGAATGTAGTGATAGTTACTATCAGCATAACTGACCCAGCACTGAATCCACCGGTGAAAGCACCATGCAGACGCTTCCGCCCCCTCTCGTCTCTGACCTCCTGCTTCCACAGCGGCACGTACGAGCCATCGTCTCGCGCATCACGATCGCCCGGGGGTAACGGGGTGCCGTAGAAGACGAAGGGGGATCCGGGGAGATCGTCTTCATATGCGGCGCGGGACCGCTTGTACGCCATCGTAAGGGGGTGTCTGGCGGACAAAGCGATCAGGCCGGCTCGTCTCAGCCCTTTCTCGCCCTTGCAGCAGTCGTTACGCCCTCAGTTTGCCTTTTTTTTGCCTCCCTCCCGTGGTGGTGATGCTGCCTGTGAAGATGCTCTCTCTCTGTCTCCCCCCTGGTCAGCTTCTTCTGCGCCGGTTCAACCAACGGCCGTGACAGTGACTTACCAGCTACCATGACTGTCACCAGCGGCCGTCACCTGCAGTCTGTAGCACCCCCGGTAGGCTGCCTGTCTAACCGTCGTCCGTCGTCCGTCGTCCGTCGTCTTTTCCTCCCGCCAGTCTTGCTGCTCGAGGTCGCCGGCGCGAGGCCCCTTCATGTGCCTCCGTCACGCCAGACAAAGCCAGCAGAGAAGAAGCCAATAAAACCGCCGCAGCCTGCCTGGCCCTGCAGAAAGGAATAATAGCTATCTCAGCAACTAATAATAATAACAAGAACAACACAGAGTGCCGGACTGCTGGTTATACGAATAAATATTATTATTTAACATCTGCTGTCGCCCTGCCCGGTTTAAAATCCGCGCCAAAATTAAAAAAAAATAACTAACAGAAAAAGAATAAAACAAAAACCACCAACAAAAAAAACCAATCAAACGGGCAGCATCATCGCCACGTCGAGTCGCCCACCAGCGAGAAACAAGACGCCAGCCCAGCCTGAGCAGACCGTCCGTCGGGCTCGCATCTCCCATTCGCTTCGTCTTCTTGTCCTCCTCCTCCTCGTCGCCTCCTCGCTCGTCTCTCTCTCTGTCCAGCCCGCGGGGGACTTTTGGACTTCGCTGCTCGATGTTATCGTGACGGCCTCCCGCCACCTCGACCTCGCTCAGCCAGCAACGCCAGCAGGAAAGCGACCAGCAGACGCAGGAAACGAAGAACAAGGAAACAAAAGAAAGAAAGAAAAGCAGCCGGCGAGGGACGCTGGGAGAGCTGGTGCACCGGTTTCCCAGGCGCTGCGCTGCTGCTGCTGCTGCTGCTGAAGTGAAGCAAGCCGGTTTCGCCCTCCGTTCTGCTGGCCTCGCCCTCGCTCCCGTCGTCGTCTCTCTCTGCTGATACAACGCCCATCGCCATGTCGGCCGCAGCCCCCTCTACGCCCACCGCAGTCCGCACGCCGTCCTCGTACCGGAGCCCGCCAGCAGACGCCAGCTCGCCGGCCAGGACGCTGAGTGCCAGCGGCCGCCCGCACCACCGCCCTTCTCACAGCCGCTCGGGCTCGCGGTCGTACTCGCAGGAGCCCGGCGGCGGCCACTCTCGCACCTCCAGCAGCGCGCGGCGGGACTACGACCAGCCTCAGCCTTCTGCCCCGTCGTCTCGTCCTGGCACGACCGGACGCAGCTCGTCGAGAGACAGGCCGCGGGAGGCGTCCTCGTCTTCCTACCGTCCTGACCCTGCTCGCGTCCACCGTCGGACGGCTTCTCGGCCTACCACGACAACCACAACCAACAACGGAGACAGTGTCGACATGTCTCGAGCAAACCCAGCAGCTGCAGTGGTGGCTGCGGCGGCTGCTGCTGCTGCCGGTGATGCCCCTTCGCATGCAACCAATGGAGCTACGCTGGCGTCTGGGCCAAAGAGACGGACGACCATCACCACGCCCTCTGGACAGTGGGCACTTGGCAAAACAATCGGAGCTGGCAGCATGGGCAAGGTTAAGCTCGCGAAGAACCTCGAGACAGGAGAGCAGGTCGGTCTTGGGACATCAACTATTCTAGTCATTCATCTATTTACCCATGCTAATTGAATTGATAGGTTGCCGTGAAAATTATCCCTCGTCACACCAACGATGAGCAGCGTAGCACCCGAGAGAACGAACGGGCTGACCGTTCAAAGGAGATACGCACCGCCAGAGAGGCGGCCATTGTCACCCTCCTCAATCATCCGTACGTCTGTGGCATGCGAGATGTCGTGCGGACCAACTACCACTGGTACATGCTCTTCGAGTATGTCAACGGCGGCCAGATGCTCGACTACATCATCTCCCACGGCAAGCTCAAGGAGAAGCAGGCTCGCAAGTTTGCCCGCCAGATTGCAAGCGCTCTAGACTACTGCCACCGGAACAACATCGTCCACCGAGACCTCAAAATAGAGAATATCCTAATCAGCAAGACCGGTGATATCAAAATCATCGACTTTGGCCTCAGCAATCTCTTCTCCCCCAAGGGCCAGCTCAAGACCTTCTGCGGCAGTCTCTACTTTGCTGCTCCAGAGTTGCTCCAGGCTCGTCAATACACCGGACCAGAAGTCGACGTCTGGAGCTTCGGTATCGTGCTCTACGTTCTCGTCTGCGGCAAGGTCCCCTTTGACGACCAGAGCATGCCTCAGCTTCATGCTAAGATCAAGAAGGGCGTCGTCGAGTACCCTCCCGGCCTTTCTTCAGGTTAGTCAACCTTTTCTTCTTTCTTCTATATTTCTACCTTATTTGCTGACCCGTTTGATAGACTGCCGTAACATAATCTCCCGCATGCTAGTCACTGACCCAAAGCAGAGAGCCAGCCTCGCTGAAATCATGCAGCATCCTTGGATGACCAAAGGGTACAGCGGTGTACCCGAAAACTATCTCCCGCAACGAGAGCCTCTGAAGCTCCCGCTAGACCAGGAGGTAGTCAAGAAGATGACTGGATTCGACTTTGGACCCCCCGAATTTATCTCCTCCCAACTCACCAAGATCGTCGAGTCTGATGAATACCAACTCGCCATCCGAAGCAGCGCCAAAGAACAGCAGCAAAGCCTAAACGCTGCAAACGAAAAGCGACGAGGCGTCTTTGACTTCTATAAACGCCGCAATTCAATGAGCAAAGATAACCTGAGCATCACCCCTTCGTTTGAAGCCATGCATTCGTTTGGTGACCCTTCCTGCGGGTTCCATCCACTCATCTCAGTGTATAATCTTGTTAAAGAGAAGCAAGATAGAGAGAATCCCCAACTTCACCCTGGTGGCGTTCCTGGACCCGTGGATCCCTCGCTCAAGCAGCTGGATCTCCCCATGCCTGAAGCTGCCTATACTAACCAAAACGCCTTTGAAGTCCCCGGAGAGAAGGATACTGGTGGAAGATCTCGTCCGCGTGCCAGGACACACGGAGACGACGATATCACTGAAGGTATCAAGAACCTGGCGGTGTCTAAACCACCTGTCCACCACGCAGCATCTCCCACCATCATCACTCCGGCTGAAGCTGCACCGCCAAAGAAGGAGAGTGCCGCTGCTGGCCTGTTGAGACGTTTCAGCACCAGACGAACCAAGGACAGAGGCCGTGAAACGGAGAGAGAGAAATATCCAGCCCACCAAGCCCCGTCTGCTCACGCTCACTTGGCTGAAGACCTTCTTGCGCCCAGAAAGAGCTTCAGTGTGCGGAGGTCAAGACGTGGAGAGGCAGCCCCGGGAAACCTACACCCCAGCGGGAGCCATTCCCAGTACCCCGATATTCCTCATGGATCAAATCCAGGACTCTCCCCTTCCCGAGCTAACAATTTCCTTGCAAGATCAACCAGCGTCAACTCGGGTGAAAACCGTATCCGAAGGAACAACAGGAGAGGGCCCTCAGGCTACCTCTCTTCTCCGCCAAACGAACTGGCAACTGGCTCAGACCAGTCTAACCTACACGTCCAACGGACGACCAAGGCTGGCAGCGAACAGCCTGCAGAGACCAAGCATGCCTACCCTCCCCAATCTAGGACCAAGTCCTTGGGCCACGCGAGACATGAGAGCGTCCAGGTCCGCCGCTCCCGACGCGAGGAAGCAAGGGAAGCCCAAGTTCCCGAGGAGACTGACAACGAGCTTCTCGAAGGTCCAAACGCCGTGGCAGGCACTGGAGAAGATCTATCAAAGCCCGTCTACCTAAAGGGCTTATTCAGCGTCTCTACAACCAGCAGCAAGCCTCTACAATTCATCCGTTCCGACATCATTCGTGTTCTCAAACAGCTGGGCGTCGAATACGTTGAGATCAAAGGTGGTTTCAGCTGCCGTCATGCCCCGAGCATTGACCTCAACCGCGTTGTCGACGCCAACCCCCCAAGCCCAGAGAGACAAGGCCCCGTTTCAGGCCATCGCCGCCGCATCAGCTTTGCCGGACTCCGAGCCCATGCCACAGGCGAAGAGTCGCAAGACCACAAACCATCGCCCCCATCCACCAAGGCGTCACGTCGTAGCACCCAACGGCCCCCTGATCAAAGCTTCATCACCAACTCTGAGGGATCAGATGAATACGTTGCTCCCCGTGACAGCACTGCCGGCGGAGAACGCGTGGTAGGCGAGACCACGACCAAAGTCCAAACCGATACTGGCGCAAACCTGGTCCTGCGCTTTGAGATCGTCATTGTCAAAGTCCCCCTATTCTCTCTACATGGTATCCAATTCAAGAAAGTATCTGGAGGGATGTGGCAATATCGGGAAATGGCAAAGAAAATCCTAGATAATCTCAGGCTATAATATCCAGCCTCCCTTTGTGCTGCGCGCGCTCGCACTTACTTCGCTGCCCGTTTATGCCCGACTATTCACAGGCGCATACGCAAGACTATGCCATGCTATCCCTTCCTATCCTCGTCCTCCCCCCCCCTATTTTCCCCCTGTCTAATATTATGAGACCACATCTCAACCACCGGTGGGCCTTCTGTTCTTTTTGTCTTTCACCTGCTGCCTTCCTCCCCCCTTCTTCCCTGTCTGTGTCTTATATGTTAATCGCGTCTAATCTCCTACTTTGTGCCCCCCTCCTCCCCATATCGCCGTTAAAGGCCTTAATATTGTGTTCTATAATTCAACCAACCAAGCAACCATCAAGTTAACGCCTGACGTCTGTCTCATGTTCTTTTCTGTCTCTTCCTTTTTCCTATAAATTGCTCCTTGTCCCTTTTCTAATGTCTTTTATCTATTATTTTCCTTTCCATACATATACGCATCGCATATCTCATCCACGAATTCTCTATCTCTCCAACCCCTTCATGTCCCTTTGTCCGATCCTCCCTCAGGCCGAAGGGGGCTGGGGCCGGTATCTTATCTCTACTGCATTTCCTCCCCCCGTTAGCAAGCATATGCAAGACAACCTCGCCTTTTTCCATCCCATATTAGTGGCGTAGTAAACTGAAATTCCTACTCCCCTTTTCCCTTCCTGGCCATGTTTTTTTTTTCTCAAGCAAAGTAAATAGGATCGTTCTTCTTTTCTTTTTTCTTCTTTTTTTTTTTTGGCCGGGCTGAACAATTTCTCCTCCCTGCCCGAATGTTTTAATTATCCATTTTTTATTCGGTTGTGTGTGTATTCGCTTTTCGTGTAAATAGTATGCGGTATATACAGTCGTCTGTCTGGTGTTTGCGGCGTATTAACTACAAGTCTGATGGAAGACCCTCAACTTCCAGCTGCTTAGTAGTGACTTGTTTCTAACGTTAAAATGGTTGGTGAATAATATATATAGGTTTGGGTGGAGGTTATGAAATGGGGCATTCCGGGAGTTTTTTTTATCAAATCATAATAAAGAGATATCAAATATCGGCTATGTGGATCTATTACTCATTCGAAACAAGAAGAGAACTATTCATTGTATTCAATAGCTACCTCTCTCAAACTACCGTATAGTACTGAAGACAAAACCAAAAGGTATACTTAGAGGATCCTGGATGGACCAAGACAACTTCCACTTGATGTATGCACAGCCCGTGTTGCAAGGGATATAGGTATATACTGCCATGGCAATCCGGTCCCTTAGCCGAAACACCAGGTCTAACAATGTAAAGAAGGTTAAACAAGAGGGGAGCGCGCGCCCGGACACGGACTTTGAGCTATGTAATCCCGGGGTATGGGGAGGATAGGGTTATAAATACAACTGGACGTTCGGGGCTGGGTAATGATGATAGGCCCGAGAAAGGACACACGAGTGGTCCAAAACGGACAAGCAGGAGAGGACGGATATCATGGTATAGCAAGTCCTTTTAAGATCCCTTGCCAGTTTCATACTTGAAGCCTGACCGGGAGATGACTGTGCCGAGACCTTTATGAACCTCAGCCTGGAATGGTTCGTAGGGGATCTGCTCGCCGTCAATGCTGATATAGCCATCTTCCGGGTTCCTGGGAGTGATCCTGAAGGCTGATATTTTTAGCGCGTGCACATCGGGCAAGTCGAAGAGCTCCCCATCTTCCAAGGCACCCAGCATCTGGACGGCAGTTAATCGGCTGATATCTCCTCTGATCATGATGACGTCTAAGAAACCATCGTTTGGAAGCGAGGCAGGGAAGAAGTTTGCGTCCTGAGACATGAACGCCATGTTTCCTGAATAGAAGTTACCGAGCTTATCATGGGAGATTCTCATCCAATCGTCTGGGATGGGGTCTGTTGCAAGACCATATTTTAAGGGTGGCAGGCCTCCTGACTCTGGGATCTCTTCGCGTGGCTCTGCGTTTGATTTGTTCTGCACAACGGCATTATAGTGCTCTTTGATGCGTTTCTTGTCGTCAATTTCAACCTTGAGTGCCACGTCGCATGGATATACCGTGTTGCCGAACAACCTTATCAAGAAGCCGATTGTGAAACGAGCAGGGCCCATCCATCTCAGATTGTCTGTGCCGAGGTCAGAATCTGCTACGATGCCGAATGCTTGGGAGAGGAAAGAGATGGTTCGACGCTGCCCGTGGCTGATCGATACAAGGTCAAGGGGAGTGCGTAGGCCCTTTATGATGCAAAGAGCAGCCATGCTCGGCCCTGCCGTGCCGTTGAGGTTCCTGCTCATGGCATTGCCAGAGCCGCAGGGAATGTGTGCAACGGCCAGCTTCGCAAGGGCCTCTCCGGCGTTCTCCTTTTTGCCTAGCCCGTTGAATATCTCAAAGATCGATCCGTCTCCGGAAGCAGCCGCAATGACGTCCCATGCGTCAACATCGATCTTCTCAGCAATTTCAATGGCATGGCCAGAGTACTCGGTGACCTGGGTCTCGATAACACAGTTGGCAGCTTCGAATATTGGCTCGACTTCCTTGTAGTAGATCTTGGACGCGTTTCCTTTCCCGCCAAAGGGATTCACCAGTACCTTTATCCGTTTCTTCTTCTGTGCTTCTCCGTATGCCAAATCCAAGAGCGAGGCAACCCATGTTTCCGCTCTTGATAGCTGCGTGCGTTCGATGCTGTAACAAACCGTGGCCAGGCCGACATCTAGCTTATTCCGTGGGTTGGCGTAATTAATATTGATATGGTTGTCCGATATTTCTGCCCAGAGGATATTGAAGAAAGGGATAGATCGTGTCACCCGCGCAACGCCTAGAAGGATGATAAGGAGTCAGACTCTTTCCGGAGAAGCAATCCGCTCGCCATCACTGTTGGGTGTTCAAATTCATACGTGGAGTAGATATCGCGCCGCAGCAACTTCGACTAGATTTATTATTATGGCTATCGTCTGCAACGAGGCCATGGCATAAGTTATTAACTGATAGATTTCAAGAATATATAGAGTATATGGCAATGTATATGGCAAATAAGAGAGGGGGAAAAAACAGGAGTGGCAGCCGGGGATAGCCTTACCTTGGATAACGAGCGAGTCCGTCGTCAATGTCAACAACGCATTCACCCCGACCGGTAGGACCGATGCTTCGTCCCGAGGAGCCTGCATCTCTGCATCTTCTTCTCTCCCGGCATCTCTTGAGTCTGAAAAAAGGCGGCCGAAAGTCATAGCTTAAGCTCTGCGAAGTCCAGCTAGGCGCATTGCCGAAGCGTCCGACGGAGAGAAAAGAGCGGAGGAGACGTGGTTAAAGGGGGCCCGCCGTGCTTTCTACGGCTGTCAATGGCTGCTCCGGCCTTCTCGCAAGCCAGGAGTGACTCCGTAAAGTCGTGTATATATACGCTGGAGGGCAGGATCCCGGGCGACAGGACGAGGTGTGTGTCACGATGCGATCGTCAGCAGGCGTTTCGAATGATCTGCCGAGGTTGAGGGTCACTGCGCATGCAAGATTCTACGTGCCCAGCGATGGCCGCACCGTGCATCCTATGCGACCAGAGCTGTTGCTGGTATAAAATATGAAAAGAATCAGGCTGTGCCGGAAGACCCTTGGGCGAAGACTTCGGCTTTGTTGTTTTCTTTTCGTCTTTTCGTCCCCTTTTTCTGATTGGAAAGAGTGAAGACGTTGCCGATCACATGATGGCTTCTTCCTTTCGTCCATTTTTCCACCTTCACTTTTTGGTTGGATGCAAGTAAATTGAACACGAAGCGTTGAGGGTTGTAGATAGATATTGAGAGGCCCTTTTTGCTCCTGTGGCATTAGTTATTTCTATTGCATCCAATCTGCTACATATTTCACTCTTCGATGAGGCAACCTAAAGAATGCTAGCGACATGTCAATTGCCGACTGGATCAACATGAAACCACGGAGGCTGTCAAGGGACGACATTATCTCTATACCCTGATTGATAAAAAAGGGCGTCTTTTTGACGTTAAAGCTGGCTGTTGGACAGACTATTGCCCCGTAACTAGCCATGATGTTGAGCCTTCAGTTAAGAACTATGGACAACTCGTATTCCGATCCATTCATTCATTAACTACTCCGTGTTCAAACGCATATCTCTGGTAGGTAAGCCATAAAACGGATGCTTCTAACAAGACAGGAGATAGGAGTCAGCAATGGGATTATTGGTTGGAATTGAGTAAAGGGCGTGGCCGTCAAGAGAATTTTGGCGCTTCACGACTACAAACACTAAGGCGATAGTTATGTGTTGAGAGCTGACGTGGGAGAATTCCGAATGGAGGACCGAGACGATCACCTGGGAACCATGCAGAATAACTATTCCATTCCATCTTGGAAAAGGGGTATTGGAACCAGGAATCTGGCCTCTTGGGCTTTACTAAATGACTTACGCCGTTCCTCTTTGACATGGGAGCCTATCATCACCTACGATCCGCGTTGGGAACGTCCTGATTCACAATGCCACGCGTGTACTCCATACCATGCCGCAACATGTCTTCCCGCTCCCCGGGAGCCCTGGTCAGAAGTCGTTGGACGACGTCGTGTCCAACATTTGGTTAGCTTGCGGGCTAGGGGGACCGGGATTGCTCACGACGTCCACTAAGCAATGGATATTTAGATATAAAAGTTGGGTATTTCAATAATGACAGCGTATTTGCACTCCGGTCAACTAGTTCACCACCTCGACGATGTCCCCGTTCTTTACGCTGTCATTATCCCGACAAGGGAGCCATGTCGTATGAGCAGCATTCAATCAATGTTGACCATAGCTAGCTATCCATCACCGCACTTTCACAGGGCCACATACAAGCCTGTAGGGATGTTGTTAGAAGTCAAGCTTGTAGTGTACATGATATTTCTCACGTAAGACTCCTTGTAATCGATTTACTCGTCCATGACAGTCAATATATACACAACTAAATATATATGTATCCACAGTTCCTATGAGCCAACTACTCTCGCGCCTGGTGTTCCAGAGCTTCTAAAGGAGTTTGAGGCTGCTAATACTTCACTGGCTTCTCTTGCCGTTTCGGTCAATATTCTCGACTTCTACGTTGGCCCCCTGTTTCTAGCAGCTTTCAGTGAGTACTATGACCGGCTGTTCATCATATAACTCTTGAACATTTTCTTTCTCATGTTTTCGATTGCTTGCGCTGTGAGCACTAATGTCGGAATGTTTATCTTTTCTGTTTAATGCAGGAATCTCAGCCTGCCCTTCTCTGACGCTCGGTAGAGGAACAATATCCCACTTAGTTATGGAGAGTATATCCGGGCGCATCCAAGGTTTCAGGTCAGCCTATGAGAGTAATCACCGATGCGCCACTCTCCTACATGTCAAACGATAAGAGGACAGAGAATCCTGATATGTTCTTGAAAATTTGATACAGCTGGGTTGCAGTGTCGTCGCTGGAAGTAGATAGTTGATTACATAAGGTTACCAGCAGACGGGAAACTTTGTATCACGTGGATAACTTAGATTTGAACTCCGACGGAAGTCCGAATTTCAGTGACTTCGCGAAAGACGACATCAACGTCGACAAACCGTGACCAGAACAGAGCCTTGAATGGAGACTGCGGGCGGCGGTAAAGCTGGCCCATGCTAAATCGGCTATATGGAGAACGTCTCTTTTTTTAGCGATGATTTTTTTCTCTGGTGATGTGATGATACCCACCAGACGTCTTCGAGAGGCTACCGTTTGCCGCCACTGTGGATGTAACTTAAGTATATGTATGTATACTTAAACGGAGTACTCCGGGGCTTTTCCAAAGCGAGCTAGAGAGCATTCGCTAGCGACAGACAAAGAGCCTAGCTACCCATCCCCCGCCCACAGAGATCCAAAGCCCACTGACACCAAGGCCGTCGTGTCGGCTCGTGGCAAGCCGCTCCCTCTCGGACAATGACCCAATCGAGCTCCCCACCGTTTGGGATGGCCAACCGCAGCGAGAATCTAGACAGCAAAAGGTCGACAGAGGGACGGGTCGTTCTGTAACTGTGGCCAGTGGATACGCTACCCTTGCGCGTAGCCCCTGGAAATCGAGATTCAAGATGATTCGCACTGTGGTATGGGACCTGCATCATGCCCCATCCCTGTGCCTGGCACGCAAGGGTTGGCCCATTTAATTACCTTGATCTGAAGGCGGTTGCCGAAGCTCGCCAGGACACACGCCATGGTTAGAGCACAGTTTAAGTCGGTTAACTAGTTATATTGACCGGGTTCCCCAAAAAATCTTGCATCTCGGTCATGCATAAATATCTACTCCTGGCATTTGCGAGTGCTTGCCTGACTCGTTCAGAGAACTACTTCGTCGCTGGGCATGTCCCTTGAAGAAGACCTGCGAGCATGGAAGTTCCTTGGAGCCTACCAACCCGCCTTCCCCTCGCCGTGCACATAGACGAGGTGATACTGGCGCGCAAGATTGGTCGTAATGGATTGCTGGTATGCTCAACGAGTTGTATTTCCCATCTACGAAAAACAATGGACTAACAGGCCTCTTCTTGCAGATATCTGTCTGGACTCTTTTTGCCATTACCACATTACTACTCATCAGCCGTTTCGCGATCAGGCTCCGTGTTCATAGACAGCTCTTTTGGGACGATATACTTGCCGGCCTTGCCTATATCTTCTTACTATGTCACAATATTCTCGCTACCCTGGCCGCGCCGACGATTTACTTACTGCTCGATCTCTTTACGGATAACCATGGATTCATGCAACCAGATATCCTTGGAAAAATTGATCGCCTAGTAAAACTCGTTCTCTCCAGCAACTTTCTCTTCCGCATATGCATATACCTCGTTAAGGCCAGTTTACTTGCCCTGCTCTGGAGATTATTCCGCAGTTTGCCCAAGTTCCGCCGCGCATGGCTGGGGATTATCGTAGTCACGGTTATTGGATTTGCCCTCTCGATGATTCTCCCTCCGGTTGCGTGTTCGGATTTTACTGCCCGTGAGTTCACATGTATAGCAGCTATATGAGTGCTCCCACTAACTTGTATCCTAGTTGGTTGTATCTCCCCAAGGCAGATAAGGTTGGCTGCCATCGATATCTACGTCAGCACAGTTTTTGATGTGCTAACAGACGTTCTGAGTAAGTGACAGCATGCACATGTCATATGTGGACGGGTTTATACGAGTTTCCGCTAACTAAGAATGGTAACAGTTGTGTGCCTCCCTGTTGCCTTTGTCCTCAAATCATCTCTCCCCATGCCCCAGAAGACGGGATTGATCGTCCTCTTTCTCCTCGGACTCGCAGTCGTCATCATATCCATCCTCCGCACCATTGAAACAGACGGCAAAACTAAACTATCACCTCCGTCATGGCTCCTCTTCTGGAGCTCAATGGAAGCCACTATCGCAGTGATGGTATCCTGCTTTGCTTCCTACAAGTCCCTTTTCTCTGCTCGATCACGACCCTCGACGTACCATCCACACGGTCACACTGCATCTGTCGTCGCCCCTACTCCGGCAGAAGTCCGAAAGACCAGGATTCTGAACGAAAGTGACTCGCGAGAAGAAATTATCCATCGCACCGAATTCGAGGTCAGCTACGAAATGGCACCCGCAGGCTCCAGCAACCGTGCTAATCCCTACTCCATCCCCTCAAACAAGTCGTTGCAAGCCCTGCCCTCGTCGTTAGCATGATTCGGGAGAAAGGAAACATCAATTCTCTCCGTCTTGGGTGTATTTCCAAGACACTTTTTTTGCATATGGTTTCCACGTGGCGAGCGATGGGTACGGTGTGGGGTTGGTGCCCATGGATGGTTCCGCCATGGACAGTCCGGAGCCTGTTGTTGATCGGTTTTCCATAGGGGTTCAATGGAACGGAGCATCTACATAGAAGAGTCTGTGCAAACACTGGTGGGAGACAGGGAGGAGTGAGGTTCAAAATTCACTTACGGTTTTCAATGTCCATTAACGAGTTTCCTTTTAATCACTAATGTAGTAGTTTACTAATTATTCCATACTGCCAGACTTAGATACTGACAAAATTTTTGATTGCCTTAAGCGATCTATAACGACCACATGTACAATAGCAATAAAACTAATCATGGAAGATCCTTTTTTTGCCCTCCTTTGCCTCTTATCTGCAAGGTCCTCCAGCAACTCGCTCGTAAACTGTGACATGAAGAGGCCAAAAACTTTTTGCCTTGTGTTACGTAAATCTCAGTCTAACTTTGGCCTATTTTTAGTGGACTCAGATCGTGTTATCGGAGACACAAGGAGGCTAGGCAGAGTAGGAGAAGGAGAAGGAGAAGGAGAAGGAGAAGGAGAAGGAGAAGACGAAGGAAGAAACAGAATTCATTACCATCCACAGGAACAAGTAGAGCGAAAACAGAGGAGCTGAGTAAACGGGCAGGTATAAAGGGCCCCATGGCTAGGAAGAATAGAATATCTACCTTTTTTCATTAACATCAACATGAACAAAACAGATTATCATGAACGATTAAACGGAGTTAGCCTTTATGCCCTTTAGAGAACCCAAACTAAGCGCCAACCCTTGAGATCGACTTCTTATCCGCATGAAGCCTGTGATCGGGCCATCGTCACCTTCTTTCTCGATGCTCAAGTTTGCAAGAGCGTCCTCGCCTACGGAAGAAAGTTAGCCCAATCTTTGGTTCTTAAGGGGCCGACGGAGTGGATGCACAGAAGTAGCGTGGCGTGGGATACATGGAATGATGCAAAGTGGCGTGGGATGGGAAAGTATGGGGAAGAAACTTACCGAAGACGCTCCTTGCGTAGAGATTCGCGCTTAGGAACTGGCAGTCTCCCTCTAGGGAAGCTTCAGGGGTAAGACAACTCATGTTTGTACGGTCCATGAGTTGCTGGAGGAAGGCCCTCAGACTCTTGGCCTTGGAGTGGATGTTAACCTTGTTCTCCCATTCGAATTCGGTCCACATCGTTCTGAACTGTGTTTCAGTGCAGTGAGCGGGCTGTATGTAGTCCATGATGTCAGCCTTGATGTCGTTCAGAATGACTACATGGGTCTCGGTAGAATTCGAGCCATCGTATATCACGTTGCCGAATATCACGCCAGTGTCAGTCGAGGAGACCTTGATGGTAGCTTGGACATTTAGGAAATCGTGTGGCCCGAGGTTTTGGGTGGTAGGTCGCTCGACGACCTTGAGATCACCGAGTGTAGCGAATTCGACGGAGAGGTTCTGAAGGGTTTCGGTGGTTTGGTTGACTAGAAGCACGTCAAGGACAATGTCGAATTGGTGGACCTTGACATATGCTTCTGCGTAAACGGCATCGGAGTATCCCGTAAGCTGCACCACTCTGCTGAGTTTGGAGGTGAGGTCTTCAAGCGTCGAGTCGCCACCGGTGGCTTTGGCAAGATCCAGCTCGATCTCCTCTGCTCCCTCCTCAGACTTCTTTGCCAGTTGTCGAATGGGTATGGCATCGTCCACTTGAACGGCTGTCTTGGCCTTTTCAACAGCCTCCTTAGCAGCACGTTTCTTCTCATCCACCTGAACCATGGCACGGAAGGCCTGTCTAGTGTCTTCCAAGAAAATAGACTCAAGCTCCTTCCGCTGAGCAGACTCGGCCAATGACCGGACGCATGACATGATTCTGTCAACGGAGTCTTCATCGATAGAGGCCTTGGCGAATTGCGACTGGCCAACGCGGATGATAGAAATCATGATCAGCATCGCTTCGGCGCGCAAGGCGTTAGTCCGGGCAACATCTTGTGAAAGCTCCGAATGGCGCATAACAAGCTTCGTCAGTGTCGATGAAAGAACGGTTGCGAGGTAGTAATCTCCATCTAGGATGAGCTGTCTGAGCGGCGGCTTCTGCGCTGCCTTGACGGCCGCTAACTTGGCGGCGGCGGCGGATTCACTGGTTAGAGCGGACTCCTGTGCGTATGTACCATCAGCCAGAACCTTGGGCCCCGTTGTCGACTTGGCATGTCCATTTACAGAGTCTTGACCCGCCGCACCGGCGTCAGGGCCTTCGTCAAGTAATCGTTGCTCTGAGGCGAGGATCGGGATTTCTCCTAAGCTGGCTCGTATACGCTTCCAGGCCTCTCTGATATCGTTTGCTTCGAGTGAATATTCACCCACAACCCAAAGGACGCCACGATATACTTTCCCGGCACGAACTTCGTCCAAAGTGGAAACTAGTCGCTCGACAATGGATGGTCTGAGTTTAGGGAACTTTTCAACGACTTCCTTGACAAAGGTTATCACATCGACAGCAGAATTGTTGTTGAAGTCGGCAATAAAGTCCATGAGAAGATCAACGACACTGGCAGCAATCTCGGAGAACTTGATGGCACACTGATGGATGGACTGGATGAGGAGCTGTCGATATTCATTGTTCTGCAGGTAACCGTTAGTTATGCCAGTGATGCCAATAATGATGGAAATCTAGCTGCATTACCTTCTCATACTGTTCGTCAACGGTTTTGGCAAGCTCTTTCTTAAGCAAGAGAACAATCTCCTCGACATTCCGACTGGAGACCATCTCAAGAGCAATGAACAAGGCCTTGCGTCGAACATCAATGTCCGGGCTGGAGAGGACACGAAGGATCTCCATGGTAAGATCATCGAGAACACCCTCATTGCGCTTCATGAGCTGGTGAACACGCTCCAGCACAATAAGCTTGACGTTGTTGTCTGCCTCTTTGATGCATAGTTCAATCAACTTTGCAGCCGCGGCCTTGACAGCGACAGGATTTGACGTCAGTGCAGTAAGGGAGGTAGCCGCCTCATACACAACCGTGCTAGTGTTTGCGTCCAAAAGATCAAAAATCAACCGAAGATATCGCGCCTGGCCGTATTAATAACGAATTAGCCATATGGAAGTGTCAACTGAAACAATAAAATGCTAAATCCTACCTTGTTCTGGGTATTCTGCACAGCATCCTTCCTTATAAACTCAAGCTCGACCAACTGAAGCAGTTCGTCTGCATTGGCTACACCATCAAAGGTTGAGCTCAGATATACCAAGGCACTCTCATGGCTGATGGTGACCAATGCAGCAAAAGCGTTGCGTTTGCAAGTGGGATCTGTCTCCGTCTCTAAGAAGGCCAGCAACAGGTCTGCGGCATCCGGAATGAGGGATTCGGAGTGCTGGAATATGGAGGCAATTGCCCAGACTGCGTTTTTCCGAACATATGCATGTCTATAGCGGAGGCACTGGCGTGCAGACGAGAGCAGCGGTTCTAGTAGTTCTGGCTCTCTGAGCTTGCATAGGAATCGGAGTGTGTTTCCTCGAATGTACTCATTGGGATGCTGCAGATCATTCCGGATTCCGTTACTACGATTATAGCACTTCATTAGCCAGATGTCATCGACTTTCAACGAGCACATAGCCACCTACCAGACCAGAATCATCTCCTGCTTCAGCTTGCCGTTGGCATCGAGTTTAGGGCAGATTTCGTAGTAGAAATAGAGCAATTTCTTGAGAGGCTTCGATTTTGACGGCATGACGAAGCGGATAATGTGCATGAGCAGCTGTGGCATCGGGTCTCCATTCAGCATCATGATGAGGATGATCCTCATGGTCTCCATCTTGGTCTCATCCGTGCCCTTTTCCAGCTGCGTCTTCAGTTCCTGGACGGTAGGCTGGTCCGCCGAGTTGTCCTGGTGCACCAGCGTGTACGAGTGATCCAGATACGAAGCCATTGTGCCGTTCTCTTGTCCCTTGTCCTGCGTCTGGCGGTGGAAGCTCTGGGTAGTGTAGTATGTAGGGGGGTCTGCGGTGGTGTTTTGAGAAGCGGCCCAGGGTGTTCAGGAATCTCAGGGTAGCGTCCGCATGCCTCGCCTTGTAGTCGGCGGAGAGAGAGGCGTCCTGGAGTATGTCGGCACTGTAGCAGAGAATCACCGTCGAGATGTCTGCTTCTCTTCGTCTCGCCGTCCTGTCTGCTTGGTGTCCTTCGTCGTCGTCGTCTCCAACTTGTCCACTCTGGCCAGTATTTGCGCGGCCCGCCAAATGTGTGGATGACTAAGCATGGCCTCTAACTTGTGACTTTTTGCGCACAAAAGAAGACGGCGACGGCGACGACGAAGAAGAAGAAGAAGACGCACATCGAGAAGACGAGAAGGAGACGAGAAGATTCAAGATGCCGGGCGACAACGAGACCTTCTACCTGCGATACTAGTAAGGACTATTTCTATCCTTGGGGCCCAGATTCTCCCTGCCAGCTGCTGACGGCGCGCCAGCTCGGGACACTCTGGGCGGTTCGGACATGAGTTTCTAGGTGAGCAGCAGAAGCAGCCAGCGCGGTTGACAGGCGGGAATACAAGCTGATCGACGGTAGAATTCGACTTCAAGTCTCTTGGAGACGGCCGCAGTGCCTCTGCGCGCTATGCGAACAACTCGAACTACCGCAATGACTCCCTCATCCGCAAAGAAAGTACGTCATACAGCTACCTGCCATTCCCCTCCCCCTCAAGTAGAAAGCTGGCTGCAGGAGGGCTAAGAGGAGTCTATTACAGTGTGCGTCAGCTCGCTGCTGATACAGGAGATCAAACGGATTATCAAAGAGAGCGAGATTCTCAAGTATGTTGGGCATTGACTTCTTTTGTCTGCTGCAATCGCCCACCTCTGACCCTCTATCTACTATCGAATAGGGAAGACGACTCGAAATGGCCACAGAAAAACAAAGATGGACGACAAGAGCTTGAGATTCGACTTGGGAATGAACACATATCCTTCGAGGTGCGCTCTTCCTCTGCGCATGCATTTGAGTCGCTGTCGTCGTTTGGGTGCTAGCGAACTGCAAAACTGACCAGGCATGACATGCAGACTGCAAAGATAGGCTCGCTTGTCGATGTCACCGAATCGGCGGATCCTGAGGGCCTGCGAGTCTTCTACTATCTCGTACAGGACCTCAAGGCGCTCGTCTTTTCACTAATATCCCTCCACTTCAAGGTATGGCTGGCTCTTCAAGCACCCCTGTCCCGCCGAAGCTGCCAACCCACGTCACCACCACCATGAGCTGTCACTGACCACGGCCGCCCCTAGATCAAACCCATTTAAAAAGCATTCGCCGGGCGCAGAGAGGACTTACTGCTGTTCTATGTGATGAATATCTATCAGGAGTTAGGCTGGTCTATCTGTCTTTTAGCTGCTAATGAATACTTTCTCGTACTTCTCACGCTGTTTTTCCACCCCTGGCCTATAACCTCCTTTTAATACGCTTCGCTGCCCCTAGTCGTATAGCTTTACATAGGCCCCTTCACTGTAGACCTCGCCATCCTGGCCCTTCCCCGCGATCGCATGACCCTCTTTGCTCGCTCCAGTGGCGCTGGGCTGCTCGACTCGACGGCCTGCTTGGCCCTGCAAGTGCGTTGACTAGCCAAAGGGAAAAAACCTTCCCGCGCCCAAACAACTTGACTTGTCTTCTGCCTCTCCCTCTCTGCCTCGCATTCCTTCAGCGCTGCAACACCGCAACACACGAACCGGACTGACCGTCTCTCTCTCTTTCTCTCTAGCTGCTGCGTCTCTGCTACTCAGCTTGCGCTCCTTACCTGCGTCTGCCGGCTCAATCGATCCTATGTCCTGCCGTTAAAGCCGTCTCCATGCCAACCCACAGTGACATCAGCGCCCATACGCAAGTCTCAGCTGCTTCTAACGCGCCCACACGACCAACTTGTCCCCCAGAAAGCGACAGAATAACCTCCTGGATAGAGTCTGCAGAAGGCAGAATCGACGCTGCGGCCGATAATGGCTCTCTGACGGCGCAGTCTCCTCCAACTACGGCGGGCGAGCGCCCTGACTCTGACTCGGCTATGACCACCGATGAAGCTTTATCTCCGCAGCGGCGTGAGCAAGGACAGCAGTCTCAGGGATCCGAACCTGCAACGGGTGGTGGCAGCACTTCTACTGGTGCTGCTACTACTACGATGCACTCCCCGGGAACAGAAAACATCGGTGCTGCTGGCTCGGGCATAGTCGAGTCGCTGGCCACTGCCGAGGAGGTGCGCTCTCCTGTATCGGACTCGACTGCCATAACCGACGACTACGATGAAACGGACGAGCCGATGACCCCTACGACGAGTGTCTCTGCTGCTACTGAGATCAAGGATGAGCAGCGGGAGCCTGCTGCTACTGCTGCTCCAGCCATTCCCGACATTCTGGCCACTCATCGGACTTCCATGAGCTTTGAGTACTCTGATGCCAGAGTAAGTCACGTTGCCCCCCGAGTCTACAAATACTTTAGAAGGCCTATGGGAGTACACTGATGTACTGACACACGACTACTCTGCCAGCTCGTGCCAGATCACTCCTCCTCGTACTTTAGAGGGGGGAGCAGGTTTACCGGCACTCAGCAGTCTGAACAGCAGATTTACACCGTCGACGTGGAGATCAAAAACGTCGACATGTCCGAGTCCTATCTCTGCGGATACCTCAAAATCAAAGGTACGGCGCTATTTACCTCTCCAATTGACATTATTACTCTGCACAGGCGCAACACCTTACTGACAGTCTTAACAGGCCTGACACCGGACCATCCTACTCTAACAACTTTCTTCGAAGGCGAGATAATTGGCACCAAACATACCTTCCAAACTCGTCATGAGGATTGGGGTGCCACTGAAAAGACGGATATGCACCATTGGTCCCGATTCCCAGCCTGGCGTCCCCTCTCTCGATTGGCCAAACAGCCGGACTTCACCTTCAAGGACTATGCCCAGCGGGAGAACATCTTCATGCGGTGGAAGGAAGCCTTCCTTGTGCCCGACCACCGTGTCAAGACCATTTCCGGCGCCAGCTTCGAAGGGTTCTACTACATCTGCTTCAACCAGGTTCAGGGTACCATCAGTGGCATCTACTTCCACGCGAAGAGCGAAAAGTAGGTCTCACCGCCCCATCCATCGAGTGCCTAATAATGAGAAAATCGAAAAAACAAACCTGCTAATGGCTTTTATAGACACCAACAGCTTGAGCTCAAGCCTGTGGAGAACTACGGATGCTGTGCAGCCATCGAATTCCGATGAACCAACTCCAATCTTCTCAACGAACCCAATTGATCTCCCACCGTTTTGATTTAGGCCGTCTTTCTTGTTGCCCAAATGGCCTTGATGAGCCCGTCGATCACGTCCAAGCTTATATAAACCCGCATGGCCTTACTCTGTCCTTCCATCAAAAACACAATATGGCAAACCGGCCCAGCCAAGGGATGATCTTCACTTTTTGTGGCGGCCTTGTCCTCGCCTCCATCCCTCCATCTTTCCCTCTTTTTACTATCCGTGGCGCATATCGACCCAACCAGCATTCTCACCAAATCACGACGTCAAAACTCATCCCGAACCCGTCACAAAAACCCTCGTATCCTCCTGCATGAAGTATGAAGCCCTTATGCATTCCTTATCTGTTCACCCACACCATTGGGCCTTTTTTTGGCTGCTTTCGCTTGCATCTTCCGGTTTTCCTTCGTCACTTCGGAGTTACTTTCGACTCTGGGCTCGACTTCATATTTCATTCCCATTCTTAACTAACGGCTAGCTTGGGGTCTATTCTCTTCATCTCTTCGCTTCACTTCCTGCTTGGTGTTCCTCGGCGTTTTATCTTCAGCTTTTCTCTTCTATTACCTGTCATTTTTTTTTTTTTTTTTTTTTTTTTTTTTTTTTTGGCTCTATATCGGCCTTATTACCCAAACTGACACCTCACCTGTTTTGCTGTGATACTCCTTGAATCAGGCCACCGTCTATCGACCGACTACCCATCGACCCTTGAACCTCCCCCGACTATCCCAAGCTATAGGATAAATTAACCTTTTGAAGCTATCATCTACCTCCACGTCAGCCGTCAGCCATTTGATCATCTTTTCTCTCTTTCTACTAATTGATATCCCTTTTCTTCGTTCTTTTTTATTTTTTATTTTTTTTTTTTAACCCCTTGTCTTTCCAGTCTCTTCTTTGCTTATCTCTTTTAATCAAAATGACCCTCTTCCCTCTCGACTCTACCAAAAAAAACCATTTCTCAATCAATGAATGAATCAAATGAATGACTCTCCAACCAAATTGCTTCTTCTTTCAAAGACTGCTCCACCCATGAACCTCAATCCGAACCCGGACCCGAACTGAACCGCGCGCTATCCACCAGACGCTCTTGCAGACAAGAAAAAGAGCAAAAAAGAAAGCCCAACGCGGGGCTCGAACCCGCAGCCTTGTGATGGCCAACTGTTATAAACTTGCTATAAGAGTATAAGAGTCACACGCTCTACCGATTGAGCTAGCCGGGCTGATGGAGGCTCTGGCGCCCTTGTCGCTTAATGAGCCGCAGGGACGTGTACTCTGTAGATTTCGATGGCCTACAAGGTTGTGGATGAGACTAGTACTACATGTTAGAGCTGCTAGTGGCGGATGTAAATGGTTCTGTTACAGATTATCTCACGTTCATGGAGATTTTTATATTGAAAAGTTGAGTGTGCGATTTTTTTTTTCTCCATGGGCACGTGAGCATAGGCGCGAGCTGCAGTTTTTCCCTGCAGGGATGGAGATATCGTATCATGACGATGGAGAGTTGTTCACGATGCCGCATCTTGACTCTGTCCACTACATCTCTGGTGTCCATAGCCTCAGGATCCAATAAAAGTACATGTAAATGGCTACATGTATGCATATCTTGACGCTGTGGCGACAAGGCCTGTCCACGGAAGACTGCCATCTGGCTCCGACGTCACTCGCGCACTACCTACACCAAATCACACGATACCATTTTATTATCCCGCGCCTTGACTGTCTACTGTGTCTATCGCCGAGGGGAACAAATTCCCTTTATACAGAACAGCATGTCTGTTGGCAAGTCACTCCGGTCCTTACCTAAGGTGATACACCAGGAGATCGACCATCTGACCGTCGGCCACTCATAATATGCGGACCCTCCGGAGTTGGCAAAGGAACGCTCTGCCATAAACAAGTCTCTTCTCTTCCAGACGTCTTTGCTCTGGGTGTGTCCCACACAACTCAGAAAACACGAGCCAACGAAGTTGAAGGGATATACTACTTTTTCGTGCAACCAGAGCAATTCACGTCTCTCATCGCACAAAACGGCTTTGTGAAACACACCACTTTCAACGGCCAGAGTTACGGAAGCAGCAGACGGACTACCTCGGATCTAGCATGGAAAGAATACATCGTTATACTTGAGATAGACGTGAAGGGAGTCGAGCACATAAAGGCTGACTCCAGTATTGATGTCCGGTATGTGTTTATCCGACCTCCCAGCCTTGAGGTGCTGGAGTGTCGGCTCAGGGAACATGCGATGGAGGATGAGGCAGTGATGCTCACGGGAGGTGTGGCGCAGGCGACTATCGAGCTTGGGTATGTTAATATTCCGGGGTTTTTCGATAAGGTTATGGTCAATGATGATTTGAATATGGCGCACGAAGAGCTTGTCAGGTTTGCATACTCGTAGCTTCAGCCTGAGCGATGCTTAGTATATGAAAGGGTAAGCAGATTTGCGTCGGTTATAAATATATAACTAATACTAATAGATATAGTTCACCAATCAGCGAGCACCAGCACTAAACAAACATATAACAGAATACTAATTATAGCTTTTACTTTCTGCTACTGCTAAAATCAAGGTAATAAGACCTTAAAAGTAAGGAATTTAGTAAGAAAGCAGCCTGGTGGGAGGCGTTATTCTCAAGTAAAAAAGTACTTAGAGTAATCCGCCATTAAGCTAATCAGGCATTTCTATTGGCTAAGAATAGTTAGTTACACTTCATCTTCTCTCAACTCTGGACTTTTGGACAATAATATTATTCTTCATACTCTGTACAAAGGTGCTTAAAAGACGGTGTCTATAGCATTGTCGACTGGCCTTTTGCCAGACAGGCTACAGCGACTTACCTTGGGCCCGCGCAAGTTCGGAGTCGCGTCGTTCGGGGGGAGTATGGAGTATACGGTCAGCTATGGGAGTGAGGACGGTGTTGTGCGTTGCGGAAAAGCCATCGATTGCCAAAGCAATTGCAAACCACTTGGGAGATTGAGTGATTACCGTTCGTGAGCAGCAGACCCGTGCAATCCGCCAGTCGCCAGTCGAGCTATATAACTAATTGGTCGTGCAGCATAACATCCAAGGCAATCCGTATGTGAAGAACTACGAATTCGACTACGCCTTTCCGCAATGGGGCCGTTGTAGTGTCACGATGACCTCTGTGCTCGGCCACCTCCTCAGCCATGAGTTTGAGCCGCGATACAAGAGCTGGACTTCATGCGACCCATCTGCGCTTTTTGACGCCCCCATCGAGGTGTTCGTTAGTAGCGACAGCCAGCCTGTCGCGGACAACATCAAGCGACACGCTCGCCGGGCCGACGTGCTCTTTATCTGGACCGACTGCGACCGCGAAGGCGAGCACATAGGCACCGAGATTCGGTCGGTGGCAGCACAAAGCAACCAGGCTCTAGGTCGTGCTGGCGGCACTGTAAGAGCACGTTTCTCCAACATCGAAAGAACGCATATCATCCACGCCGCTCACCGTCCTGTCAATCTCGACGAAGCGCAAGCCGACGCAGTGGCTTCACGTATCGAGCTTGATCTTCGTGTGGGCGCAAGCTTCACCCGGCACCTCACTCTTAGCCTTCGCCCTATACTCCAGCGAGGCAATCTGTCAGAAGCCTCTCAGTTAATCAGCTACGGGAGCTGTCAGTTTCCTACGCTTGGCTTCGTCGTCGAGCGCTACTGGCGCGTCCGGAATTTTATCCCGGAACCATTCTGGAGCATCAAACTGATGCATCAAAAGGCTGGAACATGGGTGAACTTTAGTTGGGCTCGCAATCATCTCTTCGACAGAAGGACTGCTGTTATTCTCTATGAGCGGTGTCTCGCTTCGCAGAATGCTCAGGTCCAAAAGGTTAAGACCTCGCCAGCGAGCAAGTGGAAACCCTTACCGTTGACTACTCTAGAGCTTCAGAAGTGCGGTAGCAGATTCTTGGGAATGGACAGTCAAAAGGTTCTGCAGCTTGCAGAAAAGCTATACCAAAAAGGCTGGATTAGCTATCCTCGTACCGAGACAGATCAGTTCGATCAGGGTATGGACCTTCGTGGCCTCGTCCAGAAGCAGACGCAGGGTGGCCGCTGGGCTGATTATGCAACGGCGCTTGTCGGAGGAGGCTTTTCGTGGCCCCATAACGGACATAATAATGATAAGGCCCACCCGCCTATCCACCCGGTCAATTTCGTCAGTCCAGCTACGCTCTCACTTGAAGAGCAAGCAGCGTGTTCATGAGTTCGTCGTCCGGCGCTTCCTGGCCTGCTGCAGCAAAGACGCCCAGGGGTCAAAGACCGACATTAGTGTTCTCTATGGACCAGAAACATTCCATGCATCTGGCCTTGTAATATTAGAGCGTAACTATCTCGATGTCTACATTTACGATCGGTGGAGCAACCAAGAACTTCCCCCGTTCATCGAAGGCGAGGTCTTCGAGCCGACCGAAGCCATGCTCAGTGAAGGCAAGACGTCATCACCTGGATATCTAACGGAACCAGACCTGCTTGCACTAATGAACGCGAATGGTATCGGCACCGATGCCACCATGGCTGACCATATTGTCACAATTATAGACCGACAATACGTCGAAGCTAGAGCTCAGCCAAGGCAGGCGCGGCATGGAAATGACGAAGAAGAAGAGTCTGAGGAGTTGCCAGCCCAAGCGAGAGGCGGGAATGGTCGTAGAGGAAGAACCGCAATAGCTTCTCGCCGTGGCGGCAGGAATAGCGGTGCTGGCCGCGGCAGCACTATCACAGGTGTTCGGGAGTTCATACCCACGACGCTGGGCGTCGCTTTGGTTGAGGGTCACGAGAATATGGGCTTCGAGACTGATTTGATGAAACCGTTTTTACGCAAAGAGGTAAGATTATGTTCTTGATCAATCCACATCACGAGCTGGCTGCTGATGACAGGTGTAGATGGAGCTAAAGATGAATGCCATATGTAATGGACAAACGACTAAGACTCGGGTCGTTAACGAAACCATCGAGCAGTATCGAGGGGTCTATACTCGCATGCAGCAACGTCCGGACGTCCTTCGTACGGTGAGGACTGACTCTCAGTGTACCTACCTACTACTCAGCTAATGTGATTGTAGGCTGTTCGGAAGTATGTTTTCGGTGAAGTGAACTGAGGATTGTCGACTTCACCATTGAACTCTACCAATTGTCTACAATCTTATGCAAGAACTACATTCCGACTTGGCGTTGAGTTAACTGCCCTCGGCCAAGCTATAAACGAGGCCCTATTATAGTGAGGTTGGTCACCAACCACAAGAGTTCCCTTAACTAATTATATTCCGTGGCGATCTGCTCGCTTCCCCAACAGCTTCATACCAGGAATAACTAACTACCAATGAAAAGAAAGGAGAGATCGTCCAACCATCCAACCTCCAAGCTCCTAGGGCTGTCTCCTTACCCAAACAGCCATGGGGTTCTTTTCCGCATTAAATTCAATTGCACTCTTTGCCGCATCTGTGACCTTGCCTGCGCCGGCATTGATGGCTTCTGCGGTTGTCGGTGCTGGGGGTGGCAACTTTGTAGTGTCTTCTGCGACCTGTTGAATGCGGCTGTCCATCTGGCCGAGAATCTTCTCTTGCTCCTAGCGAGGGGGTCAGCTTGGGTCCGTGATGATACCATATGCTAGGGGTAATTGCTAGGCGTAATGTCCTCCAGATAGGGGCACTTACTTTTCCGGCGAGATCTTCAATCTTGGCCTTTGCACCTTCGAACCAGCTGTTAAGTTTGCTGACGCTGTCCCTGACCTTGTCCCTGGATTCCTTGGGATCTTTGCCCAACTGCCCCGCGAAATCAGAGCTGATACCAACCAGGAGCTGGATACCTGGCATGATATTTTCGATAGACAGGTCGGACCACATCTTTGCAACCTCGCCGAATATCTCGAAATATGCTCGCATGAAGATGGCGCTCTTGTAGATTTGCTAGAATCTTCTTGTCAGACATGTTATTCTGCCCCTTCCATTCAATGCACAACGTCACACTTACAGTACGGGCCAGGTCAGTGAAGTTATACTTGCCAACCTTAAGGTCATCCAATTCGCCATCCGGGTCATTGTTGGCGACGTTCTCCTGGATTTTTCTCAAGAACTCCTCCACCACCTCCTCAACAATCACTTCGATGGTCGAACTGATCGAATTGAAAAACGTAACCAGGTCCATGACTCTGGTTTTGACAACGGCGATGAGGCGGATAGATGCCTCAAGAATAGTCTTTATGGCTGTCTATAATCTGCGTGTTAACCAATTGACCTGACAGGCTAAAATAGCGTAACAGGCAGACGTACAAGATTCTTTTCATCGGTGTTAAGTTGCAACAGCTTGTTCTGTGCCGCAGCCAGATCACTCTGGTCTTTTGTAAGAGCTTTCGTGGCCTCCTGGTAAGCCTTCGATGATGCAATATAAGCTTGCTGGGTCGTGTGCAGTCGATCTTTGGCGGCTTCGAGTACCGCCTGGCCTTGTGCCATCTGGGGGTCCTGAGTTTGTTGCTTATTGGGATTGGCCATAACCGTTTCCTATCAACTCGATTAGTTAGGCAACCTTTTTGCAATTACAAGAGCAGGAATCCATACGGTGCTGGTTGATCCAGGAAGGGCTTTGGACACTGCAAACAGCTCATTTGCGTCAATGTATACAGGGTTGAAATCTTGCTGCCACTTCTTGACCTTTGCATCATCCGGGCCGGGGAGATCATTCATGCTACCCTTCCCACCGAGATTATAAACCTCGGTAGCGATCTAATATGACGGCCTGTTGTTAGCTGGTGAACGATGGTGTGACAAGCTTGATCCCCGTTTAACTCTCACCTGAATAGAGGTTTGAAGGACTTGCTTGAATTTGACGCTTGGGTCCTTGTCAGTCGCCACTTCGATGAATTGATCGCGAGCATTTTTGAGCATCTGCAGAGTGTATAAGAGTGACTTTGATCCAGAGCCAGTAGTTGTGGAAACCTCGTCCCAGTTGATACCACCACCATTTCCTTTGAATAGGATGGAATACAACACTCTCAGATAAACGATAGCCGGCTTAATTTGCACATAGGCAGGGTCCGTGCTATTCTGAGGCAAAGGGACTTTTGCTTTTGGTTCAGGGGTTGGGAGAGGAGCATTCCCGTTCCCGCTTCCGTCATTTCCCTTCTTATTGAAGTCTTTGAACATCTTTTCTGCCTCCTCTGCTCGAGCAGTATAGTTCATGTTCTCCGTGTATGCCGTGGCCAACTGGCCCAGAGCAGTGACGAGGGTATCTCCAAGCTTACCAACTATTTCCTGGCCCACAAGGTCCCACCTATTTTATTCAATTGTGTCAGCTTTTTGCTATGCTCTTCTGGCAGCCTACCATAAACCTTGAATTTCCCCTTATATCAACAGATAGGTAAAAGGAGCCAATTCCTTTTAGATGTGGATAAGCATGGAGATGCTTAGATCCAGACAGGGGATCAGAAGGGGTGGCATTGTCTACACCACGAGACAATGCACTTGCTTAATCCATTGATAAAGGCAGGGAATCCTAGGATTCATGGTAGGTGTATATGAATTGTAAGACTCACCCACTGGGGAAGCTATCCGAAGCTTTCTTATATACGTTTGACGCCATCTGGAGCTGCTTCTTGAATGTCCTTGTCGCGGCTTTCTGGTTCTTGACATTGATTTCATCAGCTTTTAAAATGTTTTGCGCTGCCAGCATTTGAAGCTTTGTTTTCGCCAACTGCTCCTCGGCAGATGATTCTTTCTCCACGCAGGAAGCATACAGCTCTGTGGCGTACAGCATCCAGTCATTAAACCCTTTGTCAATCGTTTTGGCCCTGTCATAGCAGTCGTCAGCGCTCTTTTTAATGCTCAGGAGGGCCCCTTTGAGCATTCTCTGAGCGCTTATGGGATCAATTATGATTTCCATGATACTATTGACCTAAATGGCACATTAGCCAATTTATATATCCAAATTGTAGAACAGGCAATGGCATACCCTATCGGGGATCATGGAAGCAACACTGTGGATATACAGCATTCCACCATCAGCCGCCAGGAAGGCCTTTGTGCCCATGTCACCGCATTCGGTAAGATTGGCGCGGAGAGATTTATAGCTAGAGAGCAGAGGATCAACTTGTGCAGCTTCCTACGCTTCAGGAGATTGCTTACTGGAGATATTTAAAACCGCCTTGAGGGGGGTCAAGCTCTATTGTAGCTGCGGTGTCGGACGTCGCAGCGACGAAGGCCAGCCCGGTAGAGTTGATGGCAACAGGGGCGGAACCCAGAAGCTGCTGCCATGGGTGCGCGAACATAGCTGAGGCCTTGATTTGGGCGACGGATATGTCAGCCATACCAGGGAGGTCTCCCGGCCCCGAGCCATAGTCCATCTTTTTTTGGATTTGGACGGCATTGGTAACTTGTTCTTGGTCGTCTGCCATTTTGAATAGTAACGTTCATATAACGCAATGGGTACTCAATGAGATGTCCTGGTTTGCGGTGGTTGAAAGTCCTAACAACAGGCGACCGGCAGACTCCTTTAATATTACGTTGAGGGGTAAGTATTTCCGGGATACCCTCGGCTGAGTTGAGCCTTGTTATCGCTCTGCATATCGTGATATATCACTTACCATCTGGGGAAGTGAATCATCAGCTTACGTTCGATATCTGCCTGGAAATAGGACTCAAAATTGGGATGTTACCCACCTTGCAGAGCCGAGAAGTTTGAAACGGGATATTAAGCCCGCTATTGTTGAGATGCATTGTTCCAAAAAGTTGGAGGTTGAACTGCATAGGCTTGCCTGCGTCATACCCCCCCCCCCCCCCCCCCATGAGATTGCTTTCAAAAGACTATAGTGGATGCCACGTTGATATCCTGTTTCTGCAGCGTAATCTTGGAGTCGGAACTCTTGTTGGCTGGCAGGACTTTGGCCTCGCGGATGCATAGGAGTGCCTGTCCAAGATTGCTGGCAACGAACCAAATTCAAAATACCCTGGGTGCATTCAAACTGAGTGAACCCCGCTTCATGCCTCCATCTTCCTGCATTCAAGACTAGGCCCACTGGACAGGGTTTATCTGGCATGACAGCCTCTAGAAATAAACAGCTTGTGGAATAATTTTTCTAAGGCTAATGCGACTACGAGCGGGGAAACGGGATGCTCCTCTTGATTCAAGGTTAGTAGGCTAAAGGAACACGTCAAAAAGCAAAATTTGATATTGAATTAACAACTCTATCCTAGCTACTATAGAGCGGGTAGTTGTTTGGGGAGAAACCGCTTGACGCGTGCCATAATGTCCTCGAATTTCTGATTGATAGGTTGAGGAATAGGGGCGTTACCGTAGGCCTGTTTCAACTCGTCAAGGATCGTCTCAATCTTAGGCGCAGCATTGAACTCGATCACTACCAAAGAGCAGAGGTCAAGTATTGGGTTAACAAATTCATCCCGGAAGAACGCATCCCCTGACGCAATAGTTGCGTCGTTGTACATTTTATTACTCAGTTGCACCATGTGAATGGCATTTTCCTTCAACTGCCCGGTAGCCTTAACCATGTCATTGATATTGCCTGCTGTCACAGCAATAGCGGATGTCAAATTTTGAAGCTGTTCCGTAAGCACATCCAGCTGGTTTCTTTCGTTAATGTAGTCTGCTTCTTCCTTCTGCGTTTGGATTAGGTAGTTTCTCGTAGACATCAATGAATTATTCGCATCTTGTAGTGCTTGCCTCTGGGCGCCAACTGCAGAAGAGAGCAAAACATTTCCTGGAGCTGCTCTATGGTCAATCAAGCCAGCTAATCCCCAAAATGGTATAAGGATACTGAGCTATAAGAATAACATCATGATCAATCAGTAACTAGAGTGAAAGACAACATCTAGCCGGAATATTAAGATATGCCACATACCCCAATATTTGTGTCCCTTTGAGCTTCCTCGTCGCTTCGGAGCTTTTCTTCGGCGGTTTTCAGCAGCTCTTCGTTTTTCTTCACCTGTTCAATCCAGGTTTGCTCTTGTTGCGACGCCTCCGCAATCCTTGCACCGAGGTCGTTGAGCGTTATTTCGGTGGACTTTTTGGCTTCCTGAACTTTTGCCAGTAATTTTGCGACCCGGGTAGAGCTTAGGTCGATACTCTTTGAAGGTCAGCCACCAAGAGAGGTATTTTTATGACAGGATCACAGTCCGCCTACCTCGGCTTGAATACGAGCTAAATCATCCAGGGTCCCCGCTGTAGTTTGTTGGACCTGCTGAAAACTTGCTCTCACATTTTGGAAGAGGGCCTTGCTTGGAGGCGTGGACCCTATACCCTCCACCGGAGCATTGAAATTTGCATGCACAAATACAGCGAGATTGTAAAGGTAAGTCATGCCATTATCTATAGCGGCTGATATAGCGCGTGGTCCCTTGGTACGTTCCTGCTTAAGACGCTCCACCAGCACATTTTGGATCTGATGGATGGTATCAAGCTCATTATGCGCTGCTGTGGTATCAAACATGGTGAGCGTTGAATGACGAGAATTTTAAGAGACAACAGAATGGAGATTAAGGGTAGAATGGTGGCATATCAAGTTTGATAGAAGGTGTTGACTGAAAACCCAGGCATTCTTATATAGAGGCCTAAGCCGCTTGACAGATGCAATGTATTACGAGGGCTCCGTAAAGTTGCACAGCATGTTGATATCTTCTAAAACTCTACAGTGATTTTTCATTTACCTCGTAGCTTCAAACTTGCGTGTAACGTTCCGTCAGGTCTGCAGGAGCACTATTTCTCCGAGCTAGTTGACCCCAAATCTAGCACCAATTCTGGACCAGCATCTTCAATCAAAATACTTGGTTTTGGGCATTCATGCATCTTGTTGATATATCTCGTACGTGAAGATCGTGATCGTATGTTGCATGTTGTGAAAATATGTACATCATGTCAAAAAGGTTAAAGGCATGAGGGGCAAACGGGTTAGTTATAGTTGGTGTGTGGGGCCGTCCCGTGGTGGGGTAACTAGTTCCAAACCTTGAACGAACCGCAAGCCACAAAAATCCCTTGCAGGGCTGTCATCGCCATGCTTCTCCAGTAGGGTCGAAGAGAATGACCCTCCTCCAGCAACCCAGAGGGTATACTCCATACATGTCATCTACATACGTAATAAGCCGCAGAGGGAGATGAGTTGTTATAATTTTAATGACAGCTAGCTGTGCATAAATGTGAATGCCTGTCCTCGTCAGATGTCATTCGCGATACCCGCAAGGCACGACATCGGTGTACTCCCACCGAATCACCTTCCAAAATACTCTTACTCAGTTTAGTTAGTTGCTCAAGTTCAGACAGCCCAGATCAATTATACCACAAGTCGTCAAAATTAGAACATTTCTAAGTCTAGGCGCCATTTATACAATTCAGTTTTACGTTCTTTGCCGCTGGCTCTTCAACCCTATAGCAAACAATTCGGAATTATTAAGTTTTAAACGGTACCACGGATTCCAGGGCGTCTCGGAAAGTCATGCTTTGCCCGCTATTACTTGCCAGAATAGGCAACGGTTTTTTTTTTTTTTTTTTTTTAAATCAAAAAGTAATAAGAGATAGAGCAAATTCCCCCACAGGATGACTCTGAGTAACTGCAGTAGTATATTGCAGTTGTATAGCGTGTCTTTGGATGGTCGGAGCTGTTTATCCCCTCCAGGAGTGAGGGACCTCTGTGAAGGTGTTGCCAAGATGGGCAATCCAGGCCGGCAATAGATAGTACTAGGGAGTGTTCCCCACGGATCTCGGAGATACTCAACGGAGAGTAGTGCTGGAATTATCACTTTTGGTATTTTTTGGCCTTCTTTTGTCATGGACATTTCACTTGTTCGAACTTGAAAGTCAGATCTAAGATATTGGTGGTTGGTTCGTGCCTGGAGTGGGGCAGGTGGGGGCGGCCCCGGGCCGTGCCATGTGATCCGGCGACGGGATAACTATAATACGAAACGCTTATTAATGAATTACATAATAAATTCTTGGTGAAAGCAACCCCAACAGGCAACAGCCTTGGATGAGCGAAAGACGAACAACATAAAGCTGGCTGCCTTACTTGTCCATTGATAATAATGTCATATGTGAGCTGATACCTTTCAATCTGCTGTATACTCATGTGTTAATGATATGCAAGTACCTACGCAAGCCTATTCCTCAATTGTACTATTCGGAAATCAAGAAGCACGGTTTTCAAGAAACTCCAATCAACCACTTTTGGGCCCATGTTCTACCTCTATACTTTACTCAGGACAGGTTGTGTGGAATAGAGCTGGAGAATCGATCACTGGTAGAGGAGATCAGGAACCGTGCCAATATTAAAATCCTAAGCGTCAGAAATGGCGTGCAAGGCGACTTCTTTAAGAAGGTGGTCATTATCAGTGCATCGTCCTGGAATGACATTACCGGACAGCTGTTGGACTACCTGAAAATAGTGCGTGCAGAGCAAAAGTTTTCAGGGGCCATTTACGGTATCTGTGCTGTTGGCAGCCATGTGTCATTTTACTCCTTCAATTTTGAGCAGCAAATGCTGGAGTCTTACCCTGACAGATTCAACGATAAGCGATACGAACTACTGGAGAATGAGCAGGAGATCGATGAAATTTTAGCGGGTCTTGCAAACAAGATTTGCGAGGGAAGTTAGTGCTAAAGAGAGTACTCCTGTCTAACTATCATTGTCGTCTTCCCACTCAAGGATAAGGATCTACGATCTCAGCCCCATTCTTTCCAGCTTTCGCATTCAGGGCATCAAGAAGAGTATCCATAGACCCCATTATGAATGCCTGTTTTCATGCTACAATACACTTAATATCCCGATCCCCAGGGCCTCAGCAGTGTCATCTAAATGGACTTTCACACTGTTAAGGTATGCCCCCAATATAATAAAATATATAAATATATCAAAGCATATCTGGGCCACAAACTCTGGAACTAATGGATCATGACTGTAGTTGTTGCTCTTGATGTCGTTGCTACCAATTATAAGTTTTTCGATGCCTGTAACTCTCTAACTATTGAAGGTGATTAAGCACTGCATTGCAGCTCCCGAGAAATCCCGCTTAAATTTAGTCAATTAGGCACCGACGTAGCACACTCAGACAGCTGTAACTAACCATCTTGTGGGATGAAAAAGATTATTGAGCATAGCCGTCTAGCTACAGGTGAGACAGCTAGCTTTTCCGTTTCATCCTCGATCACCCTAATTTATACTTCTCTTACCAAACCAGACGTCTTTCACAAGCTACTGGAGTGTCAATTGTTCTCCAACCATGGAGACAAATGATGATACGCCACATAATTCAACCACAGATTTATCTGGTCCAATGCGGATCCTGGCGCAGACGTTCACTCACCTTGTCCCTGGCAAAGGTTACTTTCCTCGAAGTTACTTCATTCTAAACAAACTGTGCCAGAAGCACTGGAACTGTGACCTGGATCCAAGACGACATAGGTGGGACTCGTATGGTGCTGATTTTGCTTTTGACAACCGTCGATGCTACTTTCTCATCGATTACGGCGAAGCTTCCGGCGACAAAGACATACCTATTCTGTCATACGAGTGGACGGGGCAGACTCTATTCGATCGCCCTTCTTCCTAAATAATCATATATTGAAGTCAATAGCTAATATCAACAATCTAGCGAAAGCAAGCCCGAGATAGCACAAGCCTCCAAGGTACAGCGCATACTCCGCAAGTACTACCCGTTTTCAGGCCCACCACCCGAAAGCCAGAGGGAATGGACCTTTCGTGAATCCGTCAGATCATCCCTTCACCAGGAGATGGGTCTTACGAAAAAGGAGCTCAAATATCTCCGGGAGCGCCCAGAAGACGCAAAGTGGCTTCAGGACAATTTGGAGCCGAGATTTTGGTCTGAAATCGAGAGACTGACTCAGGATATGGATGAAAGAGAAAGGCTAGTCGCTGCTGGGATCTTGAAACCATCGCCGGGACCTATGTTGCAGGACTTGGATGATGATCCAGCCGAAGGGGTACCAATTCCGCCGAGTGAAGCTAAGAAGTATCGAAAACTAGCAAAAGAGCTAGGGAGACCAGTTGAAGAGTTAAACGTTCCCTGGAGGGAGTGGAAGAAATTCTATGAATATAATGCCCAGGCAGCGGAAGAAGGTTGGGAATATATGACGTGGGAGGAGTGGGAAAGGAATATCCCGACGGAAAATTGATCTTCGTCGGCAGCGATTAACTATTTTCCTACCTTCTCCCTTCCCCTTCAGTTGCCATTTATGATCCCTATCCATTGAGCATTGAGCGGCCTAACTATTCCAGCCCATCTTGCTCTTCAGCAGAGTATATCAACTACTCAGAAGAATATAGCCTAAATGTCCTGATATGCGGTGGGTAATATGGACAAAACATACCTGAGTGCATGGCATCACTAGTTAATACAGTGGAAAACACTGCGTCTCTGACACGATAATAGCATTCGGGAACAGTTTTATCAAATTTAGTCATGTTTATTAAATAGATATCAGCATTGGAACCGTCCGCGCTCGTGCGACGCGCGGAAGAACTGAAGCTGCTAACTTAGGCGCCGGCTTTGACGACGGATCCATTAACTAACTGCCTCGGCAGGCTAACTAACTAACTAGTTAGTTATTTGACTAAGTTAACTAACTTGTTAAACTAGTCAGAGTCAGCGGGTTATTATTTCCCACCATCTTGCTTGCTAACTGTCTCCAGCATTTTCCACCCGATGACACTGATCCTGCACCCTAATACAGGGCTATTACCCTGTACAGAGTATGTAACCAGGAGCCGGATGCTATGATACTACTAACCCGTGAGTCGTTAACTACGGAGTAGTTATGTCAAAAGATAAATTCCTCTGCCACTCCTTACTGTTGGTTCGCTCTCAACTGGCGAGCTGCATCGGACAACCCCTGCTCCATTTTCAATCGGGCCGCAGCGACTCTTCCAATCAGGCTCGCGTGCTCGACATGTCGATCATTCCGGTCAGTTTGGGCCGTCCGACTCGGTGTCGGCGGCTAAATCGTTGGCTGATATATTTAACCAAAGGCCTACCCTGTCGGTGTAGGAGGTCATGAACGTCTCAGAAAGGTATCCTTTACAAGGAGCACTCCGCCAGCTACATGGTTCCGTTTCAATGCATGATACCCTTCAAAGAAAATATACCTCCCGGTTACAATGGTAGGAAGCTGGTGGGATGAGTTCTCAAACAATCTGGCTACAGATTTAGCGCCTCTCATCTCCCTCTTTGGTGAAGCGCCGACGAAACAATATCTAAGCGAATGCTTGACCAAGACGGACATCTTCATCTTTTCGATGGCACCTCTAGGTATTATCACAACAATAGTATCGGCAATCCGGGTCTGCGGGACACCGTCTCTGAGGGCATTCATCGGGCGAGCCCAGGAGGGAGCTGGCAATGCTGAAGCCGAACTTTGCTCCTCTACCAGTCGAGATGTCTGTGAGCTTTATAACAATGGAGGCATCGCCCGCGTTTTTGGACGGCCCAAACTCCTGGAAATCGTACATGATCGGAATGCAACAATTGAAGACTTTTATTCGTATAATCCTAATTCTCAGGCCACGGCTGGAATTTACCCGTTCAAGGACTATCTCAAGAAAGATAACCAAGAGTGGAGGGAAGTGGGCAAACGCCCAAGCGATGAAGAAAACAAGTCTGCTCGGGATGACACACACTTTGCAATAAATCCGAATCTTTCCCTAAACGTAGGGATAAAACAAGGCTCAAGGCATTGGTTTACTGCCGCTGCTATATTTGGTGGTCTGCTGCAATCAAGTGTCCTCGTATGGGCTACAATTGCTAGGTACAAATTCAATGACGTGAAACGAGACTTACAAGATAACTATGCCATTCCACTTGCTGTTATTGGTACCTTTCTCTTATGCCTTGGAACGGGACTTTGCGCTCACTTGATTGAGAGCAGCACTAAGGAACGGGTCTTCGAAAGGAGTCCAAAAACAGATGGAGACGGCGATACAGCTGCTTCCCAGGTGTACTGGGTCCAACCCGGTACACAGTTCGTTGGGGATCAAGCCTTTGACTCATTCGCATACACGCACAAAAAGGGAGAATTCACACGATATATCACTTCTTGGAAGATAGGGAGGAATGGAAATAACGGACCTTGGATATGGTGTGCTATAACAAGCACATCCATTGGTTTTGTGCTGCAGTTCCTTGGACTCAGGGCATGTCATTCGTCTGTCGCAGTGGCCCAACTCGGAGCGACGATACTGATGAGTGTGGTGCGTTCAACTCTACGCGCGAGTCGATTACGCGAAGAGGATATTTATTTAGCACATAAACCTGATTTGTACAAGACCCACGAGCTTGACTGGTTTGCTCTAAATATTGGAACTGAACTTGGGCCAAACCCCCTCGACTCCGAGTCTAAGCAAATATGGACAGTCGTATCAGGCCCATATCACACAGCAAAAAGCTTTCAAAAAGCATGGCGCTTACCCAAATATACCCCCCCAATACAAGGACAGTTACTTAAAAATGAGAACCTGATCTTTGTAAAGATGTTTGTGGAACACGCTGGAAGTTGCATTTTATCTGGCTTTCGAGTAGACGTTGATGATCCTACAATACCGGGCAATGAAGCATATAAACTCCAGCTCCCTGAAGATTGGTGGGACCCTCATTTTAAAATGGATGTGGGATGGAAATCTTACGTCAAGTGTGCCCCGTCTAGATGGCGTGCTGCGGTTCAGTCAAAACAATCTGCGGCTGAATCATTGCCGATGGAACCATGTGTTAGGGCTTTCATGTACAGGGCTCGGCTTGCCCGTCTGACCGATAGCTGGGAAGATAAACTTGTCAGTGTTCGAAGCACTGCACAGATATTGACAAAGGCCATTGAGTCCACGATGCAGATCTTTCTTACCTCCGACACTGATTTCAAGAAAGGGTGGGACTCAGCCTTTACTATATTTTGGGCCGTTCACTCCACGCTTGAAGGAGCGGATCTTACTGGTGGAGACATTTACCTATCACTTAGCCGCGAAATTGATACAGATGGACAACCTACTGGTAAATGGCACGCCGATGAATCCGAACTGGAGGCTGTTCTAGGTTTATGGCTGTGGTCGCTCCGAGATATGAGAAATACGTCACGGGTACACCTAAGACGTATAATTTCCCCAGCACCAGATTCCACCATGGATAAATATACCACCACTGATTTTTATCTTTGGCGCGAGAATGGGGGCTTTAAGATTGACGAGAGAAAAATTAAACTGAATGGACAGACAGGTCTACTATTTGGTCGACATAACATCCCTGTTAGAGACTGTACCAATCTCACAGTTCTAGAAGTGGCAGCTGATACTACATCATTACAAATGATGTGTGCTCAAGAGATCTATGCCTTATTCTTTTCCTCAATAACACATACTATCGAAAACCTTGGTGGTAAAACAGAGTTTCAAAAGAGCAAGGGACTGAATTACGTGAATGAAAATGTCACAAAGCTGCTAAGAGCTTTTACCGAAAGTGGCCTAGGATCCACCGTGGATGCTTTTACCTGTGTCATTCCAGCGTTAATAATTCAAAGGAAACTTCTTCCGGCTTTCGAGCCATATCTTGTTGGCAGAGATGAGTCAGATACTTTTATCTGTGAAAAGAATTGGAGAGAAGCTGAAACATTACTATTACGGCCATTGATAGATGCTGAAAGATTACTATTATGGGTTGTGCCAAATAGCCAACAGTCACAACTAGGCTCAAATCCGGAGGAAGGTCCAGTAAAATCAACAGAAGTCCTCAACCATTACAGTCTCCTGGTATTGTCCTTGTGTGAATGCTACCGCAAGGCCCTATATGATGGGGAGATCGAGTTTAGTTTGGGTGGTATCACCAAGATTTTATACCAATCTAATCTCAGTCAACAAAAGCAGATATCGTTATTTGGGACTAACTGTTCGTATATGGGGGGAAATTCATCCAACAACCGTGATAAAAAACGGTTTAAAAGACGATCTCGATACACACTTGCCGATGCGGTTCACTGCTACGCAAAGGCTTTCATACGCCTCGCTCGTTTTAAAGGCCGTTTGAACCCCGAGGCTTTCGAAGAATCAATTATCAATTTACAAAAAGTCTTAATCGATCGAAATGCAATTTCCAAACCAGACTACCTTCTTGAAAACCTCCTTGACAATGAGAGAATCTGGGGACAATACTTCGGAGATACGCTCTTACAGGAGACTCGGAAGGGCAATCTAGAATACACTTTGTTCCTGTTGAACGAGGAGTCAAGTTTGGATGATGGGTCATCTGGGGGTGAGACTCTGGTTCTTGCCGCACAACAAGGTTGGTATCCTGTCGTTAAAACCTTGATAGAGTACGGGGCATGCTTGGAATGGAAAGATGAAACGTGTCGCAATGCGGTATCATACGCTGCAGAGAATGGGGATATCAACTCGTTGAACTGCCTTTTGGCGAAAGGAGCACTTCCAGATGTCGCGGACTCATCTCAATGTAGTCCCTTATTCTATGCAGCAAGTTACGGACATATTGACATCATAAAACGCCTTCTACTTGATAAACGGGTTGATCCCAATGCGAAAGGAAGCTCTGGCAAAACACCATTATCAATTGCGGCAGAACATGGCCATGAAATGGCTGTTGACCTACTTCTATCCATTCCAACAATAGATGCAGAGCACCAGGATGACTTCCAAAGGACGCCTCTATCACTTGCTGCAGAAAATGGACATGTCGATATAATTCGTTTACTAAGAGCTAGACAGCGATATCTTACGCAGCTGAAAAAGGCCATGGAGATATCGTAAATCTGCTGACATCAAGCAAATGGGGTAACCCACAACTCAATGGTGACTAGGACAAGCCCGCATTGTCTTTGGCAGTAAGGGCCGTGATAAAGTGTTGAAGTGCTGGGAAAATTTCACGCAAGTTGAGCGGAATGTGAAAAACAAGCTTGGCAGTATACTCGCATCTTACGTAGTACAAGGGCACAAGGAAACTATTAGAGCGTTAGAGGATACTGCATGGCTTGAAATTAATGAAGTGGGAGCCCACATCTTGAATACTTTCCTAAATATAGTAAAAAAGTGAGGATGTCCAGAGTATTGGAATTTTAGTAGATACAAAAGGTGTGTATTCGGGGCCGCGGGACAATGGTAGAATCTTACCCTTTTGTAGGTAATACGAGTGAAAAACATGTCAATGATTAATTTATTACCAGAGACACAGAGGGTCAACTACCACTTAGGAGATCAATCGGGAATAACACCACTCTATTGGTCAGCCACTGCACAACAGACTAAAATTGCGGGCCTACTGATTAACAAATATATAGTGGACATGAATGCTAGAGATAAAGACAGTACCCCGCTAATATATATCGCCTTAAGATCATGGAGCTCCTCCTTTCTAGACCGGAACCAGCAGGTAATGCAAGAAATGAAATAGGACTATAGTGTTAATTATTGTGGCTATGAAAGCACCTTACTCCCCAACGCTACCGATGCGACAAAGCTGTTACTTGAGATTGGTACAGATGCAAATATACAACCATCAGAACTTGGATAATCAGTTTGCAACGTGGCAGCAGCAAAAGACAGCTTCATTTCTACTACCAGAGTGGCCTTCCGACCGGAGCTAAACCCAGGATCTCCAGAATCTCCAGAAGGTGAAACACCATTAGATTTTGCTTTTTAGTATGAAAACTCCGAATTGGTTGTGGAATTCATATCTGAGGCGGCAAATAGGGCCGTGGAAAGTTAAGTCCTGTAGCAATAGGGGAAGGAGTACGGCAAGAACATATATGATGGTCACAATGTATGCCTTGTCTTATATTACTTGATATTTCTTCCCTACTAACACTAAATTTCCCGTTTTCCGCCTCAGTGAATCTATGGGCAATCGATCATAAATACTTTGACAATAAACATTCGAGTTTCCCAACACCTGTGTTACTGTTGCAGGGTATATGGAGCACTTCATACTCAAATAGCTTAGATATTTTTAACATGGCAATAGTTAACCAAGGCTGAAAATTTGGTAAAACTTTGGGGTTCACAAAACAAGTAGAGGCGTAAATAGTATGTCAAACGAACGATGTGCAAACAAGCGAATAGCCTACTGTTTACATGATGTATGTTGTGGTACCAATAAGCTACTGGTCAAGACAACCAAGCTTCCCCAAAGACTTGGCACTTGTCGGCTTGCCAACGGAGGGGCCACCGCGCTAAACTTCACTTGGAAAAATGACATCACCGACCCCACGTGTCAAGCGTCTGCCAAGCATATGCCAAGACTGAAATCCTTCGCACGGCTCTCATTGGGAACTGGGGCTCCAGGATGGGAGGATGCGGGAGATGCATGACTAACAACAATGATATCCAATTAGACGCCCGGCGATGGATGATCGAGATACGCTTCCTGATTGCGGAATTCAGGGTGGGGGCAAAGGGTGTCCACTACTAGCACAGGGATATGAGTTTTTCCACTTCGCTGCTACGACGTCACATTGAAACGATGGAATTGCCATCCTGCTATATATATTTGGGGCAATCCGTTGACCTTATAGCCGCCAACATTTCATCCGAACGGAATTAAATTTCTACCACCTACCCGTGGACATATTGCGACCACGAGCTTATATCTCCTTTTCTAGAAAGTTCAATCGTTAATTTCTAACATTCCCGGAAAGAGGAATTCATCCGTAATTTATTACCTATCACAGAAAGAGCAAAATTTGAAGTACATGTCATCAGCCGAACGAAGAATCGCTGCCACCGCCCTGCCTGCTACCGTACGCTGGAAGCGTACCATCAGATTTATCAAATGGCGTTAGATCCAGAGCATGGGGTCAGCAAGGACCTCTCGACAATTGATACTTCTCCGTTGCCTACTCATGCTAGGGGGCCCTCGCAAATTGTTGCCCGTGGCGGATACGGTGGTGTTGGAGATGAAACCTCCAGCAGCGAAGATGACAGCACTTCGGCTATGAGTGTGAGCAAGCAGGTTGAGTTGGAAGCAGGCCATGCCATCAAGTATAGGACTTGTAGTTGGCAGAAGGTTTGTTTGCTAAACTTCTCCCACCGCTTTCATTGTGACGAATAGTCACTTTTCTCGAAACCGACTCTTCTACTCTTGTGGTTAGGGTGCTAATCACAGAGTATTCCCGAAATAGACTGCAGCTCTGTTATTTTCAGAGTACATCTGCTTGGCTATCATGTCATTTCCATACTCTTATTCGGTCCTCGGCCTAGTCCCGGGGCTGATACTTACAGTTGTGGTCGCCGGAATGGTTCTATATACTTCCCTGGTCATCTGGTAAGTATTCTTTTCAGGACACAAGGGGTATCGCATCCACTAATCGCTGGTATACTCAGGAAATATTGCCTACGCCATCCGGATGTGCGAGATATCTGTGACATCGGCCAACGCCTTTTCTGGGGTTCTAGGGCAGCATGGTATCTCACGGCCATCATGTTCCTCCTCAACAATACCTTTATCCAGGTGTGATTTGTCTTCCTGGGCCATCCTCGCGTTATTGCTAACACGTGTCTCTAGGGCTTACATTGCTTGGTTGGTGCACAGTACTTGAACACAATGACAAACCACAGCACTTGTACTGTGGTGTTTGTCGCATTGACAGCTGTGATATCTTTTGTCTGCTCCATACCAAGGACTTTCAATACGCTTTCGAAGCTTGCGACTCTATCGGCCTTTTTCACATTTATATCGGTTCTCCTTTCGATGATATTTGCCGGACTTGAGGCTCACCCAGCGAAGTATAACCCCGACCCCAATCATAAAGGCCCCGACGGCAAGTTAATGGGGGGTGAGCCTATTGTCACAGCATTCCCACTCCCTGGAACGACCTTTGTTGCGGGAATGTCTGCCTTTTTAAATATCAGCTATACCTTCATCGGCCAGATCACCCTTCCAAGTTTTATTGCTGAGATGAGAAACCCAAAGGATTTTAGCAAAGCTCTCTGGGCGGTCACCATTGCTGAAATAATCGTGTTCAGTATTGTGGGTGCGATTGTTTATGTCTTTACAGGCACGCAATACATGACTGCACCAGCATTTGGCTCCCTCAGCAATGAGGTATACAAGAAGGTTGCCTTTTCATTCATGGTACCTACATTGATTTTCCTTGGAGTGCTCTATGCATCGGTATCTGCACGATTCATCTTTTTCCGTATTTTTGACAACACTCGGCACAAGACAGAACACACTCTGGTCGGCTGGTCTTCCTGGGCTGGAATTTTGGCGGTGCTTTGGATACTTGCTTTCATTGTCGCGGAGGTTATTCCATTCTTCACCGATCTTCTCTCTATAATGAGTTCACTTTTTGACTCGTTCTTTGGATTCATCTTTTGGGGAGTGGCGTATCTACGAATGCAGTCCGCAGACGAAGCCGAGAAGCCAGGAAAGCCCCGAAGTATACGAGGATGGATCGGATGGGGTGTTAATATCTTCCTCATTGGCGTCGGACTGCTATTCCTTGGCCCAGGAACATATGTAAGATGCATCAGCTACAGCCCTTCTAAATGACAGTCAACTAACAACCTATCTAGGCATCAGTTGACAGTGTCGTGCTCAATTACCAGAGTGGGAAGGTCGGTAAGGCCTTTTCCTGTAAGGATAACGGGTTATAGAAGAGCTAGAGGCAGTTCCATATTCCATGGTGGTTGCTCACGGAGTTGGGTATATAACATGGCTATCCTGCAAGATCATATAATGGGGATGTATACTTTCAACAGCCTATATATATGAAGGAAATTCAATGGAGAGTTCGATGGAGGTCTACAGGAGGATATCAGGCGTTTTGGTGTTTTTCGAATGGAGGCTGAAAAGTAATCGATGGATGTTCTGCTTTGGGTGTTCGGACCGAAAATGTGTCATGTGACAGAGCTATTAGGTAATCGGCCGACAGGAACTCATATCTCCACGTGACCGGCTATTAGAAAGTTCCCCGTCACTTTTCCGATCATTTTCCGACTTCATTCTTGCTGCCGAACTTTGCCCTGTATTGATTCCAGAAGTCCGGAGTTCCATATTCACCATGAAGACAATCGCAAGAGTACCCGAGTTCGCTAGAAGCGGTGTCTTCCAGGCCAGGGTGAGCTCCAGATGCTGGAGCGGAGTTACCCACGGCGCTCAATTGAGCCGACATTACCGCCAAATTCACGGAGCTCCGACTGTGAGATATCGGCAGCCATTGATTGCCAGCGGCACATTGGGAAAACCATCAGGGCTGAGATTCACCTCCAACTCTTCTGCAGCTGAATCTGACATCAAGAGAACGCAATTTTATGACTTCCATGTTGAGCACAAGGGCAAAATGGTCCCTTTCGCGGGGTATGCCATGCCCTTACAATATGCCGACTTGAGCCACGTCGAGAGTCACAAATGGACGCGAGAGAAGGCCAGTTTGTTTGATGTGAGCCATATGTGAGTGCATTGATGTTACTTACGTGTTATATTTTGAAATTGATTGTCTAACTGGCATCCTTCATACTCAGGGTACAACACCACATCATCGGTCCAGGTGCTCGAGACCTGTTGATGAAGATTACTCCTGCCTCCCTCGACTCTCTAAAGGATAACCATTCTACCTTGTCCTGTCTTCTTGACGAAAGCACTGGTGGAATTGTTGACGACACTGTGGTCACACGCCTTGGACCGGAGTCTTTCTACTTCGTTACAAATGCAGGTCGCCGCAAGGAAGACCTCGAGTTTCTAACAAAAGAAATCGAGGCATTCAGGAACTCTCAAGATCCCTCCAAGCGCGACTCAGTTATAAACTGGACTATACTTGATAACAGGGCCCTAGTTGCACTTCAAGGTCCTGCAAGTGCGAACGCACTTCAGCCCCTTATCAAGAAAGAATCGTCTGCCGATGCTGATCTTTCCACCCTTCACTTTGGTCAATGCCGCCAGCTCCATTTGAACTTCCCAGATGGATCAAGCACCCCATCACGTCTTCTAATCTCCAGGACAGGATATACCGGGGAGGACGGCTTTGAAATCTCCATTCCTACTGATTCTGATGCCAATTTACCTCGCCGTGTTGCCGAACTCCTCATTTCCAACCCAGATGTCAAGCTCGCTGGGCTGGCCGCTCGTGATTCTCTCCGCTTGGAAGCTGGTATGTGTTTATATGGTCATGATATATCTCTGTCCGAGACACCACCCGTTGCTGGTCTTGGCTGGGTTGTTGGTAAAGACAGACGGGACCCATCTTCTCCCCTATCCAAATTCAATGGAGCTTCCACCATTCTCCCACAACTTGCATCCCCAGCCAAGACGCTCACTCGGCGACGAGTTGGCTTTACAGTTGAAGGCGGTGCACCCGCCCGTGAAGGTGCAGTCATCGTGGACCTCGCAGATGGTAAAACTGAAGTCGGTGTGGTTACTTCTGGCCTCCCCAGCCCAACTCTTGGTGGTACAAACATCGCCATGGGATACATTAAGCAGGGCCTTCATAAGAAGGGTACGGAGGTCGGGATACTTGTCCGCAAGAAACTCCGCAAAGCTACTGTTACTCCTATGCCTTGGATTGAATCCAAATTCTACAGGGGATAATCTCATGGCATAGCTTATAAATTCGCTGCCCCTCGTGTTGACATGTTTGTTATACCTTTTGTTATGTATGAAATATATCACTAAGCCTTCCCAGGGACCTACTCAGTGAATTGACACGTATTTACTAGATATGTGTATATATATTTGCACACAATCACATGCGTTACCATTGAGCGGACGAGTGACCTTTTTTACAGGTAGGCAAATCTGACTAGAGAAAATCCAAACACTCAGCGCTCCAATCTGATTACGATTCATTGTAATAGTTAGATATCGTGCTGAAAGTGCCCTTCGATATCAAGAGCTATGTACTATAAATTAATAAGTAGTGGGTTACTTGGAAATATATGAAAAATAACAAAATCTATGTTCGTAGTTCGTGACTATTCCGTGCTCTATATCAAGGTGTGAGAGGATATCTTTACAGCATAAGGCAGGTGAAAACAAGAGAAAACAGAGGCAAGGAACTGCTTAATTAGCAGTGGTACGAGCAGAAGTTTCGGCATCGTAGGTAGCGAGATCTTGGGCCAACTTGGCAGCCTCAGCACGTGTAGCTTGTGCAAGTTTGTTGGCTTCTTCAGCTTCGGCTGCTTTGGCAGCTGCAGCTTCTTCAGCAGCTTTGGCGGCCTCATCGATCGCTCTATGCTTGTTGGCGATAAAGGACTTGAGAGCACCAGCAGCCAAGGCTGCACTTTTCCGGGCATCTTCAATCTGCTCACTGTTACCGGCAGCCACGGCGGCTTTGACGGCGGCATCCTTCTCGTCTAGCTCACGCAGCAGTCTCTTTTCTTTGATGTCCTGGCCCTCCTTCACACGCTTCGCGGATTCAGCTTCAGCAGTCGCAATGTCTGGTGGGCTATCGAGTAGGCCCCTCTTTTCAAGGTAGTCGATGATAAGCTTGACGGCAATCTCCATGGTCATGTTTTCGTCATTGTTGATGTGTATCTCAGGATTTTCTGGAATATTGTATTCTTCATCACCCGACTTGCCTGCACCCGAGAGCTTCACCATTCCACTTTTCTGCATTCTCAAAAGACCCTTCTTATCTCTTTTGAAGGCGACATCTTCAGGTGCTTCGACGTAAACCTCAATGAACGGCAGAGGAGTTTCTCCTCTTTCCTTCTCTGCCTCTGATAGCTCGTGCAGCTTACGCGCGGCAGCTCGGTCGACGGCGAACGGTGAGATAAAAGAAGTAAGAGTAACAATCCCGCAGTCGGCGAAGAGCTTGGCTACCTCACCAATACGGCGAATGTTCTCAGTTCGGTCTGCTGCCGACCATTTGAGGCCCTTGTTGAGACCAGTGCGGATGTTATCGCCATCAAGTCGGTAAGTAACGAGCTTGCGTTTGGAAATGAGCTCCTTCTCGAGGGCTACAGCGATGGTAGACTTTCCGGAGCCTGAAATACCAGTGAACCAGACCGTGAAGCCTCTTTGACCAATGTGAGCAGCGCGAGTCTCACGAGTGAAGTCGGATTCGTGGAAATGGACGAGGCTATGATGAATTAGCTATCGTAGCTTGGTTATCAGATGAATATGAACTTACGATCCCATTGTGACGGAACTAGTGAGGGAGATGTGAAGAGGAAGATGGGTCTTGGAGATGTGCTGGTGGTGTTTCCTATCGTGAATGCAAAGAATGAGAGATTATTGGAATACTCCAGCAGCTGGATGTGTCGAGATTTATATCAATCCAGCCTTCTCAGGTGTGGAGGATAAACTCGGATGCGGGTAATAAGGGGATCCCGGTTCCCGGGGTAAGATTACAAGTTAGGACAACAACAGGCACGGTTTAGGTCGGGTTCCTCAGCAGTTCGTACATCTGCTCAAGATAAGACAGGCAGAACGTCGCAGAGTTTGGCAGATGAAACGCCCCTCCTGGCGGTTCGTTCGGAACCATGGAAAGAGGGAGCGATAAATTTTCTTTCGCCTCCCCGGTTGTATAGATGGCTCTGTACCTGGAAAACGGCACATAAATCGGCCTCTCTCTTTTTCCATCTCCATCGTCGAGACGGTAGACATCAATTGAGCCCTTCATTCTTCAGCTTTTTTCAGCATCCGGGTATTATCTACAACCAACAGAAGATCCCGAATCGGCATACCGTCTCGTATAACCGTGTAACCTTGCTGGTTACATCCTGAAACTGTTTCCTCATTGTTCCCCGTATATAAGCAGCCGTGCAGAGTATAGGTGGCCACTTTTGATCTCCAGCAGCCATCTGGCCAAGCGAGTTATTAATTCGTACGGTCCTGGACCCAGATATTTCTAAGCAGCTCAGTTGCCAGCCTGGGCTTTGGCTCCGCCGTGCGATGGAGCTGCAGAGGTCTAAATTCTAGACTCCCGGATTTGCTAAGCATGGCGACGTATTTGATGTTGCTGATTGGCTGTGATTGGCGATGATCTTGACTGCGACCAAACGTGTTTCGTTTGGAAAGATGTCTGCCAATCCAGGGTATTTGGCTTCAGTTTAAGGATCGGATAACAGCTTGATGATGACAAGGGAGCGGTCAGAGATGTGTTACCGGCCTTGGGAGTCCCATACCTGGCGTTTTATCCCTCTTGGAGAAAGTAGCGATTTTGCTTGGTGACACTTCTTCATTGGCAATCCCCTTGATCTTTCGAGAGCATTTCGGTAGATCAACCCCTGGAACGAAAGGTTTTAAAAGAACCTCAAACCTAGTAGTTTACCTCTTGTGTTTGATTTCTATCTCTGTGTGTTGATGGTCCTTTGCTATATGTGGGAAATGGTGGTTAGTGAGTAGTAGGTGGTTCTGAAAGACTGTTGTTCTCCATCAAATTGAGTCCAACGCTCCTTGTACGAATCAAATGACATAGAAGTCTATCAAAACTATCGGTGATCGCAGACTCATGATCTTTTATCCAATTCTAGTACGTATATATCTGCCTGTGATAAAAAGGACGGCCTAAAATTCCACATAGATAGCCTAAACGGTACTTACTCCATAGGAGTAGAGATATGTAGACGAAAAAAACAGACAAAAACAGCAAAGCAGCTATGTACCATCCCGAGTTCCAAGATAACAACCAACTAACTTACTCTACCTCGAACTCATAATATACAAATGCTGTATATTCGGCTGCCGTGTCGGGAACGCCCACCTGTTGCATCTCATTCGGGTCGTCCTTCCGAACCCGACCTTTCTTGTCCCGAGTAAACGCATTACCGCCCAGGTATGAATACGATGAATCGAGCGCATCCTTGATCTTTTTAGCGTTCTTACCCGTGCTCTGATGAGGGACGTTAGCTTTGTGTACGGATATATGGAAGGAGTACAGGGAAGGGGTTGCGGTACGTACCTTAATCAAGACGGATGTGAAGTCCAACGGCAGTCCGTACCTCAGGACGGTCTCAACGAACATTCTCAAAGCAAGGATGTGCACCCACACCATCACGGCTTCGCCCCATCCAGTCTTTCCGAGTCTTAAAGCTTCACCCCACAGCCTCTTAGCGTCGCCAGCAACTTGGTCGATTTCTTTGCGTTCTTCTTCGCCGCCATCCTCCACGTATTTGTATTCTCTCGGCGTCCATCGGTTCTCGCGGCATTTATGGATGAATTCTGCGCTGTGCTTCTTGAACGTCGTAACACCGTAGAGAGTATATTCATCGTCTGAAGCAAGTAGTATGGACGAGCGTGGAACGACCATGGGTGAGAGAGTTTCATATGCACGTAGGAAATCCTTGACATCTCGGCTGGGGAGTGCAATGAGGTGAGTTTCTAGGTATTCTGAGTCTTGCACAAGGAGGCTAGGATCAACAACTGAGGCCAGGGACTTGGTGGAAAGATTTCCTCTGCATAAAAACGTTAGTATCTAAATAGGGCACACAGAACAAAGACATAATCATGACTGACGTTTGCTTCCTCTGCAGACCAGCCAGGTTTGACTTGACGCCATTATACTGGGTGAATTTCGCTCGTACATCGTTGTCGATGCTGTTGATTTCCTGATTAGGAAGTTAGCTATCATCCTTCCATAACATCGACATCTCGGACAAGTACCTTTTGCAGGAGGTCAATCAACTCTGCCAACGACTTGTCAGCTCTGTATTTGACCTTGTTCCATGAGAAAGATTGCAGGTATTGATCCAGCGGTCCTATATTCCTCGTCAGCCAGGCCTTCTCTCATACCCCACCTATCCGTCGGGTATTCAAAGACAGAAACGCACTCTCATTGACCATCTTCATTCTCGATATCTGCGCCTCATCGCCTTCCAACACACTCGAAAGCACATCTCCCACTTTACTAACGACATTCTCGCAAAGAGCCTCGACTTTACCCAGTTCATCTGCCTGCTGTACGAGTGCGTCCAGGGTTCCGATCTTGAACTCTGGTACCGTGAAGGGGAATGTATTTCCGTTGTCTGCGACTATCGAGCGTATGGCTTCAAGGGCATCATCGCGGTGATGTGAAGGGGAGATGGAGTTTGGTAGCGAGAGGAGGATGTATCTTGCTTGTTTGGACATTGTGACGGCGTGAAGTGTTGTTAAGTGTGGCTGGTGGTTATTAGGCCGAAAGCGCGATCATAAGGAGAACGGCCAGAGAGGATGGATGGCTCTCTGGATAGTTACACTCCGTCCTTGAGCAAGGTAGAGCTGGTTGAATGGTGAGCGATGGTGGTTGTTGACATCTGAATGTTGTTAGACGGATAGATAGGAATAGGTTGGGTTAAGGTGAGAGCTCGGTGGTGCTGGAGCCAATAGGGAGCCGGAGCTGGCTCCACCGCGATATTATATGCACCGAGTCCTACATCGACAGCTAGGCTCGAGGAAGCATCGAGGTAACATTATATTTATTGCTGGTACATTTAGTGGCATGTTTTATTAAACAAGATCTAAGTGACACACGTCTATCGTCGCCAAAGCTTCTAACAAGATAAGCAATAAGAAAAGTGCGAAGGAAGAAATCTATCTCTGGATGTAGACCTGAATGGGAAACGCGGAGCTAAAAGATGGGGAATATATAAGTGTATCAACGGGCAGTGGAGGGTGAAGTTTTGGCAGAGGTGTCCTTTTGGCCTTTGGTAAGTAGCTGGTTAAACATGTTAGCTACAGCACAAGGGTGACTGATGGTGGTAAAATGATCGAACTTACTGCAGCCATCTTCGGCTCTATGAACAAAGCCTTCGCCTCGACGTACTTGACAGGGTCGGTTCCATCTTTCGGCAGGCCCTCAATCCAACCCTCCACCCATGCCTTACGGCCATCGACCTTGGTGACCTTTGCTCTCAGGACAAAGAATTCTCCGGCTGGTGCAGGGGCACGGTAGTCAATATTCAAATTGGCCGTGACACCAATCTTATTCGGCAAAACGGGGAAACATGTCCTTGCAAGCCCTTCGTCGAGCAGAGTAGCCAAGAGTCCACCGTGGACAATACCAGGGTGACCACACACGTCGGAACCCAGATAAAATATCGAGACAAACGATGAGCCGTCCGTAGTGCTCCAGGTGAATGGAGGCACGACTATACGGCCTGGACCTGTCAATGTGCCGCCCGTGAGGCTGTGCGCACGAGTCATAGAAGGCTGTTCTAGATGCGGTCGAGATTCGGTGTATCTGGCATCTCCCCGTAGTGAAACAGCCAGCGGATGTGTGTCGATATAGTCATTGATTTCCTTGGATATCTCATCCGGGGGTATGTAGAGCACCTCAGTCTTCGAAAGCTGCCGCATAGAAGCGATCTCGCTTCCCAGGTCGACAAGTTCCGGGCTTGTCATGGCGCCGACGAGAAAAGAGCCGAGGGCAATAACCGAGAAACCGAGTATGCGACGGAAAAGTGACCGTTTTTTATATGTAGGAGGAGGAGGAGGAGGAGGATATGTATAAGAATAAGCGCCTTGGGATGCAGTCTGGTTATGACCTGGAGAGAAAATCAAGTAAGTGAAATGAATACGCAAGAAGGTGTATATATATGTACGTATAGATAAGAAGACTATAAATGGCAAAGTTTTCCCAACGGCATAAAAATGCGCCGGGAGCGGACCGTAGGGGAAAGAGATATGTACATAAACACTAACCAGACGAATAGGCCCTTACTGGAGCCCGGATGGATGTGGCTGAAGCAGGGACTTGCCGAAGTAACTGGTACCTCAATGGGGATAAGCAACAGCTGTGCCTTAGCCCGAGGGCTAGACGGGCCATGTTGAGCGTGGGAGGCCGGGAGAGCCGCGATTCCAGCATCGTTCTCGAGGTTGAGCTGCGTCCCTATCCACTCGCCCCCAACAACGTCCCAGGCAGCAGCTTTTCAACAGTAGATGTCCGCTATGCTATCAACAGTTTGATAGGAGGCTGTCCGCAGGCCCACTACTGCAAAACTTGAAGTCGGCGTTAGTGTTACTCAGCAGACGAGGATGCCGAGGTCCGCGGCAAGGCTGGGCCGGCGTTTTTCTCTCCTACCAGCGAAGTCTACCTGGATGATGATGTAACTTGCCTAAAGAACCTTTGAGCAGGCCAGGCAGAATCCTGCAGCGTATGAAGCTCTCTCTGTGGCCTTGCTTTGATCTTCTATATGCCCGCCTGCGCATGGCTGGTGCCAGTAGTGGCTCTCTGCCGTCCCTGGCGACCTTCGTGGTTAAGGGCCGAAAGAGGGCGCCCTCTTACTTAGCGTTAGAGGGGCTGGCAGAAGGGTAATGCGTAGCTCTCCTACTTTCATTTGCTGCGAGTAGTAAGCTAAGCTAAGATTGTGGGTTCGAGTCCCACGTCCCTCGATTTTTTTTTTGATGCCCCCCTTTTTTTATCCTTTTTTATTGTTCTTTGAGACGGAGCTACGGAGTACATACATACATACATATATTCTGGTATATACGTCAATGTTATATCTTACTTTGACAGGCTGATGACCTTCTTTGCAGCTTGCTCGAAAGAGTCAAAGGCGTGGAGAGGCAACCCGCTCTCCGCTATCTATAGACGGAGTGAGCAAAGGACGTAAACAATAATGACTCCGGATACACAAAGAAGACAGACATACCATCTTTTGGCCGAGTTCCTCGTTTGTTCCTCTTAGTCTAACTACCACTGGGACTTTCATACCCAGGTCACGGAAGGCCATCATGATACCCTCAGCAATCATATCACACTTGGTAAGACCGCCAAAGATGTTGACAAAGATGCCCTTTACTCGCGGATCAGATAGGATGACTCGGAAGGACGACTTGACAGTTTCTGCAGTAGCTTTGCCGCCGGTATCGAGGAAATTAGCGCAGCTTCCGCCGTGGAGGGTGAGGGCATCGACGGTGTTCATCGCCAGGCCAGCACCGTTTACTAGGTCGATAGTCAGTTAAACCAAAATAGTGAAGGACAGTGGTAGCCACTTACCAAGGGTCCCTATACGACCTTCTCCTGGAAGCCTAGGTGCAGTGTTAATATAGGGTTTAACAGGGTGTTATGGTAGATGACCCGACGTACGTGATATACACTATCCCGTCCTTTTCTGCTTCAACTTCAGCAGGAACCTCCTCAGCTTTATTTCGCAGGACATGGATATCGCCCTGTCGTCCTGAGCTACGGTACGCAGCGTCGTCGAACCCGAATCGCGCATCAATGATCTGTATGTCCTTTGCATCGGGAGCTATACCAGCTTTCACCTCGAGCAGAAATGCCTCCTTTGTCACAAAGATGTTCATCAACCCGTGCAGAAGTTTCTCCAAGGACTCAGTGGCCATGGGATGATATTTAGTGAGACCAAGAGTATCTTTGACAGATGCAATGTCGAAATTTCGTGCACGATAGTTGAATGGGAACTTGCGGATGTTGCCATCTGTGCCCTTGCTTACAGTTACGCAGGGACCGCACGTTTTACGGTCTATAGCGATGGCAAGAGCGAAATTAGCTGGGCCTTTTGACTCGACGACCGAGATGTCTTGTTCTTTAAGAAGCCAGAATGCATCAGAGGATTTGATGTATAGCATCCTCCTTTGAGGAAACCTTGCTGGCTTAGATGGTCGGCTTATCTGTGGACGCCTGGTAAGAGTGTGATATGATGCTCTCTGCAAGGAAGGCCCGGATGGTGTCTACGTATACCCATTAGATTGTGTCTGCTTGTATATAAGGATAGAAACATACCGGTTTGGATCTCCTACCAGCACCAGCCAGCAATGCCTTCATACCTTCACCAAACTTCTCCGGATGATCGACCATGATCACCCCCGCAGACTGCAATGCCTGTATCTTGGTTCTGGCATCCGGTTCACCTTCTGCTGTCCAGGCACCCGCATGGCCCATCACTCGTCCGGGAGGGGCTTCGATACCGCCAATCAGCGCCATAATTGGTCTATACATCGTTAGCCAGGGCCATTGATTTATTCTTTTTGAGCCAAAAAAGAAAAAAAAAATATTAAAGGACCTACTTCGCTTCTGAAGTCCTCCTCCTATACCCCTTGATCCACTCTGCAGCTTCCATTTCCGCCTCACCACCTATCTCGCCCACAATGATAATACCATGGGTATCATCGTCGTGTTCAAACACCTTTAGCGCATCCACAAAGTCGGTACCGGCAAGCACATCACCGCCCATGCCTATACACAAACTCTGTCCCAGCCCGGCTCTCGTCGTAGATGCAACAGTCTCATAACCAAGCGTGCCTGATTTAGCTACTATGCCTACATTGCCCGGTGCAAAGCATGGAAGAGGCTGGAACCCAATTCTGCATTTCCCGATGGCAGAGATGATTCCGGGACAGTTTGGGCCAACAAGCCTGGATTTAGACTGTGTTTTGAGCATGGAGTGTATCTATGGCAGTGTTAGCAAGATCAGCCATTTAGATAAGGGGGTAAATATGCATGAACAGACTTTTAGCATGTCGTGGATGGGAACATGCTCTGCCACAGCGACAATAAGGGGTATTTCTGCTTCGAGAGCTTCTTCTATGGCCTTGGCCGTCTGATTCCCGGGCACATATACTGCGGAGGCATCTGGTTTGGCCTTCTCTTGTGCCTATGTACAGTCAGTATATAGGTATCTGATATCCCAATCGAGCCAGCAACCCTACCACGCGAACTGACGGAAAAATGGGCAGTCCTAGATGTTCACCCTCGACGCCAGGCTTGACGCCTCCGACTATCTTTGTCCCCCATGCCAGTGACTCCTTGACATTGGCCGTCGCCTGTTCTTCATTAGTTCCCAGTTCACTAGTTCTAGACGCAGAAGTCAAGTACCTGTTTTCCTATTTACCTGTTAGCACGTAGATAGCTAGTTATCACTGTAGTCAATGAAGCCAGAGTGAGAGCCTACCGGTAAACCCCTGGAAGAGAACCCTGGTGTGAGATCCTATCTTCAAGTGTGGCAGCGTGTCTTCATATGACCGAGATCCAGCCGCAGCAGAGAATGGCGAAGACGAATATACATGTCTCTGTTGCAGAGAGCGAGATGGACTCTGGCCGCCGAATAGCCGGCCAGACGAGCTTTGCGTCCATCTCGGGGCCATCATGGCGTCAGTCGCAGTACAACTAACTGACTAGTTAAACAGCCACTGTTGTCTCCGCATATACATAGTTAACTAGCCACTCCGTAGGCATGAAGAGTCCGCCCATGAAGCAGAGGAAGATCAGAGAAAGAAGAATGCGAGTCTCGCGGTAAAAGCAAACATGAAGGAGACCAGAAGACGAACCCCACAGGCTCACTCGTCCAGTAGAAGCGCTGCTGAGACCTGTGGCCGTCATGATTCCCCCGTATGTCTCTACTGACGACGGGATATCAGAAGCTGGAATGGCCGAGGTAAATAACTAACTAGCCACCAGTAGTTGGCCAGGCTGATAGCTCTCTAGAACCAGCACGTAGATACAATAACTAGTTGCTATGACCTCCCGAGTTAGTTGGTTAGCTTGTTGATCGGCCCTGAAGAGCCCGAGACGACGAGCTGGTTACGAGACCTGCCGGCTCTCCGCGGTGGGATGGTGAAGAGCATCTCCATCCTGGCCTATATTCGAGAGCGAGAGAGAAGGGAGACAAGACTCTCGAGGCCGGAACGGAGCAGTTCTTCAGAGTCACTCCCTGGCATGGATGCTGCATGTCATCCTGGGCTGCTGCAGGGCCTCTTTGGTCCTTCATCCGTTGCCCCTTATTCTTCCCTTAACCCTACTTAGCTAGTTAGCCGGCCAGCCAGTAGTCAGTCACCTAGGCATGCCTAACTAACTCACAGTTGAGCTAGTTAGTTAGTTAGTGGCTGGTTCTAGGTAGATAACTAGCTGGCGGACTGATGTCATCGCTGCTGCTTATCAGTGAGAAGGGCTGCTGCTAAGCACTGCTGGCCAGTCGAGATAGTGAAGGACAGGACAGGACAGGACAGGACAGAGAGGACAGAGATATCACCAGCTAGCTAGATAGCCCCAGAGTCACTGGCTGCTGGATGTCCAAGTGAAGCTGGAAGAAGTCTTGCTGGGTTGGTTATTTAGTTGACTGCCTGCTTCATCTTCTTGTACCAACTTCTCCCTTCCACTGCCACATCTACATCTCTACTTCTGCTTCTGCATCACCGCCAGAAAGACCAGAATCATGGCTGAAGGCCGTCCAGGTACGTCTATCACTGCGATATTAACACGCTGTCTTTATAATAGTTATCACTAGCTCGTTACGCGCACAGTATATCAAACTAGTCGCAAGAAACTAACAGCTAGGCTCAGGCACCAACATCGACTCCCACACGCCCACTCCCCGCGGCGGCGTCCGTCTGAACAAGATCGCCGAATCCTGGGAAGATGAAGACCTCTCCTCCGAAGACGAAGCTAGTGATGCAGAAACAACCATAACTGCGCCCCCCGCTGAGCCCAGCACCCACCAGCACCACCACCAGCAGGGCGAGCATCACCACCAGCACCAGGTCAGCCGCAGCGGCATCCGCGCGCCTCCTCCGACTCCCAACGTGTCTCGCCAGTCCAGCTGCCGCTCTACCACCAGCAGTGCGTCGTGTACCTCTTCAGGCTACTCTAAGCGCCCCGAGAAACAGATTGCAGTGGCTACCAGGATGATTGGCAACGCGCTGGGTCACCGAGTGGCCAGATCTGATAGCCAGAAGGAATATGACCGCACTGTGATTGCAAATGAGAAGAAGCGGCGCGAGAAGGAGAAGCTCGCTGAGGAGCAGAAGCGAGAGGAGGAGGAGAAGGCAAAGGCCGCTATCTGGGATGAGTGAATGTGTTTTTATATCACATCATACACACTTTTCCACTTTGCCTTGTCTGTCTTGATATCAAAGAGGACTTTCACGTCTTTGCGGTTTTTACCTTTGATATGGCTTCTCTAGCTGCCTGATATGAAATCAATGTACGTTAATGATACAGACGAAACAATGCTATATAAGCATATGATACCAAGTTTCTACAAAAAACTACAAAGTTACCTCTAATGACTGAAGTAGAAAGACAAAATGCATCTATATTTTATTCAAATAGATGCTCCAGAAAGGATATGATATTTGAAGCCAACCCTCCCCAGGAACACACTATTGAAGCAGAGGATAAGTAGGTCCCCCTAAGCCATTGAAAGATATATATACATGAGAAAGATAAAAAGTAGACGTAGACGTATAGGTAGGCGTTTGAATAAAGAAGAACAAAATGACGTATACCACGAGGATGAAAGAATGATAAAACTTGCCCTGACGCCACACAGATTTATTAAAACACCAGCAACAAACAAGTAAGGGGAAGGGTGGGATGCTGAAAACGATCGATGTGATTTTGCCTGGCTCTCACCCGAGGCTTCGTGCGAGGCTATTCAGTAGAATAGGATAGGATGAGATGAAAGAAAATGGACCCCGAAGGTTGTGGATTTGGTTCAGTGATAGTGATGATACCCCAGTAAACAGTAAGGAAGTGGGTGATTGGTAAACTTGGAAAAGTGGTAACAGTCCAGGAAAGGGAAAAAAAAGGGATATTAAAACGTGCTTGATATGCTATGGGTTCAACCTGAGTTGTTGCTGCTGATGCTGGTATATGCCATGACAATTGTTTCGGAGAGAAGAGAATCAAAAAAAAAAAGGGGGGGGCAGCAGGAGAAAAAGAAACAGAACACGTAGTATGAAAGGCCGTTGAACATGCAGTTGCATAATCAGAATGTTTGAGTTATATTTCTTGTTGTGCTTATGTTATGTGAATTATGTCTTTCGGGCGGGCGGCCGGGCGGCAGGGCTAGATCAGCTTCTTCTCTCGGTTGATGATCCGGCTGTTGGGCGGGTATGAGAGAATTCGGGCGTCAGGTCTGGATTCTGACTCGGTGGAACTTTGCTTGTATGTGAGTAATCCGTCAAAATGGGATCGTCTTCCCTAGTGCCTGGGTGGACTTCAATGCCCTCTTGCTGATCAAGCCCAGAGTGTCGACCCGTGCCCGAAAATTTGATCGATTCCTGTTCACTAGTTGATCGGCCAACGGGGGACCAGCCTGCTATGCTTCCCGCCACAACACCAGCCATGGCCGCAGCAGGCCCAAAGGCGGAGTTGGATCGAGACCGGGTGCGCGAGCTCGGAGTTGGTGGCTGAGTGTTGCCGTTCTCATGGTCTTCGCCTTGCGGGGTTTGTGGTATGGAGGATTTCGAGTTGCTTCGGGAACGAGGGATGAGAGTCTCCGGGTGTTGGAGCTTGTATTTTAGGATATTCAGTCGACCGCCCCGTACCTTCTTGAGGAAGGTGAGCTGGTCTCTGATCTCCTCAAGGGCTGGGTTCCACTCATATCGCTGTTCCTCATCAGAGATATATACCTGCGGCTTGTCCTGTTTCCGCCGAAAGTAGCTCGGGATGAGCATCCGGACAAAGCTATCTGGAACCATGCGAATAAGGATGCCGACGGGTATGGATAGCAGTCCGAGGATCAACGAAATACCCCAGTCCCTTCCACCGAGACGCTCGACTGAGAATGCTTGACCACCAACAAAGATGATGAGGACTTGTCCACCCACGATGATGAACTGGATGCCGACAAACCACCTGTTTCTCAGAATTCCTTCAAAGATGTTCACCTTGTTGTCAATTCTGCGCGAATTATACTGGTTGAAAATCTGCATCCAGACGAAGGTATTGAAGATGAGGGCTTTGAATACCCGATCTTCCCTCTCGGAATGGCCGAAATTCAGGATGTCTTTACCGGCAAAGTTGAGAATAAATGTGACGATGAGCTGGTAAATAGATTGGCCGATTATCATTTTCCACATCGTAAGCGTGATTAGTGGAGAAGACTTGGGTTCTGGCTTGCGGTCAAGAATAGTATCAGTGGGAGGGTCGGTAGCAAGAGCAAGAGCTGCGAATGTGTCCATGATCAAGTTCACCCAGAGCAGCTGGACCGCAGTCAGTACGGATTCCTCGTCATTACTGGCCACAGCAGAGACAAATGTAAGTACAACAGCAGTGATGTTGACAGTAATTTGAAACTGCAGGAATTTCTTCACAGCATCATTAACGGTTCGGCCCCAGGCGATAGCTTTCACAATCGAGTTGAAATTGTCGTCCATAAGGATGATAGCAGACGCCTCTTTAGCCACCTCTGTACCAGCTATACCCATGGAGAATCCAACATCTGCTCCCTTGAGAGCGGGTGCATCATTGGTTCCGTCACCAGTTACAGCAACGGTTTCACCTAGTTTTCGCAGCTGAGCAACAAGGACTCTCTTATCCTCAGGGCTGGATCGAGCTAGGACCTGTAGACGTGGGATCACTTGATTCATTTGATGAGAGCTGAGTTTCCTGAACACCGGTCCCTCGATAGCAAGACCTCCGGGGGTAAAGATACCACACTCTTGTGCAATTGCCTTGGCCGTCATGATATTGTCTCCTGTTACCATTCTGACAAAAACACCGGCCTTTTGGCATTGGAGAACGGAATCGGCAACGCCAGGGCGAAGAGGGTCCTGAATACCAACGACACCTAGGAAAACCATGTCTTCGAACACGCGCTCAAATACAGCTTGCTTGCGGTCTTCCCTTTGCGTAGGCGCTCCCTGAGGAGGCCACTGTTCGAAATCGCGGTAGATGATGCCAATGGTTCGTAGAGATCGGGATGCATATTGTTCCACAATAGTCCTCAAGCCAGAGCGTTCCTCTTCACGAAGCTCTGTTTCGGCAAGTTCGCTGGTTGGGTCTGCAATGATTTTTGTGCATTTTTTAATGAGAATTTCAGAGGCGCCTTTGACTAACATCCTGTACTTGCCGTTGGGGAGTTTAATAACCGCAGCCATGCACTTTCGGCCGGAGTCGAAGGGGACAAGCTGCACAATCTCTGCATTTGACCTTGCCTCGTTCAAAGATCCCAGTGCCAGATAGTCATGTGCGAAACTGAGTAGTGCAGTCTCGGTCTTGGAACCGACGAAGGTAGTTGCTCCATTTTCGTCACTTTCAAACGCCGTGGAGTTTAAAGATATTGAGTTCAGCAGCAATTCCTTGACCGAGGGTGACAAGGATGAGATGCAGTCGGCAGGAGCAACATTGTTCGTCTCTGAGGATTGATTATTTTCATTCGCATCCTGTTGTGTAGAGGACGGGCCGTTCTCTCCAAAGTTGGGCCAAGTTCCAAAGGTTCCAGCAACAACAGTCATCTTGTTCTGAGTCAAAGTGCCAGTCTTGTCTGAGCAGATGGTAGTGGCATTTCCCATGGTCTCGCAAGCTCTGAGTAGCCTAACCAAGTTATTATCTCGTAACATTCGTGTCGTCGCGAATGCAAGTGCAAGAGTAACGGCCAGGGGCAATCCTTCGGGTACGGCAACCACGATAACAGTAACAGCCATGATAAAGATCTGAAGGAATGCCTGTCCCTTGGCAGTAGCACCTTGGATGTTTTTCAGATGGACGAGAAACTTGATAAATAGAACCACGAACAGGACTAAACCAGCAGTAAGACCTAGTTTAGCAATGTACTCGGCGAGAACATTGAGCTTCAGTTGCAAAGGGGTTGTTTGGCCTTCATCCTGCAGGGAGAGCATTGTTTTACCGTAGGAAGAGTTGACACCAGTCGACGTGACTAGAAATGTGCCAACACCTTCCGATACCTTAGCACCAGATAAGATGAACGGATCCAGCTTTGCAAGAGGTTCCTGGTTCTCGATGGCCTGGTAGACAACATCTCCAGGAGTCTTTCGAAGGACATCAGATTCACCAGTTGCGGAGGATTCATCGCATTTGACGTTGTGACCCTCGAGGAAAATACCATCGACCGGTACCATATCACCGGGTTCAAGGTGCATCACGTCTCCCACGAGAATATCATGAACCGAGATTTCCACCGACTTGCCGGAGCGAATAACCTTGACATTGCGATCTTCTTTCTTCTCGTTTAGCTTCACGAATTGTCTTTCCTTTTGCCAGTCATTTGCTGCTCCGACAACGACAACGACGATGATGGCAACCATGATAGCCACACCTTCAACCCATTGCACTCTAGCCTCATTTCCAGTAGCTGTAATGGACTGATATATACCTAGTGCAAGAGATATGACGGCAGCGACGGAAAGAAGAATCAGGACATTATCGTTATAAGCGATCCAAGCTAGCTCCCAGATGGACTTAGTCTTCCTCGCGGGGAGCCGATTATCACTGAATACACGTTTGCGGTCGACGAATCTATCATTGTTCTTGGAAACACCCTCTGCGTCATATTTCATGCTCGTTGTCCTCCCTGATGCCTTGGGAGTGTGTTCCGGAGTGCTAGCACTGGTAGCTTCTTCAAAGGAGACTGTGCCATCCAGAACAGTTTCATCGATGCTGAGGCCTGTTGAGCGGTTTGTCCGCAGACCCTTCTCCAATCCGGCCAGGCCCCCTAGAGCATAGAAAGCAGAAAGACTCTTTGGGCTGAGAAGCTTGTTCAATTGACCTGGGGAGAAGGCGAATTTGTTATTCTCCACTTCAAAGTCGTCTTCCGTTTTGGGGTCAGGTTTCAAAGCATTTGGATCATTCCTAACGTCAACATCCTTGGTCGATGCACCCTTGTCAGGATGCTCACCGGTAGATGGCCATGACGGGACACACGTCTCGCTGCCCAACGAGCGAGGGGAGTTGGCATCTTCAGAGTCGAGGGAATTTCCCCTTGAGCGTGTTCCTGGAACTGATAGGAAATTTTGCGAGTTTGGATCGGCGGTTTTCGACGTAGGCGAGGAGATATTATGCGGTGAAATAGGCCGTGGTTCTCGTTCTCTCTCAGATGAAGGGTTCAAGGTACTATCGTGCTGGCCATGAGTATCCGTCGACTTGCCATTGTCGCCCTCACCGCCCCCTTGCCGACTCTCTCCCTGCGGTTCTTCCGTAGTTATTTCGGGACCTCCAACATTAGATGCACTGCTGACAGCGGATGTGTCAATTGTGATCGTAGGAGCTCGCTCCCGCCGCAGCGGCGAGGACGGGTTGGGAGCATCGTCATTTGACGGCTCCATCTCTCAGCAGAATCGGGTGATGTATAGGTGATGCAGAGCTAAGTAAAAATCGCAGCCCTGATCAGGCGCAGATATTCAGAAAGACGTGAGAGCTTATAGATAGAACTGGCATGACCATATGAATAACAGCGAGATAAACATTCGTCTGGCACAACAGTGTATCACGGATCTAGGGTTGAATGGAGCTCTGGTCAAAACGCGAAGGGTCAGCAAAATGGAGAGCCACGATGCAGTACCAGCACACCGGAGGATAAATGAACAAAACAGGAAATAAAAGAAACAGAGCGGGCTCTTCAGCTTCTCAACCCTGGAGTAAAACTCCGTATAGAGAATGCTGGGATGCGAAGAAGTTGACGGGGGCGAACTCACAGTAGGGTCGGCGGAGTGACGGGTACAAGGCCCTGCTCGAAAAGGGCTTCACCGTTCGGTGGCGAGCACTGAGCAGGTCGCAGAAAGGGATCTGCTGGGCTTTCCCATCAGCATATCACTCTGGCTTGCTCTCCACCAGTGGGAGCTCGGGACGGCCTGGGAGATCGTACGGGACGGTGAAGGGAAGAGGAGGTGAAGTGAGGTTGAATAATATCGAAGTTGTGTTATTTCATGCCTAAACGGGCAGAAACCACTTTTGGGCCAGGAAAAAGAACAACCGCGAGCCCGGCGGCTTACTTACACTACTTGTCAACGAGCTACAACCGAACAGCACAGCACAGCAGAACAACAACCCGGAGGGCTTTGAATACACGTCCAGTCTTTGCTTTGTGCTCGCCGCTGGAAAAAAGAGGTCAAATCTCACACAAGTCGCCAAGGCACAAACTGGCTGGTAACGAGCACAAGAGCGGGCGAACCAACCACGGAGAGCACCACGGCGGACGATGATATCATAGCCTTCACCCCCCAACCATGAAGAGACCCAAGGATAAACCGTTGGAATGGCCAATTGCGACTGTCGCCTCACCCTTTGACCAGACCTGGGTTGCGATTCGACATAACAAACGGAAAAGGGAGGCCCTTGGGACGGGAGACACGAGTATCAAGCAGAGGAGCAGCTCAAGTACTTTGACTGCGCCTTCTTGGAGAAACGCAAGACAATAGTACGGGATCCACATGAGACGCCAGATATTAAAGCGATGGACAAATCAACAGGCCCGGGGACACTGCCACACTGCCAAGTTTCATATTTTCTTTCGACAGTATAGGCCCAGGGGCGAACGGGGATGCACTAGCTTGCCGCTATGATTGAGGATGAAGAGCTCGTGAAACAGGATATGATACGGGAACGGCCACGAGCATAGCGCGTTAGTTAACTACCTTTGAGCCGGCGAAAAGGGTGCGTCAAGGAGTTTCCGGGCTTCGAGGACAAGTTCCTCTCAGCAAAGGCAGGTTTCGAGTGAGAGTTGGTCTGTTCTGCAGTGCAACAAACGGGAAAACAAAAGGGGAAAGCTTCCATCCCTTCCAGAATCCCAGCTCTTCCAACCCTTGGGAGGTTATTATCAAGGCAGCGTTATCTCGAATTTGGTTGGTTGCTTTCGATTCTACTGAAGAAAAGCGAAGGTTTTGCACCCTGGGCGGATGCCCGTTCAGGCACGGGTACTGATGGGGCAGCCGAAATTAATACCCATACGACATACTCCATAGGTGCCAGCACGTCGTATTGAGGTTTCCCAACTTGACGATGATTAACCTGATGGAGTCGATAATATCATGAGAGATCATTCTTGGGTTTTTTACCATGCTTACTTATTATGTCTACTAGTCTTTGATGGCTGATTTTCAGTTCATAGCCGTTTACTCCATACAGAGTAGCAGCAAAACTAATGAAGGCGATTGCAGGCGGTCTTCTCAATAGACGACCTCGAATATGGTTAGCAAACTACCTCGTGTTGAGTAGACATAGAAAAAGAGAAACCAAAGGAACAATAGGTATGCAATTCACAACATTGACTGAGTTTTGGGTGATTATGAGGGCTATAATACAACAGATCATCGTTCCACCGCTGCCTGCGCCTATGTATGAAATGTCGGGACCATCGCCTAGTCGGGTAATCAAACGGAAAGTGAAATGATAAAGGGAATCAAAAAGAGGCTGCCAGTACACGCCATGTATGAAATGAAGCGAAGTGAAAGAGCATCAGACATTTTTTTTTAACATATGAAAGGGACGTTCGCGTCCTGTCAAGACCAGATTAAACCTCTAGCCGTCTTTAGACCACAGAGACTGCAGTCGGTGTTGAAACTCCGGAGACATGGTTCCCATCAATACCATTCTCGCCTCCGTTAAGCTTGACTTTCTTGTCATCATGGGCATCATCTTGTCCGTCTTCCTCGTTCTCATCAAGTTTAATTGGTCGTATCCTCCAAATATCGTTGGTACCTCCGTGAGGAAGTTTGCGCTTCAATTTCGATTGCCCTGTGCCCATCATCGCGAAGCTAGACAGAGTGAGCGCATCGACAAGCTCACCCATTCGGCCTGATGCCATAAAACTTTCTGTTATGATTGCCGATGATGAAACTACGGTGGCGAGGGTCATGCATTGGGCAAGGATTTCGCGGCCAAGTATGTGTCCTGCATAATAGAGGGCAGTGTGGTATGCCAGGATAATCTCTGGGAGATAAGTTGATCGTATAAAAGCGAGTTCTTTCGCCTCGGCGTCTGATTGATACATGTCAGCAAAGGAGAAAAAAAAAAGCTAAAAGCGGTTATTAAAAAGCAAACTCACCATCAATTGGTTGAATGAGCCACTCGGTGCAAAGAGGTTCTATTGCATGGGTGATTGCATCCAGAGCGGGATGGAGTTTCTTCTTTATTGCAGGCTTCTGCGTAGTATCCGAGCAACTATACTCAAGTCCGGTTAGTGTATCATGCATCAGCTGCTGATGATCTAAGGCGCAGCAACGTACTTTGTATAATCGTCCATCAGATCTCCCCATTTTTCAATGGCATCAAAGGACTGGATAAGCTGCTCGAGCTCTAACATCGTTTCGGCCTGCATCAGAAGCTGCTCGCGCGTAAGCTTCTCCGTCGTCTTAGCCTTTTGCTGCTCAGAAGTGCCGTCCGACGTGGGACTAGAAACACCGTTTTCTGTCAAAGGCTCCAGTAATGGCCCTTGGCCACGGTTTGTCATGTCCACAAGTGTCTGGTGCAGTTTTGCGCGCTTATACATTTCGCGAGCAGTAGAGATTTTACCAGCAGCTAAATAATCCCATTAGAAAGAGTGTTCAGCAAATTGGTGGAATACGGGGGAAACTCACTGATAAATCGCTTGTATAGATGTGTCCCAAGGATGCATATTCTTGACCACTGACCACTGATATATCGGTGCCAGTCAATACAACGAATCAGGTTCTCATCTTCCGGTGAGACTTTGGACTTGGAAATGAATCCCTTCATGATATGTCCAATCTTTCCTGGTCTATCACCGCCGGTAGTAACTGTTCTCACAAGTTTAATCGGTTTCGGGTTGAATTTTTTATCTGCTTCCTTCAAGACCCATCGCCATTGGCTTTGGATCATTGCAGATGTGTCAATCTTGAGGCGTTTCATCATCTGAATATGCGATTCTCGTTCAGATGGGTCAGTCACCTCAATGAGAACCTTTCCAAGAACTTCATTGCCCATGTCGCGGGGGAGAAGGGAGGCGTAGAGCGGGATATCCCTGGTTGCCCCATATTCTCGGAGGAAGTCGATGTACCTCACCACGTTGATAGAAGCGGTGGCAGAATAATGCGAGTCGGAACGAACCAGTCCGACAGCCCGCAGGATGAGATATAGATGCGCCGTAAGCCGTAGAGAATCATTATCCTTTGCAGCAATCAATGTCGGCTGGTCAAAGGTTCGCATGGAGCTAATATCGGGTATAAGGGTAGGCTCCCCACTCTCTTGCGCTACTTTGGTTAAAGCATTCGCCTGGAGGTTGAAGAATTGGTCATAGCTCTGGCCCAATATCGCAGCCTGGATAGTGCAGTATGGGTTTTTAGACTCCTTAGCCGTTCGTGGATCTTTGACCAATGTATCCAGGAAGTTGCGTATGCTGTCATACTGTGGAGGGTCAACACGTAGCTCGACCTCAGCCTTTGGAGCGTAGCTGAGCTTCCGCTGAAGTTGTTTGCAGAAGTCTCGGTACCGGGAAAGTAGAATATGGTTACAATTGACGTAAACGAAGTCACTCCAGCTTTGGCAGACTTCATATGCAGGGCCAGTTTCTCCAGATATCAGGGCATAAACAGCCCGTTCGTAGCGGTTAGAATTCGGGTTATTGGCAAGGACTGAACAAGCAGCTCTCCAAGATTCCTGGGAGCGGTAATTCATCATTCGAAGAAGACTTGAGTGAGAAGGGTCCTTAGCCGATAGTGACGAATCTCCAGCCGAACCACACAGACTAATTGCTCGCCAGCTTTCAAGGCGCTCCTTAGCCCATTCCCGAATAGACAGCCAATCTTTCCCGGTTCTAATCATCTTCCAGCATTCTAGCCATGTTGCCTCTTCAAATGATTGATCTTGTTTCTGGAGACCAAGGCCTTGTCGAGTAACCGCATCGGGGTCAAGTTGAGTAATTAGAGGCTCGTTGTGGGATGAACTCAAAAGAGACGCAGTAACGCTCGGGTCGTCAGGTTCGAGAGGTTGAGGCCATGACCGCAATCGTTTCGCGCCCTTGATAGCTTCTTTTGTGTATAGCCACCCATGAGCCCATAGCCCCTCACCTCGGTTCGCATCCATTTCCAACTTGGAGATTGTCGAGTCCATGACTTCAATGCCAGCCCTTGCAGTGTTTTCTAGCCATTTGAGCATGACCGCATTCTCAACAGCGAAATGGTCGGTTCTCAGAAAGGTCTCCCAGATATCGTGGTCCGTCGAGTATCGATGGAGTGTTTGTAATGCCGTCTTCTGATTGAGCTGCGCCTGCATGTGCGACTCAGGGTCACCAACTGCAAGCAGATGGAAGACCAAACCCCAGGTGTCTGCCTCTAATTGCCAACGTCTGATACTGGCCTCCTCATCCTTGCTAACCGACACATTGGGCTTGTAACTCTGACTTAAGTTCACTAAGGTGGAAGATCTGAGTGATTTTCGAGCGCCGGTGGGCTGCGATAGTTCCTTTGCAGTATCTTCGGCAATTTGCTGGTACTTCTTCACAAGCTTGCAGGCTTCTTGGAATGCCCGGGTATCGCCCGGTTGGAGGCCTTGCCGTCTAAAATTGTCTAGACTTTGCGCATAGGCTTCTATCTGCTTGACAACTCGATCTGCAGTGTGTTGTAATGGATGAAGGGCGTCTTTTACGCCTGTTGGTAGGAGGAGGGGTGGTTCGGGAGTTTCAGAGAGCGTGATAGTTTCTGTACTCACATGAGTTAGCATCAGTGTAGCAAAGGCGGTTAGTGAAATCAGATTCCTCTGAGTCGACCTACCGGCGCGAAGTTTAGATGGATGAGAGACTGGTGCAGGCGCAGGTGCTGTGCCGTTGATACCATTGTGATGAACTCCGTTCGGCTTCCAAACATCTCCAGCACTCTCTTCATCTTCTTCTGCGTCACGGCTCTCCTCGTCTTCATCATCTCCATCAACGTCCTCGTCCTCTTCGTCCTCTTCGTCTTCCATTGAGGCGTCGTCACCGAAACCAGGCCGCGCCTCAAACTCATTATCAGTCACAATATCAGAGTCCTGCTCTTCCGAATCTCCATCATCCAGCTCTATAGCCTGTCTCCCATCGTCTCTTTCGTACCCATCATCTTCGCTGCTGTCTATTTCGATGATTTCGACGTCATGGAGATGGCTCGGAGGAGCTGGTGAGACCTAGAGTCCTATCAGTTTCGCATCCTCAGCTCAGGAAGAGCAGCACCAAACTTACATCGGAGTACATGGAGTCCGACTCCTCCACGGAGCTCTCAGAGACCGAAGACATGGTCTATCCCTGGTCTGATGGACTCTGCTGCTGCTGCTGCTGTGCTGTTGTTGCCGATGTCTTCTTCGTCGTCCTCGTCTGCTCTATTATTATTTACTCTCGCTCGCTTTCTTCCGCCTCCAGCATAAAAACTGCAAAGCTTCCAAAGACGAACTAGCGCGACGCGACCAGGCCCAAAACGTACTAGCGTCACGTGGATGGAACACTTCAAATGATTTTTTTTTTTTTCGGCTTCAGTTTCTCTTTCTCTTTTCCTTTTCTTCAAACAAATGTCATCTAGGCGGTCATTAGAGTCTCGGGACAGCCAGCTCTCTCTCTCTCTTTCTAGGGAGAAGGGCGTTTCAATGTTTGTTCAGGTTCCTCTGGAATCTCTAGCGTGCTCACGGCCGTCTTAGACCAACGACAATCCTCTACCTCTTGATTGACGTTTTCACCCTGGAATCAAAGATATGACGGTTGTTACATACAGAATGGAAAGGCTTCTATGTTGTTGATTTATTGACTATATTGATTGATGGGATATTTATTATAGTACATATTCATAGATGTGATGTTTACATGACATGCAGTGCTGGGTGTCTATCGAGTGCTATCAATACCAACAATATCAAAAATCGCCATTTTCAATCTGCTTCAGCTTCAACTTGAGTAAAGAAGGTTTCGGGCAGCTTGGGGTTTTTGCATCCTCTCCCTTCTGTGTATAGAGAGCATTGCAGCATTTGTACAGCTGGATGATCTGGTTCCGACATTTAGCCTCGTTGTAGGAGTTTTTGGTCAGACATGCTTTGGATTTGATACTATCAGCTTATGAGCTTGCTCCCACTTTTTGTCCTCACTTGAATAGGTCAGTGTTACCTTGAATAGCACACTAATTGACCTGATTAGCCGGTGAATACGTATGTCGAACTGACAGTATTGATGGATACTCAAGAGGACTCACTGCTTGCGGGTGGCAAGGAGGGTCGGCATCAACACCCTCCATCTCAGCAAGGTAGAGAACACCACCAGGTCTAATCGAAAGACAAATATAAACCAGGTCGAACAGCTCTTTTCTGTCTTTTTCATCCTCCTCTCTGCTCTTCCAGCGTTTTCGTCTTCCTTCCAGCGTCCATCTTCCTGTTCCTTGCAGGTGGTGGATTGGAACGGCCGCCCGATCAAGATACACCGGAAAATAGATCTGCCGGCGCAGGTTCTTGCGGGGGCGACCTAAGAGATCCAGCATTCACCTTCAACTCGCAACTCCCACCTGAACGTCCGACTTTTTACAACGTCAGCTACGTCCGTCTGCAGAGCTTCCTGTCCTTGACAACGATACCACTGAATCCATACACGCAGAGTCTGCACGAAAACGCCTGAAAACAGCGGAAAAATGGCCGACCTTCCCCCTCAGTCCATGCCTGCTCCCGTTGAACACCTTAATATCAAGGTGACGGATAACAACAACGAAGTCTTTTTCAAGATCAAGAGGAGTACGCAGCTGAAGAAACTTATGGATGCCTTCTGCGAGAGACAAGGCAAGCAACTCTCGACTGTTCGCTTTCTCTTTGATGGCACAAGGGTCCGGCCAGATGACTCTCCTGAGACTGTAAGCACTCCTGCTGGTTCTGCCCAACTTTCACTTCTTAACCAGAAATTTGACTCACATATTCCATTACAGTTAGATATGCAGGATGGCGATACCCTCGAGGTGCACCAGGAGCAGATCGGTGGCTGAGCAGATGGAGATATCAAATCCAGCTTCATGAGAAACGAAAGTAAGCCAACTTCTCATGTTCGTCCATATCCCTTCTCTCAAGACATGCTAACACCCCGGTGTTTCTTCTTCTATAGCATTTCATTCACCTCCTCGACGGCCGCCGTTCCTTCTACCTTCCGCTTGATGTTCCTCTACGTTCTGTTTCTTTCAAACAAGTGTAATCATAGTCGTGCTTTCGAAAACACACTTTGCATATTCATGCATGCTGCCACTGCGAGTCACGGTTGTCCTTCAACCATATTTCTTGCTCCCCTTCAAGAATTGAAAGTGGAAATTCTAGGTGGATTACCATTTCTGCTCCTCTTACCCTACATACAATGTTATTGACGCGTTAGACTCGCCTTTCGAGACGAAACTCACGCTTCTTGTTCTCTTGACTTCCATGGGGTAGTAGACAATAATACTACAAAATTCTCACATCAAAATAAGCTCAACTGGTTGAATAAAGCAGTACCCACATCATAAGAAGTTAAAGCATTAGTACATTATCACCTCTGAGCATTGACAAGGTTTTACACGGCTTATATACAGTGAGATTCGGTGTGCTAATAGAGACAGGCGGTGGTTGGAGGTGAAATAACATCAAGGGTGATCGTGCGAATAAGAAAAGCCATAAGAAACCATCATGCAAAAGTAAAACTGGTGATATTTCGATTCACCCCCCCCCCCCCCCCCCCCTTTTTTTTTCATTTTGTCCATTACCAGAAGAGGGTATACCTCTTTTAAACCATTTCAACCGATGGGGGTATCCTTTCCATCAACCATCAAAAACAACATAACGCAATTCAAATTTCTCATGGTCGGGCATTATTGTATGCTGTAAGATTATATCCTGCATTACCGCTCATTATCTCCTCTCCTCGAACATCCACGGACGTACGAACGTTGATCTCCGTCAAGTTCTGGTCAGAGGAATACCCTTCGGTCGTAGTAGTGTTGTCTGTTCCGTTACGATGGTACGGGCTTTTTTTTGCCCACGCAGAACCGTAGGAATATCCGCTACCACCGCTGAAGCCTGCTCCTTCGCGATTGTTATATGAAGGTTTGGGTTCGGTTGAACCACCAAAGTGTCGTAGAAGTGGGCGGAGAGAGGGTAGACATGCTAGAAACTAGAGTCAATATGGCATAGTTACTGTCAGAGTTGGATAAGGAAACATACCTGACACCACTCCGATGTTCGTCTCGACAGCAGTCCAAGTGGATGGACCAATGAACACCCATGTAACGTCGATCGAAGGCACTTTGTAGGCATCCAGCATGATAGTAAGTCGGATAATTGATATGATGCATATACTAGAGGACACCAGGGTCAGTTACTGGCATGATAACTAGATAGTATTATGAAGAGGGAGGAGCTACTCACAATCCACCAAGTAGGAAAGTTGCATAGATTGCAAGCTTCTGGACAGTGTTTCTGTGTAAACGCCAAATATATGGAAGAGGTAAGAGCAGCAAAGCCCAATCGGTCACAATATTTGGTACCGCATTGCCTATAAAGAAGCTGTTCACATCAACTCCACAAACTGCTGGAATTGTCTTGTCCCAGAAGCCTTGGATTGGCAGGCATTGGAAAATGGTTGTACCAATCTGTATTTGTTCTGTTAGCTGTATATAATGATCAATTGGTAGATTCTTTGTCAACCTACCACACCGATACCCCATCCGGTTACCAGAGCGGTGATAAGATATATTGGGATACGAATGCTAGTAGCATTGAAAATCCGCCAGTAGAATAGAAGGATAGAGTATTTCGTAAAGCATATAGACAGAGTATAGAGAATTTCAATAACGAAGAGGTTAAGGAAGAAATCTCCGAATCCTTTCAGTCCATACGGATATATATGCTTTCCAAGGCCCCTGGGTATCCCTATATGTCACCTAATCAGTTTTGGAACATTAGTGCCAATTGAGAGCTACATACATATTATCATGGCCACGAAATTCCCCGCTGTCATAAGCTGGGCAAGTGATTAGAATAATTGGCTAATCCAAGGAGGCAGGATTGTAATCATTCTTTCATCTCATACCAAGGAAGCACATATCATGTAGTCATCCCACCAGAGTCCCGGCCGCAGGTGGCCAAGCCTGCAAATCAGACGAAGGCCAACAGCAACGACTGACAGGCAGAATGTGGAGATAAAGGCAGCATACAGCTGTGGTTGTCTTGATTCAGACAGGTCAATTCCTGGCGGAGGGGTGAAGTCCAGCGACATCGCTCCGTATGGTGTCAGGCGGGGAGCACACCAGAGTTGGCAAGCAAACAGGGTTCACTGGCTGTTTTGGAAGACGAACGGCAGAATAGGTGAACAAAGAAAATCGAAGGGAGTGTCAGGCATTTAAGATGGCGTTTAACAGCATCGAAGCGTGTAGATCTGAGCCCTTGTATGAAGCAGAAACCATCGGGATCAAGGGCATCAAGGAGAGAAATGAAGGTGAACGGTTGAAAGTCCTCAGTTAAATGAAATTGTGCCTCAACTCCGCCGGCCCCATGTTTATCGGAAGGGTTTTTCACTCACTCTTCAAGCCCTCGTAACGCGGCGATATTAGCAGCGATGTTTTGAAGGGCATGATGTACCCTGCAAAAAACGGGTAGATCCCCTGGCGATTTCGACACCTTGAGCTAGGCCTCCGAGACGGCAGGATAATATCCGCATGATGCTAGGAGGGTTCTAAATGCCACAGCCAGCGCCTCGTTTGTTTACGAGCACGGATCCCGTATAGAACCCTGTCGATAGTAATGTGTAATATGGTATCGTTTTCGGGATGCAACCTAGTTAGGTAGTAGGATGGCTATATAGTCGGGGGCGGAGGACATCTGGCTTGGGCTTGAAACCCATTAAATATCACAATTTGAGCCATTTTCTATACACCAGCTTATCTGCGTGTAGATTTCGACCATGATGAAGCCAACTATTGCTGTCGTTCCAGGTGCCTGGATTCCAGAGCATTTCTACTCTCCGTACATCCATACGCTAGAACAGGCCGGGTTCGAAACTCGCTACGCAGAATATCCGTCCCTGGAGCCCCAGAATCCTTTAACGGCCGATTGCGCAACAGACGCCAAAGCTGTCCGCTCCATTCTGGAGCCTCTCGTGGAGACCGAAGGTAAAGATGTAGTTCTTGTCATGCATTCCTACGGGAGTATGCCCGGTTGTGCAGCTGCCAAAGGATTATCAAAGACCGAACGGCTTCGAGCAGGGAAACTGGGAGGCATCCTCGGCATGATATTGTTCAGTGCTTTCCTCGTGCCCGAGGGGTTGAGCTGTGCTGGAGTTCAGGGGGGTACGCTTCCCCCTTGGATAATGCTCGATAACGTATGTCGGCTCCCTGCCTATAAGACCTTCAAATTTATCCCTATGCTCATGCACAACATCTATAGCCTGCACCTGGTCTCAACGTCCCAAAGGACCCCATCAACGTGTTTGCCGCCGACTTCGACCATGGTCTCGCCAAGAAAACTGAACAGGAACTGAAGCCTCATTCCTCGCTGGCCTTCTTTTCTCCCCAACCGCCAACGGCCTGCACAGACCCTGCATTCAAGGACCGACTGGCCTATGTCGTGGCTACCAATGATCTCGCAGTCCCGAAAGACGCACAGTATGCTATGATAGCAGGAACTGGGCAGGAGTGGAAGATCAAGGAGGTTCCTCAGAGCCACTGTGCCCCGTTCAAGGTCGATCTTGACGAGAACGTGAAAATCGTGGGGGAATTCATTGAGGCATTTCAAGGCGTCTAATCGTACATAGATATAAGTGCAGGTATGGGTGCATGATGATTTTATGCAGCGCCATTGCATGTGACTATTCCTCTCTAGTAGCGACGAAATTGATTCCCATCCTGTCTTGTGGCATCCATTCTACATCCTCGTCCTCCATCCCCCATTCATGTAAATCCACGAGCTGCGCGGTCACACTCCAGCGTGTCCCCGTTTCTTGCTGCACAATCTCCCACATCTCGTGAAATGATTCAACGTTGTGGTAAAACATCATTCCCCAGGGCCTGATATATTCCCTTGCTTGCAATCTAGCCTGCTGGTATCCAATGAGCATTGTTCCCAGCCTTGAAAGTGTCACAACTCGTTTCATAGCCTTGATCTGGTTCTCCCATCCAAACAGATGTAGGAATTGGCAGGCGATAATGACATCAGTTTTACCATATAGGCAGGACAGTGCAGAATTATCCTGAAGAAAGTCGCCCTCAAGAAAAGTGGCCTTCATTCGGTCTGCGTCTTTAAATAACTCATAACCCAGGTCCCAGAGTGACGAGTTGATATCGAGAGCGTACATGGACTCCGTTGGTGCTCCATAAGCAGCAAGGCGACGTAGGTCTTGCCCAAAACAACACCCAATGTCCAGGATTGTAGCACCCTTCTTTGCACGATGTACAATCTCCGGGAACTGTTTGAAGGCTGAAATGCTAGGGAGCAGGAAGATCCATTCACCCACGCATGGGTACTCGCCCAGCGGCCAAGCTTTATCACGCTAGATGGGTGTCAGTAACTCCGTAAAGGCGCGTGCTTTTTGCTCCGCGGGTATTGAGACGTCTCACGATTGAATGCAGATGAGCAATGAGTTCTTTGCCAGATACTCCACTCCATTTCTCAAACACATATCGCGTAGAGGCCTTGAGCCGCCGTCCGATCAGCGGCTTGTACCATACTGATGTGTCAATGGCCATATTTCGAGGTCGATGATTGATATGAGGTGCGTGGAATTAAACAGGGGATCTAAACAATCGCTGTCGAGTTTTTGACAAGGTGGAAGCCCCCAGCCATAATATATTACGCGCTCTGTACTTCGTACAGTGTAGTAAAATAAAGAAACCTTTAAGCAGCTGCCTTTCTTGAGTAAAATTCAGTGGCCACCACACGATCAGGGCTCTGTTTCATAACTAGAACCCTTATCAGGACAAGTCTTGACGACATGGTCCTGGTCATCGGGCAGATACCCTCCACGATGGGGATGTTCAACTGAGCCCACACTCATTGTTGTTCACAAAGTCGGTCCCCTGTTTAAGGTTGGGTGTTGTTTTCTCGTCTAGGAGCATCCTGGCATGTGGAAGGAAGTTGCAAATGCAAGCTTAAAATATGTGGGTTCCTGGGGACAGTGGAGATCAACTCAAGGGATTCAAGGTTGGTTCCTTTTATCCTTTTTCACTCCCTTTCTCCCGCCGTCACTCGTAATCTGTTCCAGCGGACGACGTCCATCACGAGGGGTATCTATGCGATATCTGATCACTCTTCCGGCAGATCAATGCTACTTAGCCGCATGCAGAGTACAGCAAAGAAGAGAAAAGACCGTGGCAAGCTCGTGAGCCTGCAATTTCTTGCCTCTTTCACCCCCCTCCCTGCATTTCTTCCCTTGCAGCGTGCAGGGGTACGGGAGGTTGTCGAGGTGTGCGAAGAAGCGAGGTTGGCTTGCGGTTAGAAAGGGCCGTCGGGTCACGTGAATGAAACCTCGTAACACTGCAGAAACGAACTCGAGAGGAACGAAACGAAAGATGCCTGCTCGACGAAGGCTGTTCAAGCCAGGTCGATCCATGGCTTGCCAACGCGTAACTCAGTACGTATACAAGCCGCCTGTTCCTTCAAAACAAGTCATAAAGCACATATTTTAACGACAGGATACAGGGAATAGCCGAAAGCCCAACCGGAGTTGGCACCTACACTCAGAACCAACACAGTCCGATAGCAAAGGCTAACTAATAGGTTCGGTCCATACCCCAATCCCCACAATACTGGCTGTCTGTATTGCTTGGTCACTACCTGCATATGCAACGGATTGCTCGCGCAGCCGAGGAAGGCCTATCGGTGCTGAACATCTTGCTGATGCTGATTGACGAGACAAGCCTTCTGCAGGAGGCTTGTAATATGTTCTAATAAATTGGTCCTCACATATCCTAAGACGGATATCATGGGAGGCACCTCAGCCTGAATAGGAATATGCAGTTTTTTCATATACCCCATGTTCCGTTTGCTGGCTTTTTTGCATCGCCGAAGTATTCAGGGACACTTAAGGGATGATTCCCAAAATGGCAGCGACAACACCCCTAGCAACATGTCTTATCCCTTGCGGATAGACTGATATTGTCCAATGATGGACTTGTCGTACCGTACATCAAGAGAATAATTGCTAATTTTAACTCCGAAAAATTATGGACAAAAAATGCTCTGCCGAGGTACAAAATACGGAATATTGCATCCAGAAGGGTGACAGCTTCAATCCTGAGATATAACGGTTTCTGATATCAATAACTTTGAATTGTGGGATGTCAAGACCGAAATGACCGAAAAAATGGTCAATGGTCTAAACAAGATTTCCCTCTATGCATGCATTCTCAAGAGTTTTTCACTTTCCACAACTCTGGTGCCATAAACCTTCTGCATGTACCCCAAGATATCTTCGTCCTTCAAGTGCAGAGCTGTCGTACAATCCTGGACAACAGTGGTCCATAAGCCTCTCTGGAAAGCTGCCTTTGCTGTTGCGTCAATACATATGTCGGCGTACAGGCCCATGAGAATGATGTGTTCAATCCCTTTTTCAGAAATATACTTTTCGAACTCAGGGCTTTGGAATGCATCAAACTGAGCTTTCTTCGTGAATATATGTTCACCGCGCGCCGGTGAGAGGGCTGGGGACAGATCAGCTCCCCGGGTTCCTTCTACGCAGAGCTCTTTGCGGCTCTGAACGCGGTTTCGATGCCTCCAACTAGCATTCTGGTAACGCTGGTCCCCTAAATGCTGGATAAAGACGATCTCTTGTGCATGAGACCTAGAAAAGGCAAGTACACGAACAAGTGCATCCGTTATGCAGCTCACAGTCTCCGGATTTCCCAGCGAGATGAAATCGTTTTGAAAGTCTACCACCACTACAGCTGTCGCCTTCTTCATGAAGGCAGCTGCAAAGTCTGGTGCTGGACATATATCTGCAGGATCGTCGGCCAGAGAGGATGACTGTGAAAATTCGCTTCCAGTTGGCGTGCCAACACTTGGGCTTGGAAGGGTCTGAAGAAAGAGATCGACAAAGGCGTTGGTGGTGAGGTTACCCCCTTGATCCGGTGTAACTGACTTATTCTGCTGAAGGATATTCAAAGTCTCATCGACCTCAGCATCAATACCAGTACAACCACCAAAACGCTCGAGAATAGCGGCAGCAGCACGTATAGTGGCAGATGGATTTACGATTCCTTTGCCTGTGATATCATCGGCCGAGCC